CGGGCGTGCCAGTGAAACATGGCCGTTTGGAGCCGCACGGTCGGGCGCCGGTGCACTGGCAAACGATAGAGTTCCAGAGACTCTGCTGTGTCTCATCTTGGCCTTCACCGCGCCTCGTTCGTTCCACGCTCTCCGAGCTGTCAAGTGTCAGGCGTTGATACTTTTAGTATTCCTGCGGCACGACCTCCTAGTCCTCGCAAGATGACTCGAACATGGTCCTTTCCAGGAGAGAGAGTGTGGAACGAGAGTGTGGCTCATGACCCCTTGGACGAGCCAATGAGGATGACGTGGGGTTCTCACAGGACTTCCAAGTCTCGCAGGGTTTACCAGGGATTGGTCTTGGACTTCTTGGGAGTCTTGGAGCATCGGGGGCCACCCAGTAGAATCCCTCAACCCCTCCGATGCACGCGCTCAGCGTCGCCGTCTAGCCATCGCCCAGAGTGGCGTGAGCTGCGTTGTAATTGTGTCTGTTGTGGCTCCGCAAAGTGGATGCGCGGCTCGGGCTGAGGCTTGGTTTTGGTTGTCAAGTCTCGAGATGGCCAGAGACACTGATCAGAACGACATGCTTCACTTTACATCCGCGGTGATTTACACAATGATGATGCCGACGAACTGGGCGAAGCTGCTCAGTAACCAATTTTTTCATCATTTGTCACTTGTCGGGCCAACAGTCCCGGCGCGTATGCCGAAGCTCGGCAAGTCAGGGCATCTGTTCATCGCCTAACTCACTTGGTGCCGGGTCGTGTTGATCTGTTCGGAAGAGGCAAAACAGAGTTGGGACTACAGAGCCACTAGGACGGAACAGACGCGTTGACACGGCACATCGACACGTTGGCGACCACGGCATGACAGGCCCGTGCCCGGAGTCGTCACGCCGGAAAGTCTTCCGTTGCATTTTCTTCCTCATTTTCCAGAAGGGTATCGGTAATATCGGCCGTGTGGGGGGCAAGCAAGTGAGTTGGGTCGAAGTCATCCACGCCGCGCCCAACAACACAGGCAACGAACAGAGGCCTATCGATTTCGTCTGGCATCAGGATAACGGCTATTAAACACCGTCATCGGGCGTTTCTCTAGAGGCTAACAGAAGGCTCATCGTCGCCCGATAGTACTTGCGGTTAGGCCCCTGGACTACGGCTCATCGCATAGACTTGCCTGGGCATTGCCTGCCAACAAGTCCCGAAGCAGCAGGCCTGCTGCTGGCACAACAATCAGGGACAGCCCCAGACGAGGACGACGAGACTGAATCAGGAAAAGAGGCGAAATGAGTTGAGGGTACTCCGTACTGTATACCTTGCGGTTCCTGCCCTCACGAGGCAAGTCCCCTAGCAGACGAGAAGGCCTGGTGGTACTACGAAACCGTAGATACTTGGCATGTGCAGACCGCAAACCTCCTTTTCTCTCGCACAGTCTTCTTTCTCGTCAGACACCAGCCACAGGGCCACGAATGCACTCCACCATGCAGCACGCTAATCCGTTCTCGGCCCTCGCACTCTGCACGGCGTCGCCAATTCAGTGATTCTGCTTACTCATAGTTGAAGAGCAGGAGCGTGGACGAGCAGAAAGCCCCCGCAAGCAAGACAGTCAGACAGCCACTTTGACACCATCAGCACGCTACAATTCGCACAGCGTGCAACTCCAAATCGCAGATGCAAGTGCAGGGCGCCAGAGGAACGGAATCCGCCCAGCCCGGCCCAAGAACCAGAGCCCACAAGTCCCCTAGCATTCTATTGGCAGTGGGAAGTTGCGGGCACTAAAATTTAGACAAGAAGAAAAACCCATTTAGAAAAAAAGGCGGCAAGCAAGGGTCTTACCAAGGCCTACAATACATCATAGGTTGATCATTAGTTCACACAAGCTTCGAAGCAGGGAGCCCCTTAGCATCCGGCGGCCTGCTTCCTCCAGCAGCAGCAATACAGGCCAGAGCTGGGCAGTTCCACTGGCTGCCTCGATACGCACTTTGGGGGGGGCTTTGGTTTGTCGACTCGCGCACGCGGGCGATGGATAATGGCTGATAAGCAGGCAGTCCAGACACTTGAAGGAACACCAAGAGAGAGACTGCGGCTGCCCAGACTTCCCTGGTCCTCGGGATTGGGTTCTGAACCATCGACTACGTAAGGTGTTTTCTCGTATGCCCGCGCCAACTTTCCATGCTTGCCGTCTCTTCCAGTCGACCCGGCTCTACCTTACTTGACTTGGTCCTGCGCCGTCTTTCTTTTCGTCCAACCGTCCTCCTTACATATCGCTATGAGGTGATCAATAGGAATCATTATTATAACTGTTCCATCATATCCTCCCGTTCCCAGTGTTCCACCCGCGATCCAACAATAAACAAAAAGGCTTGGGAAGACGCAGCACTACGACAGATCGCATACACACCACCCGCCAATCCGCACATCAAACGTCCCATTCCATCTCATCCCGCCTCGTCCGCCATCGTAAGCTATTCCCATTACCCACCTCCCCCTGCCCTGCCCTTTACCTTATTCAACTGGTTTCCTTTCTTTCTCTGCTTCCTTCTTCCCCTCCTTCCAAACGTCCCATCTCGTCTCAACCCATAACATACCCCCCCGTCGCCTCGTCTTTTCTTGCGAGAGACTGTGAGGGGGAAGCATCCGCCGTTTCTCTTGTTCCCCTATCAGATCCGTATTTCCCGCCCCAGAACCAAGCCCGCAAACCCCCCGAATCCTTGGAGAGGGCACACAGGGCGCACACCGCACACACCGCACACCACTCACGGCCGCCGCGTCGCAGAGTCTCTGGTCCCCCGCCCGACATCATCCTTGCACGTTGCTCGAGTCCGCTGTCGCAACCAATCCAACCCTGTGGTTGGATACTGGAGAGACCTGCGCGACAAAGCCAATTCCCACTCTTTCCATTCGGCGTCCAGAAACCTTTAGGTCGGGAAACCGTCGCAACCGTCGCGGCCGCTCGCCCTTCCCCCTGCCGTGGCTTGCCTTGCTCAACGCTCACTCGCTCTCTGTCACTCAGTCACTCAGTCGCTCACTCAGTCACTCAAGTCACCCAAGCTACTGCCAGTTCACTGTCACCCATTGCTCACCGTACGTGCGTTTGTTGTCATTCCCTTGCTCTTTCATTCTTGTTCGCTCGCCTTGCTGCACTCTGCACTCGTCCTCGGCACTGGTCCCCTTTACCATGGCTCTCACCCCCCGCTTAAGCAAGGGCAATTACCGGGTCATCGATTCTAACCGCACCGCCTCGCCTCGCCCTCGCTTGCCTCTCCCTTCCTCCCCCTTCCTCCCCCATCCCACGCCCCTCATCGTTGTCGACATCTTCCCTGTCGTCAACACCTCATTGCCGATTTCTCTTTCGCTCGACTCAACTCTGGCCCATCACATCATCCGCTCCTCCCCCCACCAGACCAGAAGCCGAGAGACTCTCACTCCCCTCCTTGGGACCCAAGCAAGACTTCAGCAGGTCCTGTGGCGTTGCGCGCGGGGCTCCCCATCTTCACTTCGTTGAGGCAGTCAGAAGGCAAAACGTGAGACATCCATTCAACACGGACGGAACCTGACTGGTCCGGACTCTGAGTCCTGCGGTATCTATGCCGACTTGACTTGGACGGGACTGCAGGGCTTTTGATTTCGATTGGAGGCTCCCGTTGCTCGTTCCCACCTTGTTCTCTATCCCACACGTCCACCCCTCCCTTTTGATCTCTTTGCGCTCTCTTGCTCGTTCCTGGGCACACACTCACACACTCACACTCACACTCATACACACACACACGCGCGCGCGCACCTCATCCCGCACCCGCACCCGCATGCCATACTGATCTCCTCGTTGTACCTAGCAACTAGACTTTTCTTCTCCGCCAAAACAACACTCAAAGTTCTTGCTTTTTCCCATCAGGAGGTCCGAGAGTGGGATGTGATTAAGCCCCCCGGCTCTTGTCACTGACTGATCGCATGCACGCCTGACTATACCTCTGATTCATCGGTACGTCCTGCATTCCCTCCTAGTACCTCTTCCCTTCACTCTGAGTCCGCCTCCCGCCCGCCTAGCGCCATCTTCGTCCCGTTGTACCTCGCCAGAGATGCATATGTTATGCCCCCCCCCCCCCCCTCCATGCCTGTCTCTGTCTCTCCATGTGCAGCAAGTGCTCGCACCGCGCCGTGTCCCATCACCGCTGCACATTATCACGGTCAACCCTGCATCTCACCTCAAACCCCCATCATCCCTAACTCTCGCCTCGATGCCCGACACTCCTGGACGACCCGACCTACACATCCACGTCTGCTCCTCCTATGGATACCCTCACTTGCTTTTTGCCAGCGCATAGAATCGTCTCATGCGCCTAATCTGTCCTACACCCTAGACTGGTCTCCAATTGTCCCTGACCACCAAAACTCCCCTAAACATTACTCTTTCTTAACCTCGACCTTGTTTCTATTTCTTATACCCGGCATACCGCGCCCTTTTCTCTGGCTGAGTGATTTGCGGACTCTTTGTCACTCGGCCACTTTCTACATGTTTCTTCCAGCCAGTGGTGTCTAACAATGCCGACCACCATGACAGACTCGGAGCGATCTCGGCGTACGGAAAACTGGATTCCTACATCCACCCGAGGCGGCGTCTACTATTGCCCCAGATATCTTCTCGACCCTCCAGCAACACAACAAAATCGTCTACCGACGCCGCCCATCCGCGCCCGTCAAGTAAGACCGCGATCAATACACATTACTTCGTGGCCCTCGGGCTTCGTACCCCACGAACTTAGACCCCAGCCAGAGCGCCCTGTAAAAAGGAGGAAGCCGTCAAAAGCCGTCTCGCCGACCACAACATCGCTGGGAAAGACGTCATTGAAGTTTAGCATTAAGCAATTTTTCTCCCTCTCCCAAAAACAGGTTCCCAGCCGATCTGCATCGCGCGCATCCACACTCTCGAGACCGCCCCTCTCAAGACCGCCCAGCAGAGCCACGAGCTTTCTCAATCGACTCTCCACCTATCGCGAGGTCGATTTGGTGGTACCGGAGGAAGACACAATGGCCCTGCGATCAGCCGCCATGGCCGAAGCCCTGCGGCCGCCTCTGATGACCTCTACATACAACACACCCGGCCAGCGCAGTAGTTTAATGTCCGTCCGGAGCGCCAAGAGCAACGTGACATCAATGGTCACCGAAATTCCCAAGCCCGTTGCGCACGGCAGCGGCGTCAGCTGTTCGATCCTCATGGCCGAGCCCAATGTCTTTCTGACCGGATTCGACCACGACGGCCACCGACAACACTCGCAAAGCGGCACGGCGCTGCTGCGCGGAAAGCTGCAGCTGAAGGTTACCAAGAATGTCAAGATCAAGGGCGTAAGCCTGAAGTTGGTCGGAAAGGCCCGCACAGAATGGCCAGAGGGAATCCCCCCATTGAAAGTCGACCTCTACGAGGAGGAGTCGCTGCGCACACAGGTCCTGACATTCTTCAATGCTGTGAACGATGGGTGGGAATCCGAGTACGGCAACCAATGCGTCTACACGCTCAAGAACAGCTCCACGAATTCCTCGTCGACAAATCTCGCCTCCAGCTCACCCCGCAACTCCATCTCGCCCTCGCTGCTGTCAGTACCGCCCAACAACAGGCAAGGCCTCACCGCAAAGGAACTCAAGCGTCTCTCCCTGCAATCGAATCAATCGCGAAGCTTCGGCAAGGGCGACAACCCCAGCGGCAATCAGGCCAAGGGTTACAAGGTGTTCTATCCCGGCGTATATGAGTACAACTTTGAGCTACCCATCGACCACCACCAGCTGGAGACCACGAAGCTGCAATACGGCTCCGTCAAATGGGAGCTGCAGGCCACGGTTGAGCGAGCTGGAGCTTTCAAGCCCAACTTGCATGGTTCCAAGGAAGTGGCCATCGTTCGCGTACCGGATCAGCTGTCATTGGAGATGACTGAGCCGATTTCCATCAGTCGTCAGTGGGAGGATCAGCTACACTACGACATTATCATTTCTGGCAAATCATTCCCCATTGGAACTAAGATCCCAATCGCCTTCAAGCTCACACCGCTTGCCAAGGTGCAGGTTCACAAGCTCAAGGTTTTCGTCACTGAGTCGGTCGAGTACTGGACAAACGACCGGAGAGTCACGCGTAAGGACCCCGGCAGAAAGATTCTATTGCTCGAGAAGACTGCTGGAAAGCCTTTGGATCCCGCCTACGCATCATCAGACGTCCGCGTGCTGAACGGTGGTGAGCTGACACCGCGTCAACGCCGGGAGGCCCGGGAGTCTGCTGCCATGCGCCGCGCTGCTGAGGCTTCCCGTCATGGCGTGATGCCGGACCCTCTGCCTGAACCGGTCGACAATATTCTGGGTGATTTGGATCTCGGCCTCGAGAGCTACTGGGGCTCGACCGAAATCGAGATGAACGTCCAGCTGCCTACTTGCGACACCATGGCCAAGAGCAAGGAGTTGCGCCTGCACCCCGACTGCAGTTGGAAGAACGTCAATGTGTACCACTGGATCAAGGTATGAACTTATCCCCAATTTGTGATGCGTACCCGGCTAACAACTCTTAGATCGTCATGAGAATTTCCCGTCTTGATCCTGAGGATCCCACTGGTACCAAGCGCCGTCACTTCGAGATCAGCATTGACTCGCCGTTTACGGTCCTCAACTGCCGCGCCACGCAGGCCAACACCTCTCTGCCCGAGTACTCAGGCCCCGACATGTGTGTGAACCAGAGCCGCCAGACTTCCTGTGGATGCCCCGACGCCGTGACCATCTCTGGACCTGCCGAAAGCTCGCCCAACAACTTGTCGACTGGCGCCCTCACCGTTGTGGACGGCTCTGACAACCTGCCCGCTCCGCCACAAGCGGCACACCTCCCCTCTTCCCCGCAGCCCACCACTGGCGGCCCTGGCCGGGCTTCACCGCCGAATTCCCAGACCACTGTGGATCCACTCGCAGACACTCATCCGCGCCCGATTCACCTCCTTCGGGTGCCATCATACAACCCTCCCGCCTTTGACGCCGAAACACCCCCGCCACCCGCCGGGAACGAGCTCCCCTTGCAAACACCGCCCCCTCAGTACGATGTCATTGTCGGCACTCCCAGCGTGGACGGTATGGCGGATTACTTTGCGCGACTTGCCGACTATGGCTACGATGAGCCCGAAGAAGACTCCGACTCGGATGAGGGCCCCGCTCGCATCTCGGAACGTGGTGGTCGAGTCAACGTCGCGCACCCTCGCACGCCAGGCGGCAGACGCGCTCCGAGCCGCAGCTTGGACATCCACCGGCCTCCCGTGGAGCTGAGACTGGAGTCGCTGCCCGCGCTTCGAAGAAACGACGTCCCGTCACAAATAAACTGAACATAATGCTGTAATACTACTACAGACGAAGACGAAGAACCAAACGATGAAACTGATGAGATTTGGAGGAGGATACGAATGGAACGGAGGGCCGGCTTGTTTACTTTGCTCATGCATCATGATTACGGATCATTCGAGGGGTTTACGAAATCCAAATATCGGTCGGCGTATTCATTTCAAAAACAGGATTTCAGGGACAAACGCTCGCTCGTCACATCAGCAGCAGTCTTGTGGGGAGAAGGGGGGGGGGGGGGGGGGGAATACAAGTTTCTGGCGTTTTTTTTTTTGTTCTTTCCCCTTGTTTTATTATCGGATATACCTGGACTCCTACGTCTACCGTTTTGAGTGAATATTGATTCCCTAAATATGAACTTCGGCACGAAGAAAATTTTGATAAAGTTGAATACATTCACTTCATCTCATTCCGTGATTTTATCAGTGACGGATGAAGCGCTGACGAACACGGGACTTCTAGGCTAGTGGCTGCGGTTCGGGCAGCCTGACGCTTTGCACCTGCTAATCATACGTGGAGATTTCCTTCGGCGAGATAGCCTGAATACGATATCAATGGCCTGCACAACGCCGCTGCTTAACAGGGCTGTCGATTTCGACGTCTTGCTCGGCGTGCCGCGGCTGCTTGGCCGATTATACAACTGCACCACGAAGTTACCTCTAGCCTAATCGTCCACCCAGTACTTTGGCCACGCCGCAAACCTAACGTGCCATCCATGGGAGCCGGTTCTAGTCCCGATGACCTATCAGTACTCTTCTTGTGGCCACCATCTACGGCTGTTGATATTTCAGGATTGGGAGGGCACCGAGAGAACGGAGGTGGGGAGGCGAAATAAGGGTGAAAGGGGGGAGCGTTTCGAGTCCTCAGGGGTTTGGGGGTGTGGACAGCGGGTGGAGGGAAGATGGAGGGAAGAAAGACAGCGGAGGATGGGACGGCGGGCGATCTCTGCGTCGTGCCGATGCTGGTGCCTGCGGTGATACGACGGCACGTGGGGCTGGATGGTGGGCGAAGGGGGTTCGCCTAGGTCGACTGGGAGAGGAGGGTCCCTGGCGAGGCTGTGCGGTTGGATGTACTGCATAGTAGTGTGAACTGCCTATCTGGGACAAAGTGGACGGCCGGGCTGCTTGTGGTGCTCGTCTCTGGTCGTCTGTGCCTCTTTTGCCTTTGGAGAGTTTGATACTGGGTGCGTGGAGTTGGTTGTGCGCACTCGCTGTGAGGGCTAACGCTAAGACAGCAAACCCTCAGTCGAGGCATGAACGTTTTGATAAATTGAACGAGAACATCGCTGTGTCTTGGAGGGAAGGTAGAGGATAGGGCCGATCGGGAGAGGTCCCGGGGGAGTACAAGTTGGTTGCGAGGCTAGCTGGGACTGGGCGGCGAGTGGCATGTCGTCATTGACAGCACCTGTACAGGAAGAACCTCCCCCGGGATCCCCGGGAGGTAAAACGGACTCGGGCAAGGGGGAGGGGGGAAGGATAGGAGGTGTGCGTTGCCAGATTGGCGAGCGGCAAGTGAGACGATGGTTCGAAGTTTGCTTAAATGCTGGCCACTCTGGACAACTAAGGGGGGCGCTTTTCGGCCGATCACGGGTGGCGGCTGTTTCGCCTTTCGTAGGTGGAAGGGTGGACCACGGACGAGGGCATGCCGTTTGGATGGCGGGGTGCGTCTTGGGGGGGGATTGGACGGTGAGGCTGATGTTTGTGGAAGAAGTTTGAGGTTGTTCGATTGATGCGTGTGCGGTTTGTGGGGTCTGTGGCCCGCCCGCCCGCCCGCTTCTCTCTATCCGCAAAGCACACCGGGACTTGTTGGAGGCGGGGGGGAGGTTTGGGTTAACGAGCGGAAGTTTCCTGTCCGTAACCTACCTCGTCCTCCCGGGAGAGGGGAAAAAGGTTGAGGAAGGAGAAGATCATGGCATTGACGGCACGAGCGAGGCGGGCGGGACCCGGGACTCTGCTTCCGCTTTTTTTGCGTCTTTGGGGGAACAAGTGCTCGAGCGGCGGAACGACCTGGGCTTCTGAGGCTTTGGGGGAGAGTTTTGGGGGGCGTCGAAGCTTGCTGGGGAGTTGGATGCTGGGATGAGGTATGGCGCGATATAGGACTGGGTGGGTAACAGGATCGTGATGGAGATCGTGATGGTTGAGCGATTCTGTGCGGCAAGTGACTCTTGTGGTTTGGTCGCGCAGAGTAGGTTGGAATCAAGTTCGGTTGCCGTGTCTTGGGAAGACTCTGGGTAAAATGCCGGGGCTGGGCTGCGTGGCTGCGTGGAGGGCCAGCGAGCTTCTGTAGAGTTTCGCGAGCATTCGTCTGATGTTTTGAGCCACTTGTCGACGATGCACGGAGAAGGCTGCTTACTCAGAGACCATGCCGGCGGCACGCACGTGGACGAAAAGGTTGAGCATGTTCGAGGGACTGGACAGGTCCGCAATATTGACATGGGTTCCGTGATAATCATGTCGAAGGGTGTATTGACTTCATTCGTGGCGATGGAGGCATGGGTGAACTCACTAAGTTCTATATGGATCTCAAGTCTAGATCCACGTCACATGGGGCATGGACACTTGTAGACAGAATGGGAAAAAGTTGGCGCCATGGCATGCATTGTGTCTGCCAAAGAGAACGCTTGGGAGATGGAGTAAAGAGCTGATTAATTGGCATCTCGATGATCACGATCTCGGCTTATAACAGCAGTTCGTCTTGAACATGCCTTGGCCATGCTGAGTGAGCCCGCCATATCTGCGCTCTGGCAAGCAGATCTGATTGCTTGGTCCCCTCGAACCGTACACATCGCAGACTTGGAGTGTTGGCTAGTAGAGCGGATGGTCAATAACCCTGGCTGAGAAAGACGAAACCCGTCGTCCGTTGATCTACACGATCCTAGACTGGATGGCGACAGTAAAGACTCTGTTGGTACATGAAAAGACCCTTAATTGAGCAAACCCAAACCTTTTTGCGAGAAACCTAAAGATCCCTACCATGGCACTTTTACAAGAATGACTCTGCAGTTCCAAATATTCCCATGACGCGCACAACGGCATGGCTTCGCCCTGTATGCCCTAAACAGTCATTCAACAGCTGCCTCCTACAATCAACAGTAGCGAGACAGGGCAAGTCCATTCCTATGCAGCAGATTGTACGTTGGAGTTTCTGCAAAACTTGGACTCAAGAGTTAGAGCTAGAACATGAACATCAACTGAGAGCACATACCTTCTGCGAATAAAATTACAACAGCGAATGCAACTCCTAACATGAGGAACTCCACGGTCCACCTATCACTTGTCCTATTCGATTCATCAATCGTAGGCCGAGCCTGATAATTGCTCCATGGGTCTAAAGGCGGAGAGTCCCACTGTGGTTGTGGTTCGGTAATGACGCTGGCCTGAGGTGACGGGTTCATGGTTTCAAGTGGATGATTTATCCACATGCGCTGAGATCCTAATAGACTCTTGCTGGACAACGTACCAAAGCAATCGTCAATGTTGGTAGCCAGAATCGATGCCAGCCTTTGGAAACCTCCAGCATTGCCATCGTTGCTAGCTTGTGGGTTGTCCGTGTCCAGAATCTCTCCGATTTTGGGTTGCGCCCACACATCTCTTTGGGCTGTATCACGAGGTACTTGACTCAGATCAATGTCCCACATGAGCCATAGCGCTTCCCGATATGAAGAGACGTCGTCCGCGTTGAATATTACCTCCCACCGTGGAAGATCATGCATGAAGTCGCCGGAAAAGTCCTTCTGATGACAGGATTTGAAAGTGTCAACCATTGCTCTTCCAAGACACAAGAAAGCCATTGCTTCGGTGAGAGTTTCAGGCACTCTGCCATTAGTCAATAGCTTCATCGTCTCAATGCCGATTCTCCAGGCAGAGCGATAGCTGAATAAATTCTGACCAACCTTTCGAAAGGCCGTGTGTGAAGAACTGGCTCTCAGTCTCATGGTCTTGTAATGTGTGATGAAACGGGCTCTGAGATGACGCATCTCTTCCTTTTCAGAAGCAGATTTCCTTCTTGCTGTTAGTGCAGCTTTTTGGACTTTTTGCAGGAGAAATTTTGCTAAGTTGCGATCGTCATGGTTGCAGTCCACGAAGTGCAAGCATATGATGCCCATATGCACATCGGCGCCGTGTTGGACCAAGAATTCGGCGAGTGGGCGGTGCGAATACTGAGCTGCAATGCTGAGCGGCGATCCTTTTTCAGTCATGCAGTTTACGTCGACCCCGTGCTCGAGTAAAACCTCTACCACACCTTGGAAACCGTATGCTGACGCGATTACCAGGGCATTGTTAGCATCAGCTCCTTGACCAAGAAGGAGAGTCAAAGAGTCTGTGTCATTGGTCGCAGCTGCGTAAATGAGGAGAATATCAGGGTTACATCCATTTTCAAGGTGCCGCCTGATCCGGGCAATATCCCTAGCTCCTGTCGCGAGACTCAGTGGTTCATATAGGAGATCTTGTAGAATTTGTAGATCGAAGTCCGGTCCTCTTTCGTCAAGGGTCCATGTAGCAGGACAATGCGGAAAGATTGAAGTGAGGCCATGGTTTCTGTAACCAACCTTGGGGAGAAGATCCAGGGAATCCAAATTAGATTCCCAGTGTTTGTCCAGAGAATGCTGTTGAAAGCCCTCATCCAAGCCGTCAATACTGGCATCGATGTTCTGCTGTGAGAAAACTTTCAAAAGGTCTTCGTCCATGTACCCGCGCTCTTTCAATTTTTCGTAGCCGTAGCTTTTGAAAATCTCACCGTTACGAAGAACACCTTCCACGAGCAGCTTGAGATCAGATAGTATTGTGTTGTGCTCCGGCCACAGTTCGGCTGAGCCAATCCAGTCGGTCAAGTGGTTTTGCAAAACAGCCTGGTGCTGGAGCAAGAGTAGCCCGTCGATAGATGCGGAGACGCCCAAGTCGACATTGGATTTTTGAAGTGTGCTTCGAACCAATGAGAGCAGTGGCTTGCTGTAAAATGTGATGGACATGCTGTCAACTGTTTTTTCGACAAGAAAAATGGCTGATGATGCTACTATATGGTAACGGCAAAGACATTGCCATGTGCAAGGTTTATCGGAATGTCGATCTATCCATGATCGATTCCCAGAAGAATCACCCTGATACTGAGCGCCACTGGTTTGAACCCATCAGCCAACATTCGTTTGGATCTCAAACTAATTGCGACTATAGAATGGGAGGCTTACTTTGAAAGAGTCTCCTTCAACCTGAACCACTTTTCGAATTGCCGATACGGACAGTTTTCCTCATACTGATTGTAAATAGAAAGATCATGGCTGTGTACTTCAACATTTTGTATATCTCTGTTTACCGCGATCACTTCGTCTATTGTTGTTTCTGCCTCCTCGTTCAGAGGCGTTTGTTGTTGCGCCCAAGACACCCATTGATTGCTCGCAAGCAGGGCATCTGCTGTCATTTTCTTGCGTCGCAAGTACTTGTCGACTTTTTGTGCCCTAGTTTGGGTCTTTTGAGCACTGGTCAAAAAATTCTTGACTCTCTCCTCAGTGTTGTATTTGTGGATTCTCCACTTCTTCAGGCGGCTTTTGCACATCTTTGCACTTTGGTTGTTTGTTAGTGCACCTGGTCTTGTCTGTGTAAAGTGGGAAAGGTAGGCAGGTACTCACTTGACATGAAATGAATGCTTCTCGGAGAGAACTCGCACAATTTTGTTCAGAGTCCAGTTCTCTTCGATGTATAGGTGCTGGATAAGTGGTTGCATCTGCTTCCACTCAACTTCAGAGTACTCCTGAGGGCGCTGGGGCCTTCCTTGGGCAGCTGTCCCACCATGGGCACCATCAGAGAGCGGATGTGTGATAGTACCACCATTGCGTGGCGATGCCATAGTTGGATAAATGGGCAGCCCGATACCACATAGACGGGTTTCTAAGCAGTATCTGTGAAGTTGTGTTCAGCAGGAAAGAGAAAAAGGGACGGACAGTGAGGTGTACAAATAAGGAGGAAATGTGCTCCCACCCAATTTGAAAATACAGTCCAGTGTGACTCTTACCACCAATAGAAACGACGGTAACTCCCAACCACCTGTTGTCGATTTTGGGGATCAAAAGTCGCCTGCATGAGATTTTTGTGGGCTACTCATATTGCCCTGTGACCAAAGAAACCAAGGCTTGACAGCAAGTACAGGTGTGGCTTTGGACGCGCAGATGTCCGGGTGGTTGCCTAACAAAAGTCTCTTGCATGAGATTCGATTAATCAACAAATCGGATCGTGCTAAGCGAACCAGGAATGAGGCCTGGTGCATTCAGCCCATGGTTTGCCCAACGGCGACCCAGATTCTCACGTCTCTAATGCGTAATCTCACATCTGCGTGGTTAGCCTCTAACACAGTTTCCCTTTTTTACTGCTTTCCTTCTGCAAAACCATTATTCTCTCACATTGTGATTGGGGCAGTTGTCAATCCTTGAAAAGACGGGGCTGAGACAGGCACTGACACTTGCGGTATTGTTGCAGCCTAAAACGCTGAATTGCGGTCTTATCATTGGCCTATGACTGAGATATCTGAGGCTGGTGGACAATTAATTTGAGCAAACTCTAGCTACAGTGCCATGTCAAAGGTCTGAAAACCCCAGCATCTGAGGTGCACCACCCACATCACACCACCCTATCGGTTTTCGGACTTTTGACATGGCACTGTAAGTCAAGTACTACGCTAGAAGCGCAAAACTATTCTATACCTCGCTGATAGCAATTTACATGTTTCGAAGACTATGCGATTGAGTTTCAAGCATTTGACGAAGTGTTTTGGTTCCCAATCTAGCATTTCACCAGAACGATAAGCATGTAGCTTATATACGACTCGTTTGTCTTTCTTCAAAGTCCAGACGACTGTATTACGTGTGCATTGCGCCGGATAATCTAAGTCAGAACGACAGCGCCCTTCCATGACATGTTGGGTGGCATATACGCCCTTGTTGTTGTCGATCTCTCCCTGTGACTAACCTTAAAGCATGGATATCTGATCAGCTGAGATGCGTAACAATGGAACAGCCTATCCTATTCTGAGCTCATTTATGTTCCAGGTGGTCCATGTTGAGAAAAGTACATCTGTAGCAATTTTCTTAGATGATTCTTATGTTTTATGCTAACGGTTCTTGGCCGATGAACAGAAAGTGTTCGATGACGGCCATCTTGAATAAATGGCTGTCGCATCCACCCCGCATAAAGACAAGGCTGGCTTTACAGACCAGTGAGAAGGTAGTTAACCTGACTATCGGGGCCTAATCCCCACTTGCCCAATTGGTCCAAGATAGGTAACAACTTGGAAAGTGGAGAAATAGTATGATTGTATCTTATTGACCCATGACTAAGTCATCAAGTCAATGACCTGTTCCTATAAAGTCCAGATCTCCCTTCAAAGCTCTGTGTCCACCGTACTCTATAACCTATCACCTACACAATTATCAAGCCATGGATTACGGACTATCAGCCCGCGGCAGTGAGGCAGCCAAGCCAAATGATGACCTGCTTCTCTGGACCATCGTCAAGGACCTCTGGGACCCCGAAGTCAACCCAACAGGCTACGTCAGTTTAGGTATTGCCGAAAACACACTTATGCACGACAGACTGTCCGCCCATATCCACAGCAACCTTGCTGTGCCTAACCATTCTTTCACGTATGGTGATGGCATGACCGGATCCAAACGTCTCAAATCATCACTCGCGCGGTTCCTGACAGAACGACTGAAGCCGGCAACAAGCATTGAGCCGCAGCATATCTCCGTGACTAACGGCTGCAGCTCAGCAATTGAGCATCTAGCCTGGGCGCTAGGAAACCCTGGCGACGGCTTTCTGCTCGGACAACCTCACTACGGGGCTTTCCCCCTGGATGTTGAGTATCGGATAGGATGCAAACTTGTGCAGGTGCCGTTCCACAAAGTCGATCCCTTCGGTTTGGATGCAGTACAGAAATACGAGGATGCGTTGTTCGCTGCTCAGGCCAAGGGGACCAGGGTCGCCGCCATTATTCTGTGCCACCCTCACAACCCCCTCGGGAGATGCTATCCACGAGGAACAATCATTGCGCTGATGCGACTCTGTCAGAAATACAACATGCACCTCATCAGTGACGAAATCTACGCCTTGTCAGTCTGGAACAATACAATCGACACCCATCCGGCGCCTGTCCCCTATGAGTCATGTCTTTCTATCGACACGACAGGCATCATGGACTCTCATCGGCTTCATGTCCTCTGGGGCATGTCCAAAGACTTTGGTGCAAATGGTATCAGGCTTGGCGCCATCATCTCTCAACACAATCCCTCATTTCACAGTTCTCTAACACCGGTGGGCATCTACAGCTCGCCTTCTGCGATAGTAGACCATGCAACTGCCAACATTCTTGATGACACAGAGTGGGTCAATGGGTATATTGAGGAGAATCAGCGCAAGCTTCAAGAGAACTTCGAGCTAGTTGCTCATTGGGCCAAGAGTAGCGGCATTGACTATGCACAAGGCGCCAACGCCGCCTTTTTCTTGTGGGTGAATTTAGGCAAGGCATACCGTGAGCGTCAACCTCAAAGAGAGGTTCAGGATATCAGTGCAGAAGTGATGGGCGCACTGCTTGAAAGAAGGGTATTCTTGGCATCCGGGAAGCGGTTTGGTTCTGAACAACCGGGGTGGTTCAGGATTGTGTTTTCAAATAAAAAGGAGCTCGTGTCGGAAGGTCTTCATCGAATTACTGAAGTGTTGAACAGCTAGTTCGCGTCGAACGCGATCAAGGTTGCTATGGAACATTCAAAACGTTATACGGGTTTGACTGCCACACAGTTTTATAGTTTTAACCGTGTAGTATTGAAAAACTGTTTTTTTACCTATATGATAGCTAAAAGTTCGTAAACAAGGGTTTGCGTCGGCATTGGTAGTCTAGTATCAATACCAGTGTACTTTGTTGTGATCAAACAGATTAAGCAACAAAATACACATGTTAGTATCGCAGAGGCAGGAGTTTTAGGAATAAAAATTAGACTCTATCTTTTGTTGATCATCTAAGCAAAAACTTGGACGTTGATTTGTGTTCCAACGGGTGTGAGCAAGTCACTCAGCAAATTAATGTGTTGGGTCAATGATATGCAGACACCCAGATAAGGCGACTGCCCGGCCGATAGCTGGGTCATGAAAGCTACCCCGATCCCAGTTCAAACGAATCAAAAGAAGAGATAAAATTAAAGGGAAAAGACAAAAACTGCCCTAACTGATATTGTTGCCATGTTCTGAACGTTGTTAATATCTATGCGACATGAGTTTGATGAAGGCAAAGCCTGTGCGGGAATTACTGCAGGAAGTGGTTCAATGAGGCTCCGTTTACAGAAAAATGACAAGCCTCCGGCTGCACTCAAGTGGACTCACAGGTTTGTTTCATGGAGTGTCTTTGTAAAGGTGGCGGAACAGCAGCCATTTGGGTCTTGTTACAAAATTAGCCCTTCAGCTGGAGCGCGTACCACGCCCGGCTCAACAGGCGTACAGGCGAGATGGGAAATAATAACATATTTGTTCTTGAGTTGATAGCTGAATGCATGAAGATAGCCACAGACCCAGGGTAGGCGGTGGCCAGAGTAGTTAGTGGTGCGGCTTGACAGCCACAGAGCCTCCCTCGTTTTGCAAGCGTGCTATCCAGGGGTCAATAGAATGCATCTTTCTTGAGGGGTCTTCTTGTATGAACACGCAGTCTACATGGAAAGCTTCGAAGACTGATGATAACAAACTTGTTTTTACGTAGTGGTCTACAAGTAAAAAGAATCGTTAACCACGCAACGTACTATGTGCTGTGAAAGGACTTGGCTGGCTAAAATTAGGTTTGCATGTACGGTGGTGGTATAACTCAAATGGCAGAGGCTATTTGCCAAGTGAGTCATAATTACCTATCGCACCACGAACTCTCCTCATAGAGGTAACCTTGATGTCTCTCATGATCTTTTCATACAAAAAGCAACTCGTCACCTCTGTTCTTCCTCACAGAATCCAGATCTCGTATACTAACTACACGCACACCAACAGCAACCGCCCAAAACACACAATACTTTTGCCCGACAACGAGACGTCTACAATGCAGCCACAAATTCAGATACTCAAAACCATCGAGCCACAAGCAGGGACCCGCTGGTTCTTATTTATACCACGCGAGGTGCTCTACATGATCGCAGACCCGCTACCAACACCATCACAGGTAGCCTTCGCGTTAACCTGCAAGTACTTCTTTACGGCACTCTTCTCAACTCAGCAAGTCCCACAACCAAATAAGGAGGATCTACTTGCTATTCTCCTACTATTAGGGAGAGATATGCCGAGTTGGTTTCTATGTTTTGGATGCATACGGCTTCGACCCTTGAAGCGAAATCCTGAGGGTGATTTGCAAATACAGCTTCACACACACTGTGATTCCAAGCTTCAAATAGTCCGCGAGTTCTGTCATGAACGCTTACCGAAGCTGAATCCTAGTCGCTGTCGTGGAGTTATTTCCGTTGAACGCTGGATCGAGAGTTTGAGTCTTGTGACTTGGAGACCAGCGGTTAATGGGTTGGAACGCGATGTTCCCGAAATTACTTTCAATGAGGGTCATCTTATCATGAACCGGCATCTTCACGGAGCAGCTCATGGCCTATCTACTCAACATCTCGAGAGTATATTTGAGTTCGAAAGATCCATCCCCTTGAACAATGGAGAGATCAAAACACGCCACTTCCCACTTGAAGCCCACCTGCGTGGCAAGAGATACCACTTGCGGCCGCTACGTCAAAACAACTTGCAAGCTGCCACACGTTGGACATTTACCCACAAAACCTCTGCGAAGGTGCTAGATGACGAACTGTATGTTTGACGTAATCATGATATATAAACGGGCCTCCGTGCTCCACAGTCGACTTCTCTAAGGTGATTGATAGTCTCGAGCTCCTCGTGTGTCAACACATTCTTGGCTCCAGCAATATGCCTAGCCTGCGTTTCTGGGAAGCGTGCAATACTTGTATCCCTGAGCTCCAAAGCATACGGATATCTGCGACCGAGCCTCAATTTGATATACATCCGGACAACGCAATTGGGTCATGTATCTTGTGCTTTAACAACTACGAAATAGCCATTGAAAGAGACGGGAACCAGAGAAAATGGAGGTTGAAGCTCACCACCTATCACAAGCTTGGAAGTTTCCGCACGCTTGAAGATGACGCCTGGCAGAGGCTGATACAAACCTCCTTTCCAAGACTTCTTCCGGAATACTATAGGAAGTCTCCCGCAGGAGGAGTTCGCCAAAAATGGCTTCAAGGCCGGGGAAAGGCCCCAACAGCAGCGGGAGAGCGCAGCAATTTGGAAACCAGCACATATGCTGGCCCACTCCCATATTGGATTCTTCCTTTTCGTTCCATAATTGCACGGCGCTATTCTCGTTTTAATGGCCGGAAACGCGATTCACGGGTGGTATATCGCAAAGCTTTCAGCATGTGTTATGCAGGGCAGGGGCTTGGGGACAGACCGGGTTCCGTTTCTTATATTGGAAGAAAAGACACAGGGGAAATTCTAAACTAATGAGCCCTGGAGGCTTTCCGGCTTGGGTATATTTCACAAGATCCATATACACGTTGCTCTGAACGAGAGGCGGATTTTGCTCCGGCTCGATTTAACCTCAAGACTAGTGTGCGTGTGTGTTTTGGTAAAGCTTACCGAGGCCTTTAAGTTGGTAATGAGAACTTTGTGAAGGAAACAATAGCTTGATTAGTACCTAATACATGAGACCTGGTTAAATGATCAACGCCAGGCTGCGGAAACTTCAGCTTATTATATAGGGTATGAGCACAGTGAAAGGAGTCTCGCCGAAAACAATGCTGCCGGATCAGATGGTGGCTTCGCGGGCCTATGATGGCCTTCAATTAACTATTCGGATGCTGTTGATGTTATACTGCAGCAAAGCAGAGTGCAAAACACGAATGAGAGTCAATTAAATGAACGTGTAAATAGAATGCAGTAGTGTATCACAAACAGATGCTCTTAGTAATTAGACACTAGTTTCTTATCCGTTAAAAGCTGTTGGTTAACAGATACTAACACCCTCTTGTTCGGTTCCTGCAGTTCTGCCTGGCTCACTCCAGATTGCGCGACCCTAGAACAGCGGGTGATCCGATTGCACCTGAACGACAGAGTGGCGACTTTGATAAATAGCTTAGGAGAAAAACAAAAGGAAATTAAGCCGGGATAGGTCTAGAACCAATCTATGTACAATAAACAGCTTTACATAGTCAGGCTTCGTGTAACGCGTTTCGACCATCACTATATCGATCCTACTTGTTGAATAGGAGGTTCTTTGACAACATGTGAACCAAGACCTCTCAGAGCCCTGGGGTCCCATCCGCTCACAGCCACACATAGATCGCGCTCGCCCGGTATTAAGTATAGAGCAAACGCACGATGGATGCGCCCGAGTCCTCATCAAGCAACTTAACTACAATCATACCGGAAAGGGGCAGGCGCTTAGGCCTGCCTAGAGAAACAACATTCACATGACTATCTAGTCTCCTGGCAGGTGGGTACAAGAGTCAGTCTGATCAACTGTCCTAGTTAGCAGGAATTCATCATCAGCAACAGCCTAGACCACGTCACCCGCTAGGCGCAGCCAATAAGGTCACTTCACTTTCGTACCTGTAAGCCCTAACCCCGTTTCAATGCAACATAACCTCTCTACCTATCGAGAGCCTGGCTTTGGCACTGTTTCATTCAAGTCAGCAATGAATATGGGCTTGGTGTAGCGTGCATTTCAGTGTCAAACTCACCATATGCCAGTACACGCCTTGCATCTTCAACAACTCATGATGCGTGCCCTTCTCCAGTACCTTGCCCTCGCCAAGAACAAAGATGATGTCGGCATTCTGAACCGTTGCCAGCCTATGCGCGACGCATATCATGGTACGGCCCTTGCTAGCACGCTCAAACGCTGCTTGGACCAATTTTTCCGACTCTGAGTCGAGCGATGAGGTCGCCTCGTCCAGCAGGAGGATCTTTGGGTCGCGTATAAGGGCGCGTGCGATAGAAATTCGTTGCTTCTGACCACCAGACAGAGAGAACCCTTTGGAGCCGATATCGGTGTTGTATCCATCGGGCAGAGAGACGATGAAATCGTGGATAGAGGCGTCGCGGCAGATCTGGTGCAACCGCTCATCCGAAATGGTCTCTGCATCAACACCAAGACAGATGTTTTCGCGAATTGTGCCCTGGAACATATATGGCTCTTGAGCAACAAGAGAAATGTGCTTACGATACTGATTGGCATCGAGGCTATAGATGCTCTTGCCATTGCAGAAAATGTCGCCTTTGTCAAGGCTATAGAATCGCTCAAGGAGAGAGATGACAGACGTCTTACCACACCCCGAAGGACCTACGAGGGCCGCAAATTGACCCTTGTTAATGGTCAAGTCAATTCCTGTGAAGACGGGAGTATCGCGGGTGGGATAGCGGAAGTGGGCATTCTTCAACTCGATCTTGATGCCGCCTTCCGTGTCAGGAATTTGCTCCGTTGTTTCTTGGCTGTTCTGTTTGCTCGTGTTACGCAGACTGATGATGCGATTCGCGGCAGCTGAAGCCTGTGCAGCATTGGGACCATAGCTGAGACCCTGGCCGGCCGCTTCGGCGCCCTGGACAACGGCCATAAAGCAGACAAAGAAGTCTACAATGCCATACTCACGGCTCGCCAAAAGACGGCCACCATACCAAAAGATGAGACCTTGACAGCCCAAGTTGACGCTATCAGCAAAACCGAACAGCAGGCTGGTCCACCGGGCTTTCTTGTAGGCCTCGTATACATGAGTCCGCAGCAACTTGTCATACCTAGAATGGATAACGTTCTCCATCGTAAGGGAAGAGACGGTCCTAAAAGCACCAATAGCCTCGGCGGCGAATTTGGAGCTCTCTGCAAACACGGCAGCGTTCATCTTTTCGAATTCAAGCTCATACTTGAATCTCCAGTACCCGGCAAACAGGCCGACAGGCATCGTGACGAACGTGGCGACCAAGGCTAGTTTCCACCCAAATGCGTAAGCGATAGCAAGGGCTCCCGCAATGTTGAACACGGCCATGAGCAGGAATGCCATGTTAAGTCCTAAAAGTTCCTCAAGCTGCTTAGGATCGCCGGCGACACGCGCGACAAGGGTACCGTGAGAGTTCTCGTCATCGTCGAAGAAAGCCGTTTTCTGAAAGAGGATGGATTCGAAATATTCTTTCTTGTAAATGGCGCTGATGTTGTGTTGCATGTGGACGGCAATGACACCCTGGAAGAAGTAGCCAAGGCCGACGCCCACAGCGAGAACCACCCACATCAGCGACCAGAACCGACCGTCCGACCGGATCGTTTCTATATCGACGAAGGTGAATACTTGAAAAATCTGGGCAAAGAGCCAGGCCATCAGCGGAGTGCCGGCTGCAGAACAGGCTGCGAAGAAGGCGATGGCCAGGTAGACCCAACGGTTTTTCTGCTCTGAAAGAAGCTTGAAGAAACTGTAGAAGAGGTTTGGACTCTTGGAACTGGTCTGTTGACTCTCTTCATTGTCATCTACCGCGTCGGCGCTCCTCGTTTTTGCCACAGCCACTTCCAGATCTGAGGCATCTTCCCCACTGGTCACATCATCAACCTCGGTTGGCTGACCCAGCGACAATTTCTGTGCGAGAACCAGACTGGAATACGCGCCGGATTGATTTTGGAGAAGACTGTCGTGTGTCCCGGACTCAACGACCTGCCCTTTCCGTAGGACGACGATTTTGTCCGCCTTCCTTATGGTCGACAAACGGTGGGCAATGGTGATTGTGGTTCTGTTTTTGGCAACCCGGTCGAGGGCGGCTTGCACGATCTTCTCTCCACGGACATCAATGGCGCTGGTGGCCTCGTCTAGGATTATGATCTTTGGCTTCCTAACAATGCTCCTCGCAATGGCGATGCGCTGGCGCTGGCCTCCAGAGAGCTTGGCGCCGCCATCGCCGACGGCAGTGTCGTAACCGTCAGGGAGGCGGTCGATGAATTCGTCAGCAAACGCTTCATGGCAAGCCTCCTTGACGAGTTGTCTCTTTTCCTCCTCGGACGAGTCTTCAAATTCCGATCCAATCAAACCGTATGCGACGTTGCGGAAGATGGTATCGTTGAACAAAAACGGTTCTTGCTGGACAAGCCCAATTTGAGAGCGCCACCACTTGAGGTCGATATCAGTGACCAATTTCCCGCCGGTGGTGATACTACCGGACAGTGGCACAACAAGCTGGCTCTCCTCAGTGACACCAACCTCTTCATCGTCGACCGGTTCGATCTCAGCTCCTTGTTTTTCCTTGCTATTCTTTTTGTCGCGTTTTTTCTTTTTGTTCTGTTCCTCGGTTCCATTTATCTTCTCCACCCCCAGCGTCTTTTCAATGACATACTGTTCCCGCAAGTCATACCACCTCTCGACCAGGCCGACAACCGTACTCTTGCCAGAGCCGGAGGGGCCAACGATTGCGGTGTTCTTGCCCGCCTCAATGGTGAGGTTCAGACCGTCCAGGATCTTAACGTGTGGCCGGCTGGGGTACGCAAAAGTGACGTCTTTGAAGATGATGTCGTTTGTCGCAACGACATCTGGCTCCTTTAGATGACCAGTATCGGGTCGAGGAGCGTCAATAACGGCAAAGAACTCGCAGGCAGCCACCATGGCTCTGGAGACGGCCATTAGGGGGTTCGCGATTCGCTCGACAGACATGACGATCATCATGACGGACATGAGAACGACAATGGTGGTGCCAGGATTGGTCATCTCACCATCGGCGAATTGTTTGGTTCCAAACCAAAAGCTGAGGCCGAAGACAGCGTACGTACCAAAGAAGATGAGTCCAAATTGGAGGGCGAGCAAAGGCGCCATCCGCTGACCTTTGGCACGGGCGTCATCCACCCATTTGGCATAGCGAGCGCTCATGCTCTTCTGCGCGCCGCAGGCGGTCAGCATACGGATACTGCTGAAAGACTCGCTGGCAACGCCATTAGCCTTGGCCTCGGCCTTTGCCTGTTGATCCTGCAGCCGAACAATAAAGGGCAAGAAGATGCTGACAACGATCAGGATAAAGACGACGATTGAAAAGGTCACCAGGGTCAGTTTCCAGCTCCAGACAAAGGCGACGACGATAGCGCACCAGATGGTGCCATTGAACTCCATGAAGGTGCCAAGCTTTTCGGAGATGCCGATCTGGAGGGTGTTCGCGGTGCCGGTGATGGTGCTCGCGGCAGAACCGGACGGCATTGAGTCGAGCACATGGACAGACTGGCCAAAGAGAGACTGGATATAATGCAGGCGGATGGCGGAAGACAGTCGGACGCCGATCATACGGAAGCAAAACTTGTTGATGCAGTTGAGGATGAAGCGGCCAAGAAACAGACCCAAGATATAAAGAGACAACTGGTCTAGCAAGTCCTCGAACTCGGGCCGGGTCATGCGAGGGGGGTCCATGAAGTAATCGGTAAACTGCCCAGCGAGGCTCCCAAATACGATGTTCATTAGGGGTAGTGTAGTCCCGGCGCCGATGGACGCGATAGACGCGAAGAAGTAAATGACGATGTCCCATTTTGTGGCGTACGAAAAGACACGAACGTAATCCTTGAAGCCAGGTTCACGTTCGGGGCGCCTTTTGACCTCGATCGCCTTTTCAGACCCTTCATCTGAGGAGGCTGTCCCGACAGGTGGCTTCTCCATCATAAGAGATGTTTGTGGTTCTTCAACAGCCATAATGACAAGCGCCGAGTGTTGCGGCACCTTTGGTAGCCTAGCTGGCTTGGCCTGGAGATGCACTCTCTTGCAAACCAAGCAAGGGATTGACAGTTGTGAAAAGAAACGGGAAGACCTTGGCAAAAGTGAACGTCCAAAAGTGACGTCGCGAGCTTACACCGGTCGACCTTGACAACAAGAAGGGACAGAAATGCTCAGCAAAGACAAACAATCCGTAAAATTCCCGTGTATATTATAGGAGAAAAATTGGGAAGGAAACGGCGGAAAGTTGGAAAAATCCTCCATCAAAGAGAGGCTGCCTGGGGTGAACCAGGAGTATATACAGGGCGACGAAGGCGAGGGTGACACGCAGGCGGAGTGGAATGCGAACGGAGTGCCCGGCGCAACGACTGACTGCAATACTGGTCTAACTGGTATACGTGAGGACGAGGTACGCACACGCCAAGAGCCAATCATTGGCTGTTTTCTCTTGCGAATAGTGGGGCTGCGACTATCATTAGCAGACGGGAAGGATCTTTACTCCGAGCCTAATCTCTCAATGTTCTAGTGCAGAAGTCCGTGACAAGCATTCCTCTCTTCACCTCCATGTCACCAATGTGGGTTAGTGCGCCCATGAATTCGTTGCTGTATAGCGTCATCATATCTCTCCCTTTTGTCTTCCAATGCCCGCCATCATTAAAAATCCTGATAGTTCAATCGAAAAAATCTCCTGGTAGTGGACAGGGCGAGGGCCAAGGTACATGGTTCAGACTCATAAACTAGACACTACATCGTACCGCCTACATGGCTTGAGAGTTCACTCGATGCTTTGATCTTACTACTCATTAACCTCCTTGTCCAAGATGATCATTCTCAGAGTCCATTCTCAGAATCGTATCAGACTACAGTCTGAGAGACTTTCAAAGAACGTACTCGTCACAAAGGACCATGTCGATGGTTGTACGACCCAATAGCGGGCTTGAGTCGATATAAAAATGTAACTCGAGACTTGGCGGGGCCTGGGAGTTTATATAAACCTGCGTGTTGCAAACCCTCCGTCACCCAGTATCTTGGTTCGTATCGGCAGATCGACAATCAGATCGAAACCCTTTGTTAGAGAAAAAAGGATCCATTGTCGTGGTACTATAGGGTTTTCTTGAACTATATGTACTGCGTTGATTAACCTGCATTAGATCTCTATTCTCCCCACCACGCCACGTGAATTCCCACAATAGCATCTGGACTCAATGCTATCTAGTGGGCGACTACGTCCTGGTATTATGGCTTAACATGGTCCAAGCCAGACCTGTTGATCTTGGGCCGTCAACGGAGTTCAAGTCCTTACTGTTGGCTCCTGGCGTACTCGGTTCTCCTTGTCGGGCCGGTGCAAGCAGCAACTACTATGCTCCGAGACCAAACTACAACCACGGGTTGTTTCACAAGAACCCCGGGATCCGCTCATTCCTAATTATTCTTATGTATGTAAGAATCAGTCACAAGGTCATGGCATGTGGCTTGTCCGTGGCATAAATCGATGAAGAGGGTGGGCGACCGCCAAAAACCACTGCAGCTTTGGGCAGGTTCACGACGCCAAACCACTTCTCCCTTTCGAGCATTGATGAATTGTTAATGTAATTTTGAAATCTCCGCACCAATTTTTAGACGAGATGGAATGCATTGTTGGAGTGATTGGTGGAGGAAATGAGGTGTCATTCCAACCGGCCAGCCCGCTTTTCCGTAACAACTTGCTCTCTCATGTCACAAAAGCCAAGCCGGCTCAAGCGAATAGACAACTGGCGACTGTACATGATGAAATAATCAGTCAGGGTAGGGTGCTCCCTGCACCATGGCGGGTCGTTCTGCTTACGGACGTATTGCGTTATCCACCGCGATGCATTGTATCTGCTCCTGGCTGCCTTGGGCGGTCGGTCGACTCATCGGTTAGACTTTGTTGGTTAGGCTGTACCAAAAGTGAAAGGTGAAGCTCTACTTGGGTCGTGTCTTGGCTGGAAGAGGTCAAATTATTCAAACGATCGGCGACGGCGTTCTAGTCTCACGCACTCATTCTAGTCGACTGGACAGGAGCCTTACTCAGCGCTCCACATAGTAAAGTCTCAGTTGTAGACAGACTATATCTACTTAATGCGGGTGCTCTAGCGCCGGTACTCTGTGACTGCACTTCATTGGACATGTATGCCGCCGGATGAAGTGGCCGGAAGTAGGATGGCTGAGGAGCGGCAGGGGGTGAGACAACAGTGGGCGTGCACGCAACAGGCAGTTGAACCAAAGTACCTTGAGAGGCTTCCCTCCTTCCCGTGAACCAGCCATTCTCCGCTTGGCAGTTTCCAGGGACTTTAATAGATGGCTATACCAAAGATCTGGCCTTGTTCAAGGAACTTTAATCGCGGGTCGATGATGTGTATAGGTCCGATTTGAATACAATCGCAACCTAAAGTATGTCGCACCCAACTGCTGACGTGATATACAGCCCAGCCTCAAGGGATGAAATCTTCATCCGTTATGTATACGCTCGCCCTTGGAAGATGCCTTGGAACATTCGGCCCACTCACCTTGCCATGTTGAAGCACACTCATCCTTCGTGTCTTGGCCTAGCAGGCTGCGAGCCAAGTGTTCATTCTCTGCATACTAGCCCCTCTCCTAGATCTGATGATCTTGGCTCACACCATCCACACCGTCCTTGTGCTACCCTGCTTTCATCGTTCCTTTGGCTTACCGGTCAACACAAAGGCCTTGCGTTGATCGCGCCAGACCTCCTACTGCATTGCACCTGCCCAAGATGCAGCGGGTATCCACATGGGCGAATATCCCATTGCATCTATTAAACTGTTGCCGGCCCTTCCCTGCTTTACCCGCCTACGATGCTGAAGAAGGAGAAGAAGAAGCAAAGTTAAAGTGCATTGTCGAACCATGTCTCCCATCGAGAGCGATACTGCAACCAGCCGCCAGGGCAGCGGGTCCGCGGAAACGAGTCCTGCAGCTGACGTCTACTGCCCTCAACGACCATCCAGCTCAGGAGTTACGGCGAGAAAGAAAGAGCAAGATGTTTTTGGCCGCAAGGCGTATGGTACGTCGAGAAGACCACCGCAGTGTCTGGTTTGACACGGAGCAACTCAAGTGGCTAACGGTTATTCCGTGTCCAGGCCAGCATTCCAAAGCCAAGCTCCAGAAGCTCCAGGAGAAAGTAAAGGTCCACCAGCAATACGTTGAAGAATCCATCAAAGCGCAACCATGCACCACGACTCTGGCACCAACTTCAACGGCAACCTCCACAGTAGGGACCTCAATGTTCCCCGCCTCAACGATACAAAGCCATCCCAGCTTGGGAGTCGATTTCTTCATGAGTAAGTCCTTCTGTATAGATACTGACGCAATGTGTTTGCGTGTTTACATTGTCATGTAGCACCACCAGAGCACTTCGTCCCCGACTGTACGCCCTTCAGGACCCGAGCCGTAGACGAAGACGCCTTCCTCAACTCGTTTCAGTCACCTGCACCCTTCACATATGCCGCGCCATTCTACTCGTGGAACACGCTACCCGGCGCATACGACCCGCAAGAACCACTGACTCCGGGACCGTCATGCTCAGCTTCCGACATACTGACGGGATTCACAATGGACGATCCACTCTACTCGGCACAGAGCCTGCATGGCCTGCACGCGGACAATGTATCACAGCCCAGGCTCTCTCCGGAATACGCCTCGGCGGTGCATGGGGACAACGGGGTGCATGTCGAGTCGCCTGAATCGTCCCAGGGCCGTGTCCGTTACCTTATGGAGCAGGCCGCAGCCGTTGGGTTTGAGACTTTGGACGAAGCCATTGAGGCGTATTACACAGAGACGTTCGAGGACATGCCGGCATTGTACCAGGAGCAGAGGCTGAGCCGCAATCGGCGGTTGCCCCGACTACTGAACACGCTCCAGAGCGCCGCCAAGGGCTGGAGCGAATGGGAGAGGAGAGGGTTCCAGGAGCAGATCACCATGGGCGCCGAGGAGCTTCTGGTACAGGAGCTCAACACGTTTGTCAAGCAGCAGAGGCTGGGCGCCAGCGGCAGCAAGCCCGCAGACGGCGACGCAGGAAGAGGGCGCCTCGGGGGCGCGGACAACGTGTTGGCAAGGAGCCTACAGGTGCAAAACGACGTAAGTGCCGCCGTCGATTGGCCGCAGGAGCCCGCCACTAATCGGAACCGGGTCTCACAGCTTCCAAACCTCTGGGCCCTGACGACAGCCCTACTAGCAAGGGCCAACCCGTGCAGACAGGAGAACGGATCGGACACGGTCCTCGCCATCATCGAAACTCTGTGCCACGGCCGGGGCGTCGGTTCTGTGAGCGGCGGCCTAGACCGGTCGTGACCATGCGGCGGGTCGTTTGAGAGGGGGGCAAATACCTGTACTGCCCCCGCATATGATTAATTATTCTGTACATACACTATATCCAGACCCCGGTTGGCGAGGGTCATCCCCTCCCTCTCGTCCCACTGGCTAGTTTGCAATATCCGTACATAGAGTGCACTGTATAACACGCAACAATGTTAGAGACTTCTGAGAAAATACGTAGCAATCGGCCCAGCGGCCGCCCAGCGTCACATTGTGAGCCCCGACGATGATGACTGCCTACCCACCGCCCCCCGTGCACAGGTGATACGGCGGCGGCATCCCGGCGCGGGAGGGATCATGGCGGACCTGATCCTTCCTGGCTGCAAGATGACTAAATCGCGGCATTGGCAGACCGGAAAAGGATGGGCCGAGTGTCGGCGCCGCATCCCACGGGAATACAAAAAATTCTTCGTCGACGTCGCTGCAGGAACGTTGGCAGAGAGGGCCCTACGGACGGGGGGCCCAAAAGCCCAATCCAGCCGCCCCGGCTGCCCAGCCCGAACGATTAACAAGTGCCTAGTGGAGCGGGCCGCTGTGGCGCCTGCGGGCAAGGGTTTCGGGGAGAGAAATGGCCTGATTGGACTCGCCCCCCCTCGGCTCCCCGCTACGTAAGGCGAACAGTAATGATAATGACGCGAGAGGACTGTTTGGGGGTGAAAAGGGGGGGAGAGAGGAAGTTGTGGGCGTGGGGTTCTCGTTCCTCCAGGTGTCGAAGCCATCGCGGTCAATAGGCAACTTGAAGGGGGTTCCACGCCTGCAGGCAAAGATCTTTTGAGATTGTGATGCCCAGGATGACGATGGGGAGGGCACACCAATGAGGGCGGCGGGAGGGAAAACATGACATGCGCCAACGGCTCCTTTGTCTACGCCTACCGCGTGCGGCGTATGCCATTGCGCTGGGTGGCGCACATACAGTCGCGAGCCACCAAGAGCCACCAAGGAACGCGGAGGCGCAAGGCTTGTGGAGTCGTTCATCCTATTTTCTATATAAGTGCGATGGTACCCCATACATCACATACTAGCGCCATACGGAGTGACGGATATACCTAGGGCGTAGAGGGCCTGAGTTAGTATATGCACGGCACGGGCCATGTGCCCACACCAACGGTGGTCTCTCATCGCCAAATATGTCCCAAAGAGGACTTTCTTGCCTCCTTTTTCTGGATGTTTTAGTCTCCCTGCCTTGATCCGCGCCTGAGCTCGCATCAACAACCAAGACACGTCCCTATTCAGAAGAGACAAGCTCACTGTCGCGGATGTCCCATCCCTAGGGAAACGGTGTGGCGGAAGTGAGACCCAACGGGGAATTCTCACCGGGCTTGTCGCGTCTGGGGGTTTAGATTGTTTCGTCACATATAAAAATGCTGGGGAGAGAGTTTGCTCCCTGTCCGCAGAAAAACAGAGCGGGCCGTCGCTCTCGGGAACATGGTCCGAGCTTCTTCGACTACCTCACCGGACTTTAGAGGATGGGATGACCGGCCCTAGGCGGACCCATCGGCATCGAATACTACCACACATACCATGTACATACCATTGTACCTCTATGCAGAGTAATGCGGCGGCTGGTTATGCCTGTACCCTCTGCAGAAGTCGTCGGCGCGCTTGACAGGCTCGGGAACGGGCACGCGGCAGCCGTCGTGTAGTGGAGGGGACCACCCTGATCCCCATCGTCGATCCTCCTGGGCTGGGATCCTTCCACCCTCGCGCTTCTGCCTGATTGTGGCCGCTGGCCGCCAAGCGTCTCCCAATGTCTCCCAATGTCTCCCAATGTCTCCTAGTTTGCGTCCTCATTCCAGCTATGAAGCACCCTGCACCCACAACAGCCACAGGTTGGTTCCGATGTGGGGGGACCCGGTTGCACCGCATGCTGCTGTCAGACTGCATGCGCCGACGAACGACTCTGTATGTATGTAACATCGGTTGGGCAATGCCTCTCCACGGTGGACCTGCAGTGACACCACCGGCAGGGAACTACCGTAGGGGTGGAAAGGACGGGGTGATGGCGGATTGGGCTGGGTGGGAAGGATACGAAATTGCCCAGCTTCGTTGCAACATCTTCAGTGTAACCCTCCCGTTGTTAGTGGTAGCCGCATCTCCGCGAGCTCGTTCTGACCAATGACTTTACACGTTCCTTTGAAGCCGTCGCAATGGCGAAGTTTCCAAAGTCGCATCGATGGAGAGCAGATCTCATGTCATATTTTGGCTGACTGGTAGCGGCTCACGGCAGAGCGAGGGGTGTCGTGTCAAGCTTGTTCAGCCGTTCACTGCGGTCATTAAGCGGTAGCATTGAGTAAGGGACTTTGGTCGTGGTGGGTGGTGGGTTTTCGGTACTTGCTATCCACTTATAGTCGGTTCAACTTCTCACCGGTGGCGGGCCCATGCTCAGGAGCGGCCGACTCTCTCGACGGGTTACTCCCCGCGTACCGGCCCTCTTCTCCGTCCAACGTACAGCACCACGTCCGCGCTTACTGGGTGCGTCTCTTTCGACAGTGGTCAAGCCGCTGGCGCGCGCGAAGGGCGTTCGGTTGCTTGACTGACTGGTGGTCCATCAGACTAGTAGGCGTGTGCCATGTACGGCGGACTCCATTGGGAGCTTCCCGCAGAGAGAGAAACCACGCAAGGCTCTGCTCGAGCGTTGACGTCAGCTCTGGCGGTAATGGAAGAGATGGAGGCGGCAAGACACGGTGGGGATGAAGGAAGCGGTGGGTATCGAAGGAAGTGGTGGTGGGGTGAGAAGGAAGCGGTCAATTCCAAGGCGAGATGAGGCGAAGCGAGGCGAGGTAGGGCAGGCTGGCAAGCCAGTTTGACAGTGCAACTTGTACCAAGGAATCGGGCTGGAAATGGCCACTGTGGTGCAATGGTCGAAAGTCGGGGATTCAGTAGCCAACTCCGTTACCGCCCCAATGGCGAAACCCATTAGCAGTACCTGTTCTTGTTCGGTTACAGCTCCATCTGAGGGACAAACACGGGGGAAGAGGATGACTTGTCATTTTCGGCTGCAGCTCGCCTGCCTCTTGCGAGATTAAGTCAATTTCCCGGCATAAAGTGCGGAGGGCCACCGACGAATGACCCGGCGAAGGAATCATGGCAGATCCAGTGGCACTCTTGGGAATGAAACTGTTGAGGACAAGACACGTTGCCAGAGTTGACCAAACGAATTCCATTGCGTATAGGCATTGTTCCTAGTTGTAGATTACGATAAACGCCGCATCCAGAAATTCAATTCAACAATACTGAAAAACAGGCAAAAAAAGAGACCAAACGATAGAGAGAAACATGGAAACAATGACTGTAGTATGTACAAAAAGAAACTGGCAAAGACTGCCAAAGACAACCAAAGAACGCCCCAAGCCGGAACGCCGAATACAAAGTTTGCAAATCCCAAACACCCATTGCCCTTTCGCCAAAAGTAGTAACTATGTGAAGTCTGCCACGTATCCGGACTGCTTGTGCTCGCCAGGTTGGTATCTTTTCTTCATGCTGAGGAAGATTCATTGTTTGCAATGACATCTAGCTGCGTTGCCATGTTGACAGGAGTATCATGGAGAATGGGAAAGGCGTCAAGTTTCTGGCCTCTTTGACGAGCATGGCATGACTGAATTGTGCGATACTTAAAGCATCATGCTATTACAGTCTCTTCCGCCTTATCCAGTAGTTTGTGTAGTAGAGCAGGCTTTGGTAGTTGGGTTGAAATTCGCTGTTGCTCAATGTTGTGTTTTGTTTCCATTGGATGTGTGCTTCGCCTTTCCATTTGATGTGTGCTCTCCGTTTCCGTTGGACGTGTGTTTCTCATCCCCAAATGATGCGTGCTTCCCGTTTCCATTGGACGCGTGCGTCCCGTTTCCGTTTGATGTGTGCTTGTCGCCGTTTGATGTCTGCTTTGCGCTTCCGTTGGAAGTCTCAGGCAGTGGATCCCGTAAGACTGAGCCCAAAGCCTGGATCTTCTCGCAGAGATCGAGCAGCATGTTGTCGACCGTTGCCTCGTCGCAGAGCCGCCGGTTTGCGCCGACGACAACCCGCAAGTGGATTCCATCGGCGTCCGGGATACCCACAATGTCCACATCGTGCATGGAGACGTCGTTGACCGTCTGTCTGTCCATAGTGGGATCCTGCTTGCTTGGCTCTCGCGGATCGGCCTCTCGCTCGAGGTATCCCAGCTGGATGCGCTGGTCGTCGCCGCCGCTGTGGGGGTGCATATCAAAGTTCTGGTATGCCGCATAGCAGCTGAAGTTGTCCACCGTCTCCGGCCACTCCGTGCAGTTCTCCCTAATGTCATCCAGGCCCAGTGTCTCAAAGGGTAAGCTGTTGACGTATTGCTCTTGCACCTTGCGGAGCATCTCCCTCGGCTGGTTCGCTGAGTCCAGGGACACCCGGACCGGCACGGCGTTGGAGCACGGGCCGACAACGTGTTGGCTGCTGATCGGCAAGCACTGACGGCCAGATACGACGCGGCCAAAGACGACGTCGTTGGTTCCGATTTCCTTGCCGAGCATGAGAGCGCATGCCGTTGTGAAGACCGTAGCCGGCGTGATGCCGTCGGCGTTGGCCTGGAACGGCGCCTCGATAATCTTCTCCGACAACCAGGTGCCGTTGGGACGTTCATGCCCGTCATCTTGGTGATGCCGGCCAGTGCCGTCGGCGCCCGTCATGAACGTCATCGAGGAGTTCTGCAGGACCGAACGCCAGAACTTGTAACCGTCCTTGCGGGTGTTCATCATGTGCTGGACGAAGCGGGAGAACCTGGGCTGCGTCGGCAGACGCTCGCCGATGTAGAGGGTATGGAGAGCGCGCAAGACGTGCTCGAAGCTCAGACCGTCGTAGATAGCGTGATTCATCCGTAGCACCATGCGCACAGGAGATGCTGGCTTCTTGAGAATGGCGATGCGTAGGAACGAGTGTCCGAAGCGGAGCGGCTCATGCGCATCTATGTCTACGAGGGCGCGGGTCGCACTTGTCAAGTCTCCCTCGACCTGAATGACTTCGGTGGGCACGTCCAGATGATCCAGGACCACCTGGTAGAACTTGCCGGCAGCCGACAAGAACACGGTTCGGAAGATGTCGAAATGCCGGACCAGAGCGGCAGAGGATTCCGTGACCTTCTTGGGGTCCGAGCCGACCGGGAAGTCGATGAAGAATAGGGTTGGAGCGCGTGGCTGTCCCGTGATGGCGTCCTGGATAAAGATCTTTTGCGTCCACGAAGCAGGATACGAGTCCTGGATCTTTCCGTGGGAAGGATCCAGCTGGGAGGCGAGCTCTCGCTGGACGAAGCCCTCCGGGTCTTCCTGCGAAAGGAGCTGGAAGGGTTCGCTGTCGACCAGCTTTGACGTTCCGTTGTTCGCGCCATCTAACATGGTCTGCAGGATTTTGTCGGCAAGGTCCGCGGGGGCCGGCTTGTCGAAGATGTCCTTGACGGACACGTGAATGTCTAGTCGCCTGCTGATGCGTGCCGCGAGCTTCGCCGCCATGAGCGATTGTCCGCCGAGATCGAAAAAGTTGTCAGTAATGCCGGTCTCGATGCCGAGGACGTCGGCAAACTCTTCGCACAGGGCCTCTTCGACCTCGTTGCGTGGTGCCACGCGTTCTGAGGATGGCTTGCTGACCGGAGCGGCCTGCGCTTTGCGTGTGAGCTCCCGCCGATCAATCTTGCCGTTGGCGTTGACGGGCATCTGATCGAGGGCTATGATTTGAGCCGGGATCATGTATGGCGGGAGCAAAGTCTGGAGCTGCTCCCGGATCTGCGCTTCCACCTTGCGACTCTGAAGGCGCTGGAGTGGGCGGTTCGTGAGGAGGCTTGCCGGCCGGCCCTGATCCTCGGTGGGGAACTGGAACAGGACCCGAGATCCCTCATTGTCGGGTTGGTACCGGTGGAAAACGGCGTCAATGCCGCCATTTTGGGATCTCTGCCGTGCCCAGCTGAGCTCTACGCGGAATCCTGCTTCCTCGCCGAGCTGACCCAGATCCAGTGCAGATAAAGCCACGCGGTGCTCAGCGGCGTTGCGGATATCCGAAACCCAGGTTGCACCATCAACGCCATCTTGAGCGTCGTCGTCGTCTTGTTCCAGTGATTCAACCAGCAGTCTTTCGAACATGGTCTTGCTGTAAGGTATGTTGCCGATAGAAATGGCGGATGCGTCCGAGGAGCCCTGCAGCAGAGCGAGGAGGCCGTGACGGTCCATTGACGAGGCCTGGAAATCGACCCAAGAGTCAGGGTTGACCGCATGCACGGTCTGTGTAGGCTCTTCCGCGCCTCGAACGTGTATGACAGCTGCGTATCGGTATCTGCTCAGCTCGTTGGTGGCCTTCATCCGCTTGGGTAGGATTTCCACGTGCCAGATGCGTTCGGGCATCCGGCTCAGTAGACTCGTGAAAAAGGCCGGATCGACCAACAGCTCTTCCTCATTTTCTTCCAACTCGGTGATCTTTTGACGAACGCCGTCTCGGCTTATGTTTTCTCCCAATGAATGCAGAGCTCTGCCTGCAAGGAAGCCCCTGTTCGTGGCGTAGGTACGCATATCGCCGAAAAATAGGCGCTTGACTCCCGGCAGTCTTGTAAGGTTCTGGATCACCTCCAGGAGATAATCGGCCGAGGGGAAATATTGTGCGACAGAGTTGGTGACGACCATGTCGGTGCGGGATTGGGTCACCTGGTCCAATCGACCAACATCTGTCGCCGTGCCGACATGTACATGTGCCTTGCCAGCAAATGATGGGTGGGCGTTGATGCTGTCGTTAACAAAGGCGGCAGCTGAGCTGGAGGGCTCGAGACCGATGTAGTTCTCCAGCCCTTGACCCAGATTGAAGAGAATCATGCCAGTACCCGTACCGATTTCGAGTACACGACCAGCTGGTTGGCCGTCAAGTAGGGCCACCATGCCCTCGTCAAGCCATTCCTGCATCTCTGCCGTGTCGATGAGGGTACCGTCGTACATGGACGTCCAACCCAAGAAGTCGTTGCCAATGACAGACTGGTCGATGGTTTCGAGATCGGCGTAAGTGCCGATTTCGAAATGGGTTCCCCAGCCTTCCACCTGCTTACTTGCCTCGTCTTGGATGGACTGGTCTTCCTGAACGGTGACGAAACCAACCATCTCCTGATCATGGCCTGATGAACTGCGAATTACGATGGCTGCGTCCCGGACGACGGGATGCCTCAGCATGGCAAGCTCGACCTCGGCCGGCTCGATCCGGTGGCCACGGATTTTGGTCTGCTGGTCGATGCGACCGAAGAACTCAATCTGGCCATCCGATGGCCTGTATCGGGCGCGGTCACCGGTCCGGTACACCCGTACAAGGCGACCTTCAATAGTGACATGCATAAAGCGGTTCTTATCCAGCGCTGGGTCCGTATATCCACGAGCAAGGCCGTCTCCCGTTACGACAAGCTCGCCCATGACGCCGATAGACACTAGTTGCTGGCGCGAGTCCATGATGTAGGCTCCAGAGTTGCTCACGGCCTGACCGATTGGCACGCCGTGCTCAAAGACATCGCCATTTTTGATCTTGTAGATGGTACTAGCGACAGTATTCTCAGTGGGGCCGTACGCGTTGTAGACGCCAGTTCTCACGAGGGCTTGGGCATCTGTGGCATCCGAGGGGTTCAGTCGATCTCCACCGACATAGAGGATTTCCAGCGCTTCCAGAGTAGCTGGGATGTTTGCAATGCACTGCTTGAGGAGCGCGGGCGAGAGCATGGCCACACGGATGTTTTCGCGAGCAAAGACAGCCTCAAGAGCCCGACTGTCCAGGGTGGTGAAGTAGTCGATACAGACAAGAGTGGCGCCATTGAGGAGGGCGGTATACATCTCCCAGGCCGAGGCGTCAAAGGCAATGTTTGATACATGCGCAATGGTCGTTGCCTCTGGAAGTTCACGTACAATGTTGCTCTGCTTCACGAGTCGGACAATACCGCGGTGCTCGACCATCACGCCCTTGGGCTTGCCGGTAGATCCTGACGTGAAGATGACGTACGCAAGGTTTGTTGGCGATGGGAGAGAGATTCTTGCAGGTGCTTTGCTTGAGGGTTGACGCGATGAAGCAATGGCGTCGGCCAAAGGAACGAACTCGAGGTTGGGCAAGCGAACGTTCGGCGTGGACACGTCGGAACCAAGGAGAACAAGCTTAAGTCCAGGCACAGCCGAAAGGATTGACTCGAGACGCGCGGCGGGGACGTTGACGTCGAGGGGAAGATAGGCAAGGCCTGCTTTTAGGATGGCGAGGAAAGCAACGGTTGTCTGGCACGATCGTGGGGCAAGCACGGCTACAAGCGTCTCCGTCTCCATCTGCTGTAGCCGGAGCCAGGCAGCGAGTTGGTCTGACTTTTCGCTGAGCTGAGCATAAGTCAGCTGTGACGAGGCGTCCTTGACGGCGATCCTCTCAGGATGTGTGGCCACCTCGTCAAGGAAGACGTCCACCACGCTGGACTGTCTGGGATAGTCCGTCTTTTCAACCTCCAGCAGGCCCATGCTACGCAGCGCCGCTAGCCCGTTGGTCAGCGGCAGGCTTGCGATGGGCGTCTCTGGCTGTGCGAGACCGCGCTGTAGGACTTCCTGGAAGATGTCAACCAGGCCACGCACAGTTGCGGGCTCAAATAGATCGGCGGCATAGAGCACGTTTCCGCCCAGGTAGCCTTCCTCCTGGAAGAGGTGGAATTCAAGGTCGAAGCGGGTGGTGATGGCCGTGGGCAATGGCTCGCCGGCAAGACCTTCGAGTTTGATACGTCCAAGGTCTTGCTGCGAATGGACGGCAAACATGAGCTGCACCAACGGGTTGCGGGAGGTATCCCTGGACCCAGGAAGAAGTGCCGAGACCACGCGTTCGAAGGGAACGTCCTGGTTTTCAAAGGCAGCAGTTGCTGTGTCGCGGACCTGCTGAACTAGGCCGTCAAAGGATTCATCGTCAATGACGACTCGCATACACTGTGTATTAACGAAGAAGCCGATCAACTCTTCTAATTCGGGACGGTTGCGGTTGGCCATAGGCGTCCCAATTGTTGCGTCTTCTACGCCCGTCAAGCGATAGTGAGCTGCGCGGAAAGCAGCCAGGAGGACTGCAAAGGGGGTAACTTGTCGTGTCCGGCAGAAGCTTTGAAGATTCTCGTAAAGGGGACCGTCGATTTTGACTTGAATAACGCCTGCCTCGCCAGATAGCACGGTTGGGCGTGGTTTGTCGCAAAGAAGCTCTGCAGGAGAGCTATCGGCGAGCTGCTGGGTCCAGTACTCCAATTGTCTCTGATGTTCGGCGACTTGGTCCTTTGTCTTTTGCCATACCGAAAAGTCACGGTACTGGATGGGAAGAGGTGCCACCTGGGCCAAGGGATCTTGACCTCTCAGCGCAGCAGCGTAGAAGATTCCTAGCTCCCTGCGCAGGATATCGACTGACCAGCCATCAGAAATGATGTGGTGCATGACAACAGAGAGGATGTGATCCTCCTCGCCAAGACGGAAGAGCGCTACCCTCCATCCTGGTTCAGAGGCTAAGTTGAACGGAACTTGCTGTTCCTGCTGTAGGAGATGTAAGGGCCCGTTGGGGTTCTCGTTCGACACATTGATGACTCTGAGTGGCTTGGCGTGACTGGGGTTAACAATTTGTACGCCGACGCCATCATGCTCCTCGAATGTTGTACGAAGCGTCTCGTGTCGTTGCTCAACAGCATGCAAAGCGGTCTGCAGAGCTTCAACGTGAATCTTGCCACGCATGCGTACAGCAAGGGGCATGATATACCAAGCCCCACCAATGTTGAACTTGTCCAGGAACCAAAGGCGACCTTGCGCAAACGACTGCTCAACAGGCCCGTTATACGGCGTTGGGATAATTGCGTTGTGGAGCATCGACCCTTGCTGAATCACAGCTGCGAGATCAGCAAGAATAGGTTGGTCAAAGACATCCTTGACGGATACGCGGGCATCTAGCCGGCGGCTAATACGCGCCGCAAGCTTCGTTGCCATGAGAGAGTGCCCGCCCAGGTCAAAGAAGTTGTCTGTAATGCCGACCTCAACCCCAAGTAGATCGGTAAACTCCTCGCATAGTGCCTCTTCCACTTCGTTGCGTGGCGCTACACGTATCGCGGTGGCACTCGTCCTTGGTGCAGTGAGGGCCCTCTGAGCGAGTTCGCGACGGTCGACCTTGCTGTTGGCGTTCAATGGGAGCTGGTCCAGGACGATGATCTGGGCTGGTACCATGTAGGGTGGAAGCAAGGTCTGAAGGCGCTGGCGTATCTCCCTCTCGGTGTCCCAAGCGAATTGTTGTTCTTTCTCGAGGCTTTCGGCGTGCGAAGTAGAGACACCATTGGCATATCGGGCTGCGACGAAGCCCACGATATCCGAATCCTGACCTTCTTGCTTGCGGAAGACAACAGCGGCGTCAAGGACGGTGCTAATGCTGAGCATGGCTTGTTCGATCTCGGCCGGCTCGATACGGTGACCCCGGATCTTCACTTGCTGATCCATACGTCCGAAGAATTCAATCTGGCCATCTCCAGGTCGGTATCTTGCGCGATCACCCGTGCGGTATGCTTTGACAGACCGCCCGGAAATCTTGACCTGCACGAAACGGTCCTTATCCAATGCCGAGTCAGTGTAGCCACGGGCAAGGCCATCTCCTGTCACGACCAGCTCACCCATGGTACCAATGGGGGTAAGCTGTTGACGCGCATCCATGATGTAGGCTCCAGAGTTGCTGATAGACCTTCCGATAGGAACGCCGTTGATGCAACGCTCATCTGCGCCCATGGAGTACACAGTACTAAAGGTCGTATTTTCTGTTGGGCCGTATACGTGGCAGAATGCTTGCTGGACAAGTTCGCGTGCTTTGAAGGCATCCTTTGGTCGCATGGTTTCACCTCCAGCGAAGAGCAGATCCAGGCCACTGATAACAGATGGCATCTCCTCGAGGAATTGCTTGAGAAGCGCTGTTGTTACGAAGGCGGCTGTAACCCTGTTGGCTACAAGTGCCTGGCCAAGGGCAGTTGGGTTCAGCACTGTCATGTGGTCGATGCACACCACTGTGCCTCCATTGAGGAGAGGTGCGTAAATCTCCCACGTGGCGGCGTCGAAAGCCAGGTTGGAGATGTGGGCAATCGGCTTAGCTGCTTGTGACTGTGTCATCAAGTTGGTCGACTTGACGAGGCGCATAATGCTGCGGTGTTCGACCATCACGCCCTTGGGCCGGCCAGTTGAGCCGGATGTGAAGATAACATAAGCGAGACTGGTGGCGGTGGCAGCGGCGCGCAGACGGGAGTCGACAGGGCTGACGGTTTGTCCCTGGCTAAGAGCGTGACTGATTCGTACTTGTTCAATCTCTGGGGACTCGGCCGTGAGATTGGGCACACCATTGCCGAGCAAGACCAACTTGTGTCCTGGGACGGCGGATAGAATAGCTTCGACGCGAGCAGTAGGAACGTTCACATCCAGCGGCAGATAGGCGAGATTGGCTTTGAGGATACCCAGGAATGTGACGACAGTCTGGCACGAGCGCTGCGCAAGCACACCAATGAGCGTTTCGGGTGCTATCTGTCGAAGCTGGAGATAGGCGGCGATTTGGTCGGACTGCTGATCCAGCTGATGGTAGGTCAGAGAGGATGTGACATCAGAGACGGCTACCGCTTCCGGGTGGGCCGAAGCCTGGTCCTTAAAAGCATCCACGACGCTTGCGTCGCGCGGATAGTCTGTGGTCTCCATATCGAGAAGGCTCATTTGACGCAGCTCGGCGAGTCCATGGGTAAGGAGAAGTCCGGCGATTGGCACCTCAGGCTGTCTGAGGCCCTGAGATAGAACTTCCTGGAAGACGTTGACTATGCCACTAACCGTCTCCTCCTCGAAAAGGTCTGTAGAGTAGAGGACGTTGCCACCCAGACAGCCATCCTGCTGCGCGAGATAAAACTCTACATCGAATCGAGTGGTTGGCTTCATCGACAGAGGTTCACCTTCGAGTCCCTCCAAGTGAACCTTTCCAAGGTCCTGTTGCGCGTGAAGAGTGAACATAAGCTGAACCAGGGGGTTGCGAGACGTATCTCTCGATCCAGGCAGAAGCGTAGAAACAATTCGTTCAAACGGCACATCCTGGTGCTCAGAGGCGGCTGCCACAGTTGATCGAACCTGACCAACCAACTCGTTGAAGGTTCCCTTGTCAGTTACGGCTGTCCGTATACACTGCGAGTTGACGAAGAAGCCAATCATTTCTTCAAGCTCTGGCTGGTTGCGGTTGGCAATGGGTGTGCCAATGGCGGCGTCCTCTACACCAGTCAGGCGATAGTGCGTAGCCCGGAAGGCTGCAAAGAGGGCGGTGAAAAGCGTTGTCTGGTTCGTCCGGCAGAACTCTTGAAGGTTGTCGTACACAGTTCCGTCGATCTTGAATTGGATAACACCAGCGTCGCCAGACAGTTTAGTAGGCCGTGGCTTGTCGCAAAGAAGGCTGGCTGGCTGGCTGCTATCGAGCTGGTCCTTCCAGTAGGCCAGTTGTCTGTCTTGCTCGGCCACCTGCGCCGGTTGTTTCTGCCACACCGCGAAATCACGGTATTGAATAGGGAGAGGCGAAACCTGCGACAAGGGGTCTTTTCCATCAAGTGCGGCGGCGTAGAAAGCAGCCAGCTCGCGCTGAAGAACATCAAGAGACCAGCCGTCAGATATAATGTGATGCATCACAATAGACATGACATGGTCCTGGTCTCCTAGCCGAAGCAGGGTGACTCTCCAACCTGGCTCGGAAGCCAAATCGAATGGTGTCTTCTGATCCTGCTGCAGTTGTTCCATGAAGTCCTCCCCAGCCGGCACATTGACCACCTTGAGTTGTCTCCTGTGAGCTGGCTGGACAACTTGCACACCGACACCTTCATGGCCCTCAAAAGTTGTACGAAGAGTCTCGTGGCGTTGTTCAAGAGCGTACAATGCGGCTGTGAGGGCATCAGTCCGAAGCGGGCCATGCAGTCGCACCGCAAGAGGTACAAGGTATCCCGTTGCGCCAAGGTCAAGCTGCTCGAGGAACCAAAGGCGACCTTGGGCGAAAGACTGCTCAACGGGCCCAAAGTATTCGCCTGCCTCAATAGCCTTGTGTTGCGTTGAATCTTGCTGCATCGAGACAGCAAGGTCAACGATAACAGGGTGGTCAAAGATATCCTTCACTGAGACCCGAGTGTGGAACCGTCGGCTTAGGCGTGCCGCAAGCTTGGTCGCCATCAGCGAGTGCCCGCCAAGGTCGAAGAAGCTGTCGGTAATGCCGACATCGACGCCAAGCACACTCGCGAACTCGTCACACAGGGCAGCCTCAGTGTCGTTGGTTGGCGCTGTGCGTGTAGATGTCTCCTTGCCCTTAGGCGCTGCCTGAGCCCTGCGCGCAAGCTCGCGGCGATCGTTCTTGCCGTTGGCATTAAGAGGCATCTGATCCAACACGATGATCTGGACCGGTACCATGTAGGGCGGGAGCAGGGTCTGGAGTCGTTGAAGGATCTTCTTCTCCGTCACGGCGGCGGCGACGGTGTCGGCAGTGACGCCCTGAGCGACAATGAAACCGACAACATCGGCTTCCTCGCCTTCAAGCTTACGGAGAACAACGGCCGCATCGAGAACGGCGGATTGGCCTAGCATGGCTTGCTCAATTTCCGCTGGCTCGATGCGATGACCGCGCACCTTGATCTGCTGGTCGATACGGCCGAAAAACTCAATCTGGCCGTCTCCAGGGCGGAAGCGGGCCCGATCACCAGTTCGGTAAGCCCGTGTGAGCTGGTTGTTGACGGATATCTGGACGAAACGATCGGTATCTAATGCCGGGTCCGTATAACCGCGAGCAAGACCGTCGCCTGTCACAACAAGTTCGCCCATCACGCCCATGGAGACAAGCTGCTGGTGGGCATCTACAATGTAGGCGCCGGTGTTGTTAATGGCTCGTCCGATAGGAACGCCATTCACGAAGTCTTCGTCTCCCTTGACTGCATATACAGTGCTCGTGACTGTGTTCTCCGTGGGACCATACGCGTTATAGACGTTGACCTGTACAAGGTCTTGGGCTTCAATGGCGTCTCGCCCGTCAAAACGGTCACCAGCAGCCAGGATGATGTCTAGGGCAGCAATCGCAGCAGGCGCATGGGCAAGGCACTGCTTGAGTAGCGAAGGAAGAAGCATCGCCGCCTGGACTCTTTCCTGGGTGAAGACGATCTCGAGCGCCTTGCTGTCAATAGTCGTGTAATAATCGATGCAGACCACTGTTCCGCCGTTTAGGAGAGCAATGTAGATTTCCCAAGTGGAATTATCGAAAGCAGTGTTGGAAAGGTGCGCTACACGTGGCGCCTTGGGCAGCTTGTACATGAGACTGCTTTGCCTCACCAACCTGTTGATTCCATGGTGCTCGATCATAACACCCTTGGGACGGCCGGTTGAACCGGACGTAAACATGACATAGGCCAGGCTCTTTGCATGAGGTCGAGCAACATTGTCTGCGTCCCTGTGGTTCACGACAGCGGCTAGCGCGTCGGTAAGCGGGACCAGCTCAACATCTTGCAGCGGTGAGTCGGGTGCAGGCACGCCGCTGCCGATGAGAACCAACTTGCGACCAGGAACCGTTGAAAGAATCGTTTCGTTGCGGGCAGCTGGTACATTGACGTCAAGTGGTAGGTACGCCAGGTTAGCCTTGAGGATTCCGATAAAGGCAACGATGGTTTCGCAAGACCGCGGCGCAAGGACGCCAATCAACGTCTCAGCAGAAAGCTGGCGTTGACGTAACCAAGCTTCAAGTCTGTTGGATTGTTCGTCAAGCTCGGCGTACGTGAGCATTGAAGACGTGTCCGTAACAGCAATTGCCGTCGGATGGGCGGCCACCTGCTCAGAGAACAAATCTACTACGCTGGATTCCCGCGGGTAGTCTGTCTTGTTGAGCTCGAGCAGGCCCAACTCATTAAGTGATGCTAGCCCGTCGGTAAGAGGTAGGCTTGTAAGGGATATCTCAGGCTGCTCAAGACCACGACGTAGGACCTCGTGGAAGACGTCAACTATACATTGGACGGTCTCTGGTTTGAAAAGGTCAGCGGCAAAGAGTACAGTGCCACCAAGGCCACCTTCCTCGTCAAACAAGTGGAATTCGAGGTCGAAGCGGGTAGTGGGCGCCATAGGAAGGGATTCGCCCACAAGGCCTTCAAGCTGCAGTTTGCCAATATCCTGCTGGGAGTGAACTGCGAAGAGGAGTTGGACGAGCGGGTTACGTGAGGTGTCTCTTGAGCCGGGCAGGAGAGCAGATACAATGCGTTCGAACGGGACGTCCTGATTCTCGAACGCTGCTGTGGTTGTTGACCGGACTTTTCGCACCAGCCCGTCAAAAGTCTCCTCCTCGCCTTCAATAGCAATCCTCATGCACTGGGTGTTGACGAAGAAGCCGACCAAGTCTTCAAGTTCAGGGCGGTTGCGGTTGGCTATGGGCGTGCCGATAGTAGCGTCCTCTGTGCCCGTAAGGCGGTAGTGAGCTGTGCGGAATGCAGCAAGTAAGACCACAAAGGGGGTTGTGAAATGGCTGCGACAGAAGGCTTGGAGACTTTCGAATAGGCGACCCTTGATCTGGAGCTGGACAACGCCTGCGTCACCAGAGAGGACCTCGGGGCGAGACTTATCGCATAGCAGGCTGGCTGGCTGGCTTCCGTGAAGTTGTTCCTTCCAGTAGTCAAGTTGGCGTTCGTGCTCGGCCACCTGCATTTCTTGCTTTTGCCAAACTGCGAAGTCGCGGTACTGGACGGGTAAGGGGTCAATGTGGGATAAAGGATCTGCGCCTGTGAGAGCAGTGGTGTAGAGCTGGCCGAGCTCTTTGCGCAGGACATCGACCGACCAACCGTCAGAGATGATATGGTGCATCACGATTGACAGAACGTGATCATCATCGCTGAACCGCAGAAGTGCGACTCGCCAACCTGGCTCTGAGGAAAGATTGAAAGGGGTTGTCTGTTCCTTGCGAAGCGTTGCCAGGTAGCTCTTTTCGTCTGAAGCGGAGATTTCAATCAGTCTAAGTTCCTTAGCCTGGCTCGGCTGGACGATTTGGATGCCAACGCCGTCGTGGTCCTCGAAGGTCGTTCGGAGGGTTTCATGGCGTTGCTCTAAAGCTTGAAGTGCGGCACCGAGAGCCTTGATGTTGAGCTGACCACGTAAACGAACAGCAAGCGGTACGAGGTACCAGGATGCTGCAAGTTCAAGCTGCTCGAGGAACCAAAGGCGACCCTGGGCAAAAGACTGCTCGACGGGCCCAGTGTAAGGCGTAGGAAGAATGGGGCTGTACTGAGTTGAGCCTCGCTGGATTGTACTGGCGAGGTCAGCTAGCACTGGGTGGTCGAAAATGTCCTTGACGGATACGCGAGCGTGAATGCGGCGGCTGAGGCGAGCCGCAAGCTTTGTTGCCATAAGAGAGTGGCCGCCGAGGTCGAAGAAACTATCGGTAATCCCGACCTCAACGCCCAGTACATTAGCGTACTCCTCGCAAAGAACGGCCTCGACGTGGTTGCGCGGTGGGACGCGCTCAGAGACGATGTCGGACGTTGCCGTGCTGTCGGTCGTCAATGTCTGAGCCCGGCGGGCCAGCTCGCGGCGGTCGACCTTGCCATTGGCATTAAGAGGCATTTGACCCAGTCGTGAGGTTCGAGCAGGGACCATGTATGATGGGAGGACATTTTGTAGGTGTTGTCTGAGGTCTTTTTCCATCTTTGCGGCGAACTTTTCCTCTCCCGATGCATCGTCTTTGTTCACGACGCCGTTGGTGTACTGAGCGGTAAAGAAACCGATAAGCTCCGGGTCCCGGCCGTCCTCTGACTTTGAGAAGACGATGATCGCGTCACCGACCCCGGCGTAGCTGAGCATCGCCTGCTCTATCTCGGCGGGTTCGATTCGGTGGCCTCGGACCTTGACCTGCTGGTCCATACGGCCGTAGAATTCGATCTGGCCGTCCGTGGGCCGGAAGCGGGCACGGTCTCCTGTTCGGTACGCCCGAACAACCTGGCCGGCGATCGTAACGTCAACAAATCGATTTAGATCCAGGGTTGCGTCGGTGTATCCGCGTGCAAGGCCGTCACCAGTGACGACGAGCTCTCCCATAACGCCGATAGGTACGAGCTGCTGGCGCAGGTCCATAATATAAGCCCCTGAGTTGCTGATGGCTCGGCCAATTGGGACGCCATTGGCGCACTGCTCCTTTGGATGCATCGGGTACATCGTACTAAAGGTTGTGTTCTCCGTTGGGCCGTAGACGTGGCAGAAAGAGTGGCGCACCAGCTGTACCGCCTTCTGCGCATCTTGCGGCCGCATCCACTCACCACCCGCAAACAAAAGGTCAAGACCGCTGATAATTGAGGGCGTTTCTTCCAGGAACTGCTTCAAGAGGGCAGTCGTAAAGAAGGCAGCGGTGACTCTCTTGCTGGAGAGGACTCGGCCAAGGTCGCCAGAGTTGAGAACCGTCAGATGATCAACGCAAACGAGCATACCTCCGTTGAGAAGCGGGGCATAGATCTCCCAGGTGGCCGCGTCAAAGGCCAGGTTGGAGATATGGGCGACGGCCGCCGTTGCCTGCACCTGGGGGATCAAGTTGGTTTCCTTGACCAGGCGGACGATGCTTCGGTGCTCAACCATAACGCCCTTAGGCTTGCCAGTAGAGCCGGATGTGAAGATAACGTACGCGAGGCTGTTTGCGTTGGGTTGAGAGATGAAGCTGCTCGCATTGTTGCTCACACCGTTGGGGTTCACATTGTCGCTGAGAGCGTCACTGATTCGCACTAACTTGACGTCGGGCAGCGAAATATCGGTAGAGACCTCCGGGCCGACCAGGACCAGCTTTTTCCCAGCGACGGAGGAGAGGATCGCCTCAACACGCGCGGTGGGCACATTGACATCGAGAGGCAGATAAGCCAGGTTGGCCTTAAGGATACCAATGAAGGCAACAACGGTCTCGCATGATCGAGGTGCAAGCACACCCACCAGGGTCTCAGGACTGAGGTGACGCCGCCGCAGCCAGTTGGCAAGCTTGTCGGATTGTTGATCCAGTTCGGCGTACGTCAGTTGAGAAGTTGCGTCTGTAACGGCAATGGTGTTTGGCTGTGCGATGACCTGTTTGCAGAAAAGCTCCGTAACACTTGTCTCTCGAGGGTACTTGGTCACCTCAATGTCAAGCAGGCCCCTGTTACGAAGATCTTCTTCAGCGTGGGCAAACGGCAGGGCCCCCAATGGGGCTTCCGGTTGCAGAAGTGCCTGGCGGAGGACCTCTTGGAAGATATCGACTACACTGCGAATAGTCTCAGGCTCGAACAAGTCGGCAGAATAGAGCACAGTTCCACCTAGACGCTCAGCCTCCTGGAAGAGATGGAACTCAACGTCGAATCGGGTTGTGGCGGCTGAGGGCATGGCCTCGCTGGTCAATCCTTCCAGCTGGATCCGTCCAAGGTCTTGTTGAGAGTTGAGGGAGAACATGAGTTGGACCAATGGGTTGCGGGATGTATCCCTGGAGCCAGGGAGCAGAGCCGATACGACGCGCTCAAAAGGCACATCCTGATTTTCAAACGCAGCGGTTGCTGTGGAGCGGACCTGTTGAACAAGGCTGCCGAACGTCTCATCTTCGTCAATGACGATTCGCATACACTGGGTGTTAACGAAGAAGCCGATCATATCCTCAAGTTCAGATCGGTTGCGATTGGCGATAGGCGTGCCGATTGTTGCATCGTCGGCCCCTGTGAGGCGATAATGTGCTACACGGAACGCAGCGAGAAGCACAGCAAAGGAAGTAGTCTGCTGAGCGCGGCAGAAGGTCTGTAAGGCGTCGTAAACCTCGCCCTCGATGCTGAGTGACACGGCACCTGCGCTGCCTGACAAGACAGTTGGTCGTGGCTTGTCACAGAGTAGTCTTGCTGGTTGACCACCTTGCAGTTGCTTTGTCCAGTACTCTAGTTGACGGTCGTGTTCGGCCATCTGGGCCTCTTGCTTCTGCCAGACGGTGAAGTCACGGTATTGGATCGCAAGCGGGCTTAAGTGGGTGAGGGGATCCTGGCCTCGGATAGCCGCGGCGTACAGGGCTACCAACTCGCGCTGAAGAACCTCGATGGACCAGCCATCGGAGATGATATGATGCATGACGATTGAGAGAATGTGATCATCGTCGCCCAGTCGCAAAAGTGCAACGCGCCAACCTGGCTCAGTCGCCAGGTCAAATGGAGTAGCCTGCTCTCTTTGGAGTAGCTTGATGTAGGCGTCTTCATGCCCTCCCGATGCATCAATGACCCTGAGAGTCTCTCCTTGGCTCTTGGTCTTGTGGATTACTTGGACACCTACGCCGTCTTGTTCCTCGAACGTAGTTCGAAGAGTCTCATGGCGCTGCTCGAGGGCATGTAGCGCTAGGCTAAGTGCGTTGACAGAGAGAGGTCCACGCATGCGCAAGGCTAGGGGCATGATGTAGGAAGCGCCGAGCTCGAGCTGGTCGATGAACCACAGACGGGCCTGCGCGAAGGACTGTTCAGCAGGTCCGCGGTATTCAGTTGCTTCGATAGGGTTATGTTTCTTGGAGCCTGTTCGAATGGTAGATGCGAGATCGGCGGGAACTGGGTAGTCAAACACAGCCTTGACGGATACACAGGCGTTCAGTCGGCGGCTGAGGCGTGCAACAAGCTTAGTTGCCATTAGAGAATGCCCACCGAGATCGAAGAAGCTGTCTTGGATTCCGACTTCGACCCCGAGGACGTCTGTGAATTCCTCGCAAAGCACCGCCTCAACGTCGTTACGCGGTGCCACGCGAGTCGACAGGGCGATGGCAGATGCCGAGTTGGTTGTTGTCTGGGCCCTGTGCGCAAGCAACCGGCGGTCGACCTTGCCGTTGGCGTTGAGAGGTAGTTGGTCCAGTACAACGATCTGAGCCGGCACCATGTAAGGCGGCAGTACGGTCTGGAGCTTTTGGTGCATCTCCTTTTCTGTCTTCGAAGCGAACTGCTGTTGTCTGGCTTCCGCATGCTCTGCGATCACGCCGTTGGAGTATCGTACAGCGACGAAGCTTACAATCTCCGGCTCCTGGCCTTCTTGCTTACGCAGCACGACGACGGCATCAGATGCTGCGGTATGCCGGAGGATGGCCTGCTCCACCTCGGCAGGCTCGACGCGGTGGCCGCGGATCTTGACCTGCTGATCCATGCGGCCCAAAAATTCGATTTGCCCATCAGGCCGGTACCGCGCGCGGTCACCGGTTCGGTATGCCCGCACTGGCGGCATGCCATCAATATTGATATGGACAAAGCGATCCTTGTCCAGTGCTGAGTCAGTATATCCTCGCGCAAGGCCGTCGCCCAAGACGATGAGTTCTCCCATGACACCAATTGGCACGGGTCGTTGGCGCACATCCATGATGTAGGCCCCGGAGTTGCTGACGGCCTGGCCGATCGGAACGCCGTTGGCGTACGAGTCCTGGTCGCTGACCTCGTGGATGGTGCTGAGAATCGTGTTTTCAGTCGGCCCGTAAGCGTTGAAAACGCTTCCCGGAACAATGGAGTTGACTTTGATCGCATCGCGAGCATCGAAGCGATCGCCAGCAGCGAACAGCAGCTTGATGGAGCTAAGCATGGTGGGAGCGTTGGCAAGGCACTGCTTGAGCAGTGCAGGAGGGAACATGGCTGCTTGAACCTGCTCGCGCTCAAACAAAGCCTGTAAAGCCTTGCTGTCGAGGGTGGTGAAGTAGTCAACGCAGACTATGGTGCCTCCATTCAGCAGGGCAGAATAGATTTCCCACGTTGCGGCATCAAATGCCACGTTGGACAAGTGCGCCACGCGAGCTGCTTTCGGTAGCTTGGACACCACGTTACTGTTCTTGACGAGACGAACGATGCCGCGGTGTTCGACCATGACTCCCTTTGGTTTTCCAGTCGAGCCGGAGGTGAACATGACGTATGCGAGGCTTGTTGCAGACGGCGGCGAGGCGGTGCCCTGAGTGTTGCGCGAGCCCTTGAGCGCCTCACCGATCCTCACCAGCTCGACGTCTGCGAGCGGCGAGTCGGGAACAGGAACCTCAGTGCCCAAGAATAGCAACTTACGCCCCGGAACAGAAGAAAGGATGGCCTCAAGACGTGCAGCAGGCACATTGACGTCGAGCGGGAGGTATGCTAGATTGGCTTTGAGGATACCAAGGAAGGCCACAATAGTATCGCACGACCGCGGCGCCAGAACACCGACAAGGGTCTCTTCCGCCAGACCCTGAAGTTGAAGCCACGCTGCCAGCTTGGTGGACTGCTGATCCAGCTGGGCATATGTCAGAGTTGAGGAAGCATCAACAACAGCTGGCGACTCGGGATGGTTGAGCGCCTGCTCGCAGAAAAGGTCCACCACGCTGGCGTATCTGGGGTAAACCGTCTTCGGAATGGCAAGCAGACCCATGTTACGAAGTTCAACTAGGCCGTCAGTCAACGGTAGAGACGAGAGGGCTGCTTCTGGCTGCTCAAGGCTGCGACACAGGACTTCTTGGAAAATGTCGACTACGCCACGGATCGTGTCGGGTGCAAAAAGGTCAGTAGCATACAGGATGCTACCCGTAAGCCGCCCTCTTTCCTGGAACAAGTGGAACTCTATGTCAAATCGTGTTGTTGCTGCGTTTGGCAAACGTTCACTAGTCACATTATCCAGTTGTATGCCACCAAGGCCCTGCTGGGAATGAACGGCAAACATAAGCTGCACCAACGGGTTGCGCGACGTATCCCTGGATCCGGGTTGTAATGCTGAGACGACACGCTCAAACGGCACATCTTGGTTCTCGAATGCAGTGTTGACAGTAGCTCGTACCTGCTGAACCAGTGACTCAAAGGTTTCTTCTTCTTCTTCGATAGTGATGCGCATGCATTGGGTATTGACGAAGAAGCCGACCAAGTCCTCGAGCTCTGACCGGTTACGGTTGGCGATGGGCGTACCTATAGTTGCGTCTTCAACACCAGTCAGGCGGTAATGGGCAGCTCGGAATGCGGCCAAGAGAACGGTGAAGGGCGTGGCCTGGCGAGCCCGGCAATAAGCATGGAGGTTCTTGTACGTTGAGCCCTCAATGGCAACGGAGACGAGACCAGCATCTCCAGAAAGGGCGGCAGGTCGGGACTTATCGCAGAACAGGCTGGCCGGTTGACCGCCCTCCAGCTGTTGCCGCCAGTAGGATAGTTGACGTTCGTGCTCAGCAACCTGCGCCTCCTGCTTCTGCCATACGGCGAAATCTCTGTACTGAATAGACAGCGGCAGTACATGAGCCAGGGGGTCTTGGCCCTGGACTGTAGAGGCGTAGAAGGTGGCTAGTTCACGCTGCAGGATTTCAAGGGACCATCCATCGTAGATAATGTGATGCATGACGATGGATAGAATGTGATCTTGTTCACCCAGGCGAAGTAGGGCTGGGCGCCATCCGGGTTCAACAGCGAGGTCGAAGGGAGTGCTCTGTTCCTTCTGGAGTGCCTCAGTATAGTCTGCCGACACATCAATCACTCGGAGCTCCTTTGGATCGTACGGGTGAACGACTTGTACGCCAACACCGTCATGCTCTTCGAACGTTGTGCGCAGTGTTTCGTGGCGCAGCTCCAGAGCTTGGAGAGCGGCGGCGAGCGCCTGCACCTGCAGAGGCCCGCGGAGGCGCACCGCAAGTGGCATGATATACCATGATGCCCCGAGGTCGAGTTGGTCCAGGAACCACAAACGACCTTGGGCGAATGACTGTTCAACCGGACCGTTATAAGGCTCAGGCTTGATAGCATTGTGCTTGCTGGAACCCTGCCGAATAGTGGCGGCCAAATCAATGATGAGGGCCTGGTCGAAGATGTCCTTGACGGAGATACGGGTGTTTAACCTTCGGCTGAGGCGGGCCGCGAGCCTTGTGGCCATGAGAGAATGGCCGCCGAGGTCGAAGAAGTTGTCTGTAATTCCCACTTCCACTCCCAGAACCACAGAGAACTCTTCGCACAACACTGCTTCAACCTCGTTTCGTGGCTCTACTCGCTCGGTTGACAAGACCTTTGTCTTGGGTGCAGCCTTTGCCTTGCGCGTCAACTCACGTCGGTCAATCTTTCCGTTGGCGTTGAGCGGTAGCTGGTCCATCACCACGATCTGGACTGGGATCATGTAAGGTGGAAGTACAGCTTGGAGCTGTTCCCGGATTTGCGTCTCGAGACGGCGGCTCTGGACTCGCTGCAGAGGCCGGTTGGTAAGCAGGCTGGACAGCCGGCCATGATGTTCAGTTGGGAAGCTGAATAGCACGCGGGTTTGCTTGCTGCCGAGTTCATGGCGATGGAACACGGCGTCGATGGCTCCATTCTGGGATCGCTGACGCGCCCAACTGAGTTCCACGCGGAAACCGGCTTGTTCACCGAGCTGGACAAGGTCCGCCGCAGAGAGGGAAGCACAGCGCTCTGCTGCGCTTCGGATGGCCGAGACCCAAGCTGCACCGTCGACACTGCGTTGCGTCTCATCGTCATCATCCAGCGACTCAGCCAGGAGTCGCTCCACAATGGTTTTGCTGTAGGGGATGTTGGCGACAGGAACGGTGAGGGTATCCCCTGAGTTCTTAAGGAGACCGAGAAGCTTAGTCGAGTCCAGCTTTGATTTCTTGAAATCGACCCAAGCGTCTTTCTTGATAGCATGCACAAGTTGCTGTGGCTGGTCGTCTTTTGAGCCTCGTATATGTACGACGGCTGCGTATCTGTACGCGCTAAGTTCGTTGGTGGCCTTCATCTGCTTTGGCAAAATCTCCACATGCCAGACGCTGTTAGGAAGACGGTCCGTAAGCCCTGTGAAGAAGGCCGGGTCAACGAGCAGTTCCTCTTCGCGCTCCTCCAGCTCAGCCAACCTACGCTGGACTTCATCTCTAGTAGCGCCAGGGCCCAGATCGTGCAGTGCCCTTGCTGCGAGGAAGTCTCTGTTGATGGCGTAGGTTCGCATATCTCCAAAGAACAAGCGCTTAACGCCAGGGAGGCGGGTGAGATGCTCGACCACCTGGAACAAATACTCGCCTGACGGGAAGTACTGTGCAACAGAGTTGGTCACGACCAGGCTGGCCTGAACGTCAAGCTCACCCACGTCCATCGCCGTACCGACGAGTACCTTGGCTTTGCCGGCCAGTGTCGGGACGGTCTGGATCTTGCTGTTGACGAAAGTGGCCGCCGAGCTGGAGGGGTCAAGGCCGACGTAGCTCTTGAGGTTTTCCAAGTTGAAGAGGATCATGCCAGTACCAGTTCCGATCTCGAGCACGCGGTCGGCCGGCTGTCCGTCGTGGAGAGTACGCATAGTATCGTCGAGCCATTCCTGCATCTCAGTCTTGTCGATTTCAGCACCGTCATACATGGAAGTCCATCCCATGAAGTCGTTACCGACCACCGATTGGTCGATTGTCTCAATGTCGGCGTAGGTGCTCGTCTCGAAGTGATTGCCCCAGCCTTCCACCTGGTTGGTAGCCTCGTTCTTCTCCAGCGATTGATCGGTCCGAGCCGCCACGAACCCAATCATTTCGGTTTCTTCACCCTCCTGTCTGCGGAGGACGACAGCGGCATCGAGCACGTCGCTGTGATTGAGTAGCGCCTGCTCCACTTCGGCCGGTTCCACACGGTGGCCACGGATCTTGACCTGTTGGTCCATCCGCCCGAAGAACTCAATCTGACCATCCGTGGGGCGGTATCGCACGCGATCGCCAGTCCGGTACGCCCTGACAACTTGCCCATGAATGGCCACCTGAGAGAACCGATCCTTGTTGAGTGCCGCATCGGTATAGCCTCGGGCGAGACCATCTCCCGTGACCACAAGCTCGCCCATCACACCCACAGGCACAAGCTGCTGCTTGGGATCCAGGATATACGCGCCGGAATTGCTGACGGCCTTGCCAATAGGCACGCCGTTGACAAATGAGTCCTTCTCAGACGCTTCGTAGATGGTGCTGAGAATTGTGTTCTCGGTTGGACCGTATGCGTTGTACACACTCCCCTGCACCAACGCCTGCGCTGCGGCGGCATCGTGGCCGTCAAATCGATCGCCCGCAGCGAACAGCTGATCCAACGCACCAAGCGTAGCAGCCATGGGCTTCAGACACTGCTTTAGCAACGCAGGTGGCAGCATGGCCGCCTGGATCTGCTCCTTGAGGAAAAGCGTATTAAGGGACGCAGGATCCAGGGTGGTGAAGTAGTCGATGCAAACCAGGGTGCCGCCGTTCAGCAGCGCCGAGTAGATTTCCCAGGTGGACGCGTCAAATGCAACATTCGATAGGTGCGCAACGCGCGCTGATGGTGGGAGCTTTGCGACAACGTTGCTCTGCTTCACCAACCTTACGATACCGCGGTGCTCAATCATGACGCCCTTTGGCTTGCCGGTTGAGCCAGATGTGAAGATGATGTAGGCAAGGCTCGTGGCACTCGGTCCTGGGAGGTTCCAGAAACGGTTATCGTAGGGGGCGTCACGAAGGGCATCGCTAATGGGAACCATGGATACGTTTGGTAGCTCCAGGTTGGGCCTGGCGACCGTGGAGCCGAGCAGGAGAAGTACCTTGCCCTCCACAGCCGAAAGGATAGACGTAAGTCGTGCCGCTGGTACGTTGACGTCAAGAGGCAGGTATGCCAGGTTTGCCTTGAGGATACCGAGGAAGGCGACGATAGTCTCGCACGACCGGGGAGCGAAGACGGCGATGGGCGTTTCGGGTGCGATGTTTTGTTGCCGGAGCCAAGCCGCGAGAACGCCGGATTCATGGTCCAGCTGCGAGTAGGTCAACTGTAAGGTTAGGTCTTTGACAGCGATCGCATCCGGGACAGCAGCGACCTGCTCGGCAAAGACATCCACCACACTTGACTCTCGCGGGTACTCAGTCTTCTCTACATCCACTAGACCAGTAGTGTGCAGCCCAGATAGCCCATCTGTAAGTGGCAGGGATGCGATGGACGTATCTGGCTGTGCAAGGCCGCGACGCAGTACCTCCTGGAAGATGTCGACGACACCTTGAATAGTAGCAGCCTCGAACAAGTCAGAGGCGTAAAGGATGTTGCCGCCCAGCTGGCCTTCTTCCTGGAACAAGTGGAATTCCAGGTCAAACCGGGTCGTCGCGGGCGTCTGGACACGCTCACTAGCCAGGCCCTCAAGAGGTATCCTACCGAGGTCGTGCTGCGAGTGCAAGGCGAACATGAGCTGTACCAACGGGTTACGGGACGCATCACGAGTGCTAGGCTGGAGGGCCGTCACAACGCTCTCGAACGGGACGTCCTGGTTCTCGAAGGCTGCAGCTGTGGTGGTACGGACCTGCTGGACGAGGCTGTCGAATGTCTCGTTATCGTGAATAACCGTCCGCATACACTGGGCGTTCACAAAGAAGCCGATTAGGTCCTCAAGTTCAGGCCTGTTGCGGTTGGCGATCGGGGTTCCGATGGTTGCGTCTTCCACACCTGTGAGCCTGTAATGTGTAGCACGGAAAGCTGCAAGCAGTACGGCAAAGGAAGTGAAGTGGTTGGCTCTGCAGTAGGCTTGCAGACTCTCATACACAGAGCCCTTGATGGTGAGCTGGACTACGCCGGCGTCGCCTGAAAGTGTGGCCGGCCGCGGCTTATCGCTCAAGAACTCGGCAGGCGTGCTGTCTGCCAGTTGTTCGGTCCAGTACTCAAGCTGCCGCTGCTGGTCAATGACTTGGGCATCGCTCTTCTGCCACACGGCGAAATCGCGATACTGGATGGGGAGAGGGCGCACCCGCGCCAAGGGGTCTTCTCCACGAAGTGCTGCAGCATAGAAAGCACCGAGTTCTTTGCGTAAAATGTCGACAGACCAACCATCGGAAATAATGTGGTGCATGACGATGGACAAAACGTGATCGTCTTCTCCGAGCTTGTACAAGGTCACCCTCCAGCCCAGGTCAGATGCAAGGTCAAAAGAGGTTGTCTGCTCCTTCTGGAGCGGCTCGATGTAGCTACCGCTATCACGGGCGGTAGAGAGGTCGATGACTTTCAGCTCCTTCTTGCAGGGTGGGTGAACGACTTGCACACCAACGCCGTCTTGTTCCGCGAAGGTCGTCCGCAACGTCTCGTGGCGCTCTTGTAGAGCGTTTATCGCAGCAGCAAGCGCATCCACACGCAGGGGTCCTCGCAGACGCGCCGCAAGGGGCATCAGGTACCATAGCGCACCCGTATTAAGCTTGTCCAAAAACCAGAGTCGTCCCTGGGCAAACGATTGCTCGACTGGTCCATAGTACGGCATTGGGGTGATGGGGCTATGTTGGGCGGAGCCTGGTCGGATGATGGCGGCAAGGTCGACAAGGACCGGCTGGTCAAAGATATCCTTGACCGACACGCGGGCGTCCAACCTACGACTAATACGTGCTGCCAGCTTTGTCGCCATCAGCGAGTGGCCACCAAGGTCAAAGAAATTGTCAGTAATGCCGACTTCGATGCCGAGCACCTTTGCATACTCTTCACAAAGGGCTGCTTCGACTTCGTTACGCGGTGCTACGCGCAGTGAAACAGTGCTGGTTCTCAGAGTCGTCAGGGCCCTCCTCACAAGCTCGCGACGATCAACCTTTCCGTTGGCTGTGAGAGGCAGGTGATCCACCACGATGATCTGCGACGGCACCATGTAGGAGGGCAGGACGGCCTGGAGCCGCTGTCGAATGTTCCTCTCCGTCACGTTGGCGGCGGCGGCGGCGGCGGCGGCAGCTGACTCTTCGTCCTCATCCTCCGCCTGCTCCTGCTGCACATCCGTGTTGACCGTGACGAAACCAACCATCTCCGGCTGCTGGTCTTCGAACTTCCGGATCACGATAGCTGAATCGCGAACTCCTGTGAGGCCGGCCAAAGCTTGTTCGACCTCGGCCGTCTCGATACGGTACCCACGAATCTTGACCTGATTATCCGTACGGCCAATGAATTCGATTTCACCATCTGCTGGCCGGTATCGCGCGCGGTCACCGGTCCGATATGCCCGCACAGACTGACCATCGATGGTGACTTTCAGGAAGCGGTTCAGATCTAGCGTCGCATTCGTATATCCGCGGGCCAGACCGTCGCCTGTCACGACAAGCTCGCCGATCACACCCAGAGGCACAAGTTGCTGGTGAGAGTCCATAATGTAGGCTCCAGAGTTCTTGATGGCCCGTCCGATAGGAAGTCCGTTCACGCAACGCTCATCAGGGCCCATTGTGTACATGGTGCTGTAGGTCGTGTTTTCTGTCGGTCCGTAGACGTGGCAGAGCGCTTTCCGGACGAGCTCACGAGCCTTGAACGCGTCTTGAGATCGCATTGTCTCGCCTCCAGTGAACAAGACGTCCAGCTTGCTAACGATGGAAGGCATAACTTCAAGGACTTGGCGCAGCAAAGCGGTGGTGAAGAACGCCACGGTAATGTTATTGGTGCTGAATGCGTCGAGCAAGAGAGGGGGGCTAAGGACCGTCATTTGGTCGAGACAGACGAGTGTGCCGCCATTGAGAAGCGGCGAATAAATCTCCCATGTCGTGGCGTCAAAGGCCAGGTTGGACACATGGGCAATGCTGACTCCAGCCTCGACTTGCAGATGCTGGTGTGTATGCTTCACGAGTCGCACGATTCCGCGGTGCTCAACCATAACACCCTTCGGACGGCCGGTCGAGCCAGAAGTGAACATGACATATGCGAGGCTGGTTGCGTGCGGGCCTGCGACTGAGTCTACACCATCCTCCGCCTGAAGAGGATGGCTCAAGGCCTCGACAATTTGTACTAGCTGCACACCAGGCACCTTTATATCCGGCATAGGTACCGTGGCGCCAACCAGCACCAGCTTATCGCCAGAAACCTCAGATAAGATGTCCTCGAGGCGAGCAGCAGGCAAATTGTTGTCAAACGGCAGATAGGCCAGGTTCGCCTTAAGGATTGCCAGGAAGGCAACAATGGTCTCGCATGATCGTGGAGCTAGAACCCCAACTAATGATCCAGTAGCAAGCTTGCGCTGGCGCAGCCAGGCAGCGAGTCTGTCTGACTTCTCGTTCAGTTGGGTGTAGGTCAACTGAGAAGAGGCATCCTTGACAGCAATTGACTGAGGGTAGGCAGACACCTGCTGACGGAAGATGTCCACCACGCTGGACTCCCGAGGATAGTCTGACTTGTCGACCTGAAGCAGTCCCAAGTTACGTAGGGCTGGCAATCCATCGGTGAGAGGCAGGCCTGCAATGGGCGCCTGCGGTTGGTCGAGGCTTCGGCGCAACACCTCTTGGAACACTTCGACCACAGTCTGCACCGTCTTTGCTTCAAAGAGGTCCGTGGAGTAAAAGACAGTACCTCTGAGTCTTCCTTCTTCTTGGAACAGGTGAAACTCAAGATCGAATCGCGTGGTAGGCGTAAATGGCAAAGTGGTTCCAGTAAGACCTTCAAGCTGGATCTTGCCAATGTCCTGCTGTGAGTGGACTGCGAATATAAGCTGAACCAGCGGGTTGCGGGACGTGTCTCTCGACCCAGGTAGAAGAGCTGACACGATGCGCTCAAAAGGAACATCTTGGTTTTCAAACGCAGACGTCGCCGTTGACCGCACCTGTCGAACCAGTCCGTCAAATGTTTGGTTGTCATCAATTGCAATCCTCATGCACTGGGTATTAACGAAAAAGCCGATAAGGTCTTCCAGCTCTGACCGGTTGCGGTTGGCAATTGGCGTGCCGATCGTTACGTCGTCATCGCCAGTTAAACGATAGTGGGCTGCACGGAACGCAGCGAGTAGCACAGCAAACGAGGTGGCCTGGTAGGTACGGCAGAATTTCTCAAGCTTCTCATAGAGAGGCCCTTCGATAGAAAGTTCAACAAGGCCACCGTTGCCAGAAATCGTGGCAGGACGTGGCTTATCGCACAAGAGGGTGGCTGGTTGACTGCCAGCCAACTCCTGCTTCCAGTATGCGAGTTGACGTTCATGCTCAACCACTTGCGCATCCTCCTTCTCCCATGTAGCAAAGTCTCGATATTGGATGGGAAGAGGCGAAACCTGCGATAAGGGGTCCTGGCCGCGAAGAGCCGCAGCATAGAAAGCCGTCAGCTCGCGTTGAAGGACCTCAAAGGACCACCCATCAGATATGATGTGATGCATAATAATCGAAATCACATGATCATCTGTTCCAAGACGGAGCAGCGCGACGCGCCAGCCTGGTTCCGAGGTGAGGTCAAAGGGTCTCGCCTGCTCCTGTCGCAGAATCTCATCGTACCGCCCGTCAGAGACTTCAATGACGCGGAACTCCTTGTTGTAGGTCGTGGGATGTACAACCTGGACTCCTACGCCGTCATGCTCCTCGAAAGTCGTGCGTAATGTCTCATGGCGCTGCACAAGGGCGTTAAGAGCAGTGCGGAGCGCGTCGATTTGAAGAGGACCGCTCGTGCGAACCGCAATCGGCATGTGATATCCAGAAGAGTCGCCTAGCTCAAGCTGATGGAGGAACCAAATGCGACCTTGGCCGAAAGACTGCTCAATCGGGCCGTTGTAGGATTGGGATGGGATGATGTTGTGCTTTGTGGAGCCTTGCTGGACAGTAGCGGCGAGGTCTCCTAGGACTGGCTGGTCAAAGATGTTCTTGACAGATACGCGGGCCTCTAGACGACGGGTAAGACGCGCAGCCAGCTTCGTGGCCATGAGCGAGTGGCCGCCAAGGTCGAAGAAGTTGTCGGTGATGCCGACCTGGACGCCAAGTACGTCTGTAAATTCCTCACAGAGGATAGCTTCCACTTCGTTACGGGGTGCAACACGAGCAGTCACAATCCTGCTCCTAGGCGCGGTTTGTGCCCTCAGAGTAAGTTCGCGACGATCAACCTTACCGTTTGCATTGACCGGCAGTGAATCGAGTGCCGTGATCTGGGTAGGGATCATATACGGTGGGAGCAAGGCCTGGAGGTACTCGCGGATCTTCGCCTCCACCTTGCGGCTCTGTTGTCGTTGCAGCGGGCGGCTGGTCAGTTGACTGTTTGAACGACCTTGATCTTCTGTCGGGAACTGGATCAGCATGCGGCTGTTTTCGTGGGCAGGCTGGAGGCGATGGAAGACGGCATCGAACGCCCCGTTTTGTGACCGTTGCCGCGCGCAGCTAAACTCCACGCGGAAGCCTGCCTCCTTGCCCAGTTGAACAAGGTCAAACGGAGACAGAGACACGCACTGCTCAGCCACCTCGTGGATACTCGAGATCCAATCTGCGCCGTCCGTTGAGCCCGGTTCGTCAAGGTTGGTGAGCGACTCGACGAGCAGCCGTTCGACAATGGTCCTGCTGTAAGGGACATTGCCTATGGCGACAGTTTGCGCATCAGGCGAACCTTGAAGCAAGCTGAGAAGTCCACTGCGGTCAAGATGAGATACCTTGAAGTCGATCCATGCCTCAGGCTCAATCACGTGTGCATGTTGTTGTATCTGCTCGTCTAGTCCTCGCACGTGGACGATAGCCTGGTACCGGTACGCGCTGAGCTCGTTGGTGGCCTTCATGCGCTTGGGTAGGACCTCAACGTGCCAGATACGATCCGGGAATCGGCTTGTGAGGGCCGTAAAGAATGCCGGGTCGACAAGGAACTCTTCCTCGCGATCTTCGAGCTCCCGGATCTTGCGCCGGATCTCTGCTTTGGTGGCTACCGGTCCAAGTGCACGCAGTGCTCTGGCCGCCAGGAAGTCGTTGTTGATTGCCCAGGATCGCATGTCGCCAAAGACTAGACGCTTGACCCCAGGGATTTTGATGAGATCCTGAATGACCTGCAAGAGGTACTCTGCGTTGGGGAAGTATTGAGCGACGGAGTTTGTCACAACGAGATCCGCCTGGAGCCCATCAAGCCCGGCCACGTCGGTTGCAGTAGCAACGTAGACCTGCGCTTTTCCAGCCACAGAACCAACAGACTGGATCTTTTTGCGAACAAAGGAGACTGCGGAAGCGGACGGGTCGAGGCCAACGTAGCTTTCTAGACCCTCGCCCAGGTTGAACAAGATCATTCCACTGCCAGTGCCGATTTCAAGTACACGACCGGCCGGCTGGCTATCGAGAATGGTGGCCATGGTGTCGTCTAGCCATTCCTGCATCTCCCCCTTATCGATCTCGGTGCCATCGTACATGGACGTCCAGCCCATGAAATCGTTGCCGACAACAGACTGGTCGATCTTCTCGATATCCACGTATGTACTCGTCTCAAAGTGGTTACCCCAGCCTTCGACCCGGTTGCTGATCTCGTTCTGAGCATCTTGAATGAACTGCTCGTCCCGTGCTGCAATGAAGCCGACCATCTCGACACCGTGGTCTTCTTGCTTCCGGATGACGATGGCTGCGTCACGAACAGCGGGATGTCTGAGCAGGACCTGCTCGACCTCGGCCGGCTCGACGCGGAAACCTCGAATTTTGACTTGCTGATCCATGCGGCCGAAGAACTCCATCTGGGCGTCGCTAGGTCGGTATCTTGCTCGGTCACCAGTGCGATAGGCCCGCATGGTCATGCCGTCTACAGTGACATCAACGAATCGACCCTTGTTCAGCGATGCGTCGGTGTACCCGCGAGCCACTCCATCGCCCGTCAGGACCAGCTCGCCCATAACACCGAGTGGCACAAGACGCTGTTGAGGATCCAACACCAGGGCACCTGAGTTGCTAATCGCGCGTCCAACAGGGACGCCGTTGATGCAGAGCTCGCCAGGCTGCATGTGGAACGCGGTGCTGTATACGGTGTTCTCTGTGTGGCCGAGCGCGTTGATGATCCCGCCTTTGGCCAAAGCTTGGGCGGTGAGGGCATCTTGAACGTCCAGGCGATCACCCGAGGCGAAGAGAAGCTCGAGTCCTTTGACAGTTGAAGGGGACTCGGCCAGGCATTGTTTTAGCAGGGCAGGCGTAAACATGACAGCCCGGACCTTCTCTTGCTCGAATATTCGTCCCAGCATGGCCACATCCAACACAGTCGTGTGATCAATGCAAATGAGAGATCCGCCGTTGAGAAGCGCGGTATAAATCTCCCAGGTGGCTGCGTCAAAGGCGAGGTTCGCAATGTGACCCACGGGGACTGCCGATTGCGCCTGTGTTTGGATGTTGGTATTCTTCACTAGACGCACAATACCTCGATGCTCGACCATGACGCCCTTAGGACGACCAGTGGAACCGGAAGTGAACATGACATAGGCGAGGCTCGTGGCAGTGGGTGTTGGAAGTCGTTTGCCTGCGTCTCTCTGCGTCGCAAGTTGACTGTCTCGTGCCTCCGCGATGGTCAAGAACTCAATGTCATCCAGATGGGTGGCTGGTACTGGTACACCCGCGCCAAGCAAGAGAAGCTTCTTGCCCTCGATAGAGGTCAAAATACTCTCCAAACGACCCAGAGGAACATTCACATCAAGTGGCAGGTAGGCCAGATTGGCTTTGAGGATTCCGAGCAAGGCCACAATGGCTTCGCACGATCTCGGGGCTAGCACGCCGATCATGGTCTCAGCAGCGAATCCTCGCTGAACAAGCCAATACGCCAGCTTGTCCGACTGTCGGTCGAGCTCGGCGTACGTCAGCTCGGATGTGCTGTCCTTGACAGCGATAGCGCCGCCGCAGAGAGCAACCTGCTCCCTGAACAGAGCTGGCACACTTGCGTCGCGAGGATAGTCAGTTCGCGCAACCTGAGCGAGTCCCTTGTTGATGACTGAAGAGAGGCCATCGGTCAACGGCATGGAGGCAATCGAGATAGAGGGTTCCTCGAGGCCGCGACGAAGCACCTCTTGGAAGACTGTCTCCATGGAAGCGATAGACACAGGGTCAAAGAGCTCGTTTGAGAACATGACGACACCGCGAAGGCTGTTCCTTTGCTGGAAGAAATGGAACTCGAGGTCGAATCGCGAGGTTTTTGCTGCATTCAGGGGCTCTGAACTCAGGCCCCCCAGCTGCAAATGACCCAGGTTCTGCTGGTAATGGACAGCCAGCGTCATCTGGACGAGTGGATGGCGCGCGACATCTCGCGTCCCGGGTCGTAGCTCGGCGACCAACCGGTCAAACGGGACGTCCTGGTTGGCAGACGCCGCAGCCGTTGCAGTAACAACCTGCTTGACCAACGACTCGAACGTTTCGTCCTCTGCCAGCGCAGTGCGGATGCACTGCAAATTGACGAAGAACCCGATGAGATCTTCCAACTCCTGCCGGTTCCTGTTGGCGATTGGCGTGCCGATGGTCGCGTCCTCTACGCCAGTGAGGCGGTAGTGAGTTGCACGGAACGCGGCGAAAAGCACAGAGAATGGCGTAGTCTGGTGCTTGCGGCAGAACTTCTGTAAATCCTGGTATATCGTGCCCTCGACGATAAACTCGTGCACATCCGCCGTGCCTGAAGGAACTGAGGGTCGAGGTTTATCACAGAGCAGAGTAGCAGGTTGACTGCCATCGAGCTGTCCCTTCCAGTATGCAAGCTGACGCTCGTGCTCGGCAACTTGTGCCTCTTCCTTTTGCCAAAGCGCAAAGTCACGGTAGTGAATGGGCAGGGGGTTCACCTTTGACAGCGGGTTTTTGCCGCGAAGCGCCGCGGTGTAAAAGATGACCAGCTCGCGCTGGAGGATATCGAGAGACCAGCCATCAGAGACGATGTGGTGCATCACGATAGATAGCACATGATATTCGTCGTTCAAGCGGAGGAGAGCCGGACGCCAGCCAGGCTCGGTCTCCAAGTCGAAAGGGGTGGAGTTTTCCTTCTGCAGCGCCAGCATAAGCTCCTCCTCAGAGCCTCCAGGGATATCGATAACTCGTAGTTGCTTCGGCACAAATGGCTGTACGACTTGCATGTTCACACCATCGTGCTGCTGGAAAGTGGTGCGTAGACCCTCGTGGCGTTCCTCCAGCGCCAGAAGCGTCACGCTCAGGGCCTCGAGATTCAGGGGTCCTCGGAGTCGGGAAGCAAACGACGAGAGATACCATGTGAGGCCCGGATACAGACGTTCGAGGAACCAAAGGCGTCCCTGGGCAAATGACTGCTCAACGGGCCCATTGTATGGTTGGGAGACGATGGGGCTGTGCTGAGTCGAGCCACGTCGAAGGGTTGCCGCGAGGTCGAGAAGGATGGGCTGGTCAAAGATATCCTTCACAGTCACGCGGACCTCGAGCCGTCGGCTAATGCGTGCAGCCAGCTTCGTAGCCATGAGTGAGTGTCCGCCGAGGTCAAAGAAGTTGTCAGTGATGCCGACCTCGATATCGAGTACATCGGCAAACTCCTCGCACAGCGCGGCCTCGACCTCGTTGCGCGGCGACACCGGCGCGGACTTTTGGCCCGATGCCTTGCTGGTTCTAGGCGTTGTCTGGGCCCTGCGTGTTAGTTCACGGCGATCAACCTTACCGTTGGCATTCAGAGGCATCTGGTCCACCACGATGATCCGCGTTGGGACCATGTAGGGCGGCAGCACAGCCTTAAGCCGTTGCCAGATCTGCTGCTCCATCAGTGTCGCAAACTCTTCATCCCTGCTACCTACCTTCCCCGGGGTCTCGTCATCACGGACGGGGGTATGGTTGACGGCTGTGTTGTCGTCTCGGGCAACCACGAAACAGATGATATCCGGTTCTTCGCCCTCAAACTTGCGGACGACGGCGGCAGCGTCGAGAACGGCGCCGTGGTTGAGGATTGCTTGCTCGATCTCGGCTGGCTCAATTCGGTGGCCGCGAACCTTGACCTGCTGGTCCATACGACCAGAAAACTCGATTTGACCATCGGTTGGCCGGTAACGCACGCGGTCGCCAGTCCGATAGGCGCGCACGAGCTGACCAGCAATAATGATCTTCACAAATCGATCTTGATCAAGCGACTGGTCTGTATAGCCCCTTGCAAGGCCATCACCAGTGACGACAAGCTCTCCCATAACGCCGACGGGAACGATTTTCTGCTCTGGGTCCATAATGTACGCGCCTGAGTTGCTTACAGCGCGGCCCACAGGCACACCGTTGGCGAACGAGGAGTCGTGCTCAGACACTTCGTAGACGGTACTAAGGATCGTGTTCTCAGTTGGGCCGTACGCGTTGTAGACACTGCCACGAACAAGCGCCTTGGTCTCGATCGCATCACGGCTATCGAATCGGTCGCCGGCGGCAAAAAGGAGATCCAGGCCACGCAGCATGGCAGGCGTGTTGGTGATGCACTGCTTGAGGAGGGCGGGCGGGAGCATCGCGGCCTGGACCTGTTCCTGGGCAAACGTGGTCTCCAGGGCTTTGCTGTCCAGCGTGGTAAAATAGTCTATACACACGAGAGTTCCACCATTCAGAAGCGCCGACCAAACCTCCCACGTCGAGGCGTCGAAAGCAATATTGGACAAGTGTGCCACGCGGGCGGCCGGTGGGAGCTTGGAGTTGACGTTGCTCTGCCTCACCAGCCTGATGATACCGCGGTGCTCTACCATAACGCCCTTTGGCTGACCGGTCGAGCCGGAGGTAAACATCACATAGGCCAGGCTCGTCGCCTGGGGTCTTACAGTAGCAACGTCTGAGTGACGGGTGGCCACGGCCTCGCTCAGGGCATCCGTGATGGAGACGAATTTAACGTCGGACACCCGGATCTCTGGAGTTGGCGTACCTGCACCGAGCAAAACCAGCTTATGACCCTGCACCGCCGACAGGATCGCCTCGATGCGGCCCGCGGGCATGTTCACATCGAGCGGGAGATATGCCAGGTTCGCCTTGAGAATGGCCAGAAAGGTCAAGATGGTCTGGCAGCATCGAGGCGCGAGCACGGTGACCAGTGTCTCGGGCGCCAGCTGGCACTGACGCAGCCAGCTAGCAATCTTATCGGATTCCTGGTCCAACTCGGCGTATGTCAGCTTCGTCGAGGACGTATCCGTAACGGCTATCGCCTCAGGATGAGCAGCCACCTGCTCGCGGAAGAGATCCACCAGGCTTGCATCTCGGGGATAAGCCGTCTTTTCGACGTTATGCAGGCCCATCTTGTGTAGCTCCTTCATTCTGTCAGTCAGGGGCAGTGTGGCGATACGTGTCTCCGGCTGATCAAGGCCGCGGCGCAGCACCTCCAAAAAGGTATCAACCACGCCGCTGATAGTTGCGCGCTCGAAGAGATCAGAAGCAAAGGGAACGTTGCCTCGGAACCGGTCTTGTTCGCGGTAAAGGTGAAACTCTAGATCGAAGCGAGTCGTCGGTATAGTAGGGAGAGACTCGCTTTGCACGTCTTCCAAATGGATCCGGCCGAAATCCTGCTGCGAGTGCAGGGCAAATACGAGCTGGGATAGCGGGTTTCGTGATGCATCTCTAGATCCGGGCAGAAGCGCTGACACAATACGCTCAAAGGGCACATCTTGGTGCTCCCACGCTGCGGTTGCTGTCGACCTCACTTGCTGGACCAGGCTGTGGAACGTCTGGTCGTTCTCGATGACTGTCCGTAGGCATTGGGTGTTGACAAAGAAGCCGATCATATCCTCCAGCTCTGAGCGGCTACGATTGGCAACGGGGGCAGCGATAGTTGCGTCCTCTGCGCCGGTAAGGCGGTAGTGCGTGGCACGAAACGCAGCAAAGAGAACGGCGAACGGGGTTACCTGGTGGTCGCGGCAAAAGGCCTGGAGACTCTCGAACAGCCGGCCTTCAATGGCGAAATCAATCTCTCCTGCATCGCCCGAGAGGATCGCCGGCCGCGGCTTATCGCATATGAGCTCGGCCGGGGAGTTGTCCGCGAGCTGCTTGGTCCAGTATTCAAGCTGGCGCTGGTGCTCGGCAACCTGCGCCTCTTGCTTCTGCCACAAGGCAAAGTCGCGATATTGGATTGGCAACGGGGGTAGCTGGGCCAAGGGGTCCTCGCTACGGCGGGCAGCAGCGTAAAAGATGCCGAGCTCTTTGCGCATGATATCGATCGTCCAGCCGTCGGAGATGATGTGGTGAAAGACGATGGACAGTACATGATCCTCGTCTCCCAGTCGTAGCAGTGCGACGCGCCAACCCGGCTCGGTTGCCAAGTCGAAAGGCGTTGTCTGTTCGTGCTGCAGGACCCCCTCGTAGGTCTGGGGAGCCGACGACAGATCGATCACTCGGAGCTCCCTGGCGTGGCTCTCTTGAACCACCTGCATACCCACGCCGTCGTGCTCTTCGAACGTGGTTCGCAAGGTCTCATGCCGCTGCTTCAGAGCGTGCAAGGCGGCAGTGAGAGCCTCAATTTGGAGCGGGCCGCGCAAGCGCTCTGCGAATGGGACAAGGTACCATGAGGAGCCTTGGTTGAGCTGGTCCAGGAACCAGAGACGGCCCTGCGCATATGACAGCTCGACGGGTCCACGGTATGTCGTCGCAGTGATCGGGCCGTCTTTGGACGAGTCCTTACGCACGGTGGCCGCCAGACCCTTCCAGGTTGGGTTTTGGAAGATATCGGTCACGGTCAGCTCCATCCCAATCGACCTTGCCATGTTCACCAGCTTGATCGCTGCGATGGAATCGCCACCCAGATCGAAGAAGTTGGCCCCGTGGCTGTTGGAGGTAGGGGGCAGATGCAAGCTTCGGAACCACATCTGTCGCAGTTGGTCTTCAGCGCCCGCTGGCTCGCCGAGCGACGCCTCTGGCTGGGAGGAAATGGCGCTCTGGATGAGTTCCTCGACGAGCTTGGCGCCAATGGATCGGAGTCGCTTGCGGTCCGTTTTCCCGGTGACGATCGTCGGACGCTTCTCCATGCGAATGAAGTACGATGGGACGGCATAATCGGGGAGGGCCTGCTTCAGCGGCGCCCTGATGCGCTGTGCGGCGATGCTCTCCAGGATGTAGGCTTCCTTCTCAAGATGAGCAGCCTCTTCAGGTTGAAATGGTCCAAACAGGAACCCGACCAGAGCTGTGCTGCTCGCCTCGTGAGACCGCTTGACGGCTTCGGCCACGGGTACCAGGTGACTGGGCAGCGCTTTGCGTAGATGGCTCTCTACGTCGCCGAGCTCCACTCGCTGTCCTCGGATCTTGACCTGCGAGTCCCTACGTCCGAGGTAGGCTACGGTTCCGTCCGGTCTGTAACAGACCAGGTCGCCGGTCCTGTAGAACCGGTATCCGTTGAGCTTCTGCTGCTTCCGCCACTCCGCCGGATACCAAGCCGGCGCGTCGTCAAGGAAAGGCGACTGGTCCGGAGGTGGAGGCACGACGTAGCCTCTGGCGATACCAGGACTCTCAATCATCAGCTCACCAACGCAGCCGATCGGGGCGAGTCTGCCGGGGTCGTCCGGGTTTGTGATCCAGTAGCGGGCGCCCAAGGCGCGGCCAATATTCTGCAGATCGGTAGTGTTTTCGTAGACAATCGCACCACCGCACATGGTCGAGCTCTCGCTCTGTCCATAAGCGTTGATTACCTGGATCTTGGACGAGAACGAATCTCTCTGGTACGCCGAAAAGGACTCACCGCCCGAAAGGAGAGTCCGGAGACCGGAGAGGCTTTCCGGCGGGATGGTTGAGACGAAAGAAGGCGTGAGCGTTGACCAATTGACGCGTGCTTGCTTGATGAAGCCCGAGATGTCGTTCATGCGATCGTGGTCCGAGGGAATGCAGACGCAGCCTCCGTGCATCAGGGTGCACATAGTTTCTGCCAGACTCGAACCAAAGGCATACGAAGAGAATTGGAGGGAACGAGTATCCTTATCGATGCCGAAATAGGGACTGAACTGGAGGGCACACGAGGCGAATGCCCGATGCTCCAACATGGCTCCTTTGGGCTCGCCAGTACTACCCGACGTGAAGATAATGTAGGCCAAGTCATGGGGCTTCGCTACGGGCGTGAAACCCCTTTCGCCACTGGGTAGTGAGCGGAGCAAGTCATCCTCGAGCACAATTGTTTTGGGTACCAGACCGCGGAAGGTGTCGCCATGGAGCCTGGAGGCGAGGGCGAACGTAGCGGATGTCTGCCGACATATTTGGGCTACGCGGGCCGCTGGGTGAGCCGGGTCGACCAGCGCAAAGGCGTGGCCGGCCTTGAGCACGGCAAGAACTCCGGCGACCATCCACTTGGACTTCTCGAAGCAGAGGGGCACGGCATGTCCAGCGTCCAGCTTCAAGGACTGTATGTACCCGGCGAGTCGCGAGGATACACTGTCCAGCTCGGCGTGCGACCACTCACCGTCCCAAGCGTACACAGCGGGGCTGCCTGGTGCCTCCATAGCTTTCTGAGCGATCACATCGTGGAGGCAGACGTCATGCCTCAGAGGGAGCGCCGAGTTCCAAGTCTCAATTTCGGTGCGGTCCTCTGCGGTGACGAGGTGAAGTTCTTCGAGGGGCTGGTTCACCCCTTGACGTTGGAATTGCACAATCAAGAGCCCCAGCTGTCGCAGGAAACGAGCTAGCTGTCGATCGTCAAGGACATTCGGGTCGTATCTCGCGGTTATCGTGGCTGAGTCCTCGGCCATATGGCAGTGGAGTAAGAGGGCACGGTCAAGGCAGGGTGTGAATCTGTCTGACCCTGCGCTAGTCCGACGGAGCATGGGACTCGACCCGGCCGGAGCATCGGCATAGTCGCGGTCGGAAGTGACCGCAAGAACGGTCTGGAAGTCACACGCGGCAAGACCGAAGTCTCCAGCGCGGCGGACGCTATCTAGGCCGGCCTGCTCAAACTCGCGAACGGCGGCGTCATGGGCCGCCACAGCCTGGAGAAGATCGGAAGCAGGCTGGTGAGGATCGCAAAAGACACGGGTGGGCATCACGGTCCGGATTGAACCATAGGTCTGGCGCTTTTGTCCCTCGGAATAAGGAGGCCTCTCCACAGCGACGCCGAAAAGCGCCTCCGACGCATGCGTATAACGGGCCAGGAGGACCGCGAGCGCTGCTCGGCAGACGGTCGTATTGTCCCAATGCTTCTCGGTGGAGGCGTCGTAGGTGATCTTATGCTCGACCTGCGCATCAGGTTGGGGTTGCGTCAGGTGCGATGGCAGAACAGGAAAGGAAGAAGCATCCAGATTGTCAAAATGCCTCTGCCAGAACTGGGCCACGCCTGCGGGCGCGCTGGCAAAGCTGTCGACTCGTGCTTCGACCACGGGACCAGCACTTTGGGCGCTGTCTCCTTTGTAGACGTTCAATACTTTGCTAAGGACATTTTGTTGCAAAGAGTTGTCTATTACGGCGTGGTTGAAAGTCCACAGAAGCAGTCTCTGCTTCCTCATGCTTGGATCTTCAAGCAGAGCGTATCGGTTACACTGCTTCTCCGTCGTAGCGGCAGCCGCTTCATCCTTGATGACGACCTCCTTTTCGTTCAGACGAGTTGAACGACGCCACGCAAAGTCCTCCGACAAAACCGCTTGATAATGATCTCCAGTGGCGGAGGTGAATATGCGGGACCGCAAGGCGGGTACCTGACGCATAACCTCTTCCCAAGCTGCGGCCAAGCGCTCGACGTCGACATCTTGTCCGAGTTCAAAGACCGCATGACCAATGACACGCTGCTCGTTTCCATTGGTTCTTTCTAATACATCGCGTTGAAAAGGAGTACAAGGCACCATCGTTTCGATCTTGTTTGGCTCCATGCCAAAACGCTGGGCCGCCTCTTTGTAGAACGCGTTGCGAGACTCGACGGCAGCTCCCTCCGAGATGGAGGGCACCGTCGTAGTAGATTCTTTCCGGATAGCTGCCATTCTTGCTAAGCTATCATATAAAAGGTATATGGTTTTGATCGTGATGTTTTCTAAGATGGAGGTATGGGTTCTTGTTTTTTTGATGTTTTTTTGAAAGAGTTGTTATGATTGTATAACAGAATGTAGTTGGATGTATCCAGGTGACTCTGATCTGCTTCAAAGACTTCTGAAGGTCAAAGTCCTCGTCCTTACAGGTTGACCGTTGAGATTCTACGGTATTGCCTCCGAGTTAAGTACATACTAAGCTACGCGAGACACGTTCGTGGATCGGTCCGTAGGTTGTCATCCCAGTCTCGCGCTAATCCTTTTACCCACGCAATCTAATAACTTCAGGATTGCCAACATGGATGGCAGCCTGTCTGACACATCTATTCCTGGCTTAGTATATACCTGCCTCCTTCCAATCTGAACCGTGTGGCGGCACGAGATGAATGATGTCGCCTGGGAATGTGGGAGTCGAGGGAGGCATAGGAATGATTGGCGCCACAAGATCCCGCTGCTGCACGGACCACGTAACTCGGATCGATGGTCCGTGCTCTCCCCGCCAATGTTGACCACCTTACAAGAATAATGACATGTCAGTATTCACGACACGGCGGTGCGATGCGAAATGGTATCATCCTCCTAGGCTGCCCTCTGGAATTTTACCCATCTTAAAATGATTCTTGGCCAATGAGGTCTAGACTGCTCGCCCATGCTGACACATTTGTGGCTGGCTCTTGCGAGAATCGTTGCGGGCACGCCGCTGTGATTCTTCATACTCCCCTCCACGACGGTGAGGCGCCCTATGGTTCGGTTTCGGTATACAAGTACAAGTGGATTGTGATTCTGGGCGGAGAAACATAACATTTTGACTCAACACACCAGGCTGAAAATCCTTTGAGGAAGCATGTCATGTCAGTCAGTGGCTTGCTAGTGGTGATCGACTCAACAGACAAGTAGACCTAGCTTGGTTAGTAAGGTTTGCGACGTCACTTCAGTCTCGGTCAAGGGCTTGTGCGAGGAGGTGGGAGAAGATATCTGTTCAACCGTCACCTGGGCAGGAAGGTGTTACATACTATGTCTAGGGGCCTCTTGTGCGAAATTCAGCCAAGTTATCAAGTATGGTGTTCCAATCACCGCATTAGTTGTACTCCTTGATAGGCACAGGACAGCGGGAAATGTAATTTTAATACTACGGTTATGGAGGCAGCCGTAATAAGGCGCGTAGTGACCGGATACCGACCTTCACCGTCTGATTCCGCTCAGTGGCCGTGGCCTGACTGGAGGGCCGGCCAACGTAGTTCTCATCATCCAGCCACTTCTCTAATGCATCAATAAGGGAAATTAGTTGAAAGGCAAAGCGTATGGACTCGTCGGTATACGCCCGGTTATCGACGACCCAAAGCAGCCCTTCTAGGATTTCGGGGATGCTGCACTCGTCCCACAGCATCCCGCCCTCCATCAGACACGGCTCCGGCGCGAACGTAGCACGTACGGCGCGTAGGCCAGGCGGCATGAGGAGCACGTCGTCCTGCTCAAGAACGATCAGACGTCCTTGACCCCTCGGCGACCAGTCGCGGCCCTCTTGAGAAAACCTTTGCCAGTCATCAGCGTCGAGATCGGTAGCGACTGCCGCGATCTGGACGCCAGAGAGACAGCGCGCCCAGCTGCCGACTAGGGGGTCCACGTATGCCCCAGAGAACGCGCCGGCAAAGTTAAGCAGGTTGAAACCCAAACAGCCCTGCACGTCGTTCATGATCAAATGTCCGCTCCTGCCGACAGTGCCAGCGACGCGGTCTGCCAACGTCGAGAGGAGCCGGAAGCGTGGCAATCTGCTCAGGAGCGGCTCGTCCGCCCGCGCCAAGCGACGGAGGTTCGTGACACTGCTGATGGCAGCAGCGGCATCGGACGAGCTCAGGTCCACGTTGGCAACGGCTAGGCAGTACTCGGCCAGACTCATGGACGAATACGTCCCTGTCATGCTGTTTTGCACGTCAACCTGCTGCTCGGGAAAACGTTGCCACAGCATGTCGACATAATCAACAATGTCGTACGTGCCGCTGTCCTGAAACTCCTGCTTGATCACGACCGGCCGGCGGAAGATATGGCCGGACTCGGCGTAATTACGGAACGAATCCCAGCTCAGATACCACACGTCGGCGTCTTCAGGAGATGTCACGCAACTTCTACCCAGACGGTGCTCTGGCTCGGCGTAGATGCGGGCCCAATGCTGCGGACCTAGCCAGTTCAGCTGCAGACGGCGTTGGTGGACAACATCCTCAAGTTCGTTTGGCCTACTTAGGTCTTCGACAAGACGGCGAATGGTATCATTGTGACACGTCTGTAGCCTCTGAAGTAGCGTCAGCTGTTGCGCTGGCGAACCGCCCTCAGGGGACACAGGACTTGACCGTGTTTCCGGCGCCGGCGCCGGGTTGTCCAAGAATGGCGTGGCTTCTGCCTCCGGGGCTCGCTCAATGCTACTACCAGAGCTTGAATCAGGTAGAGGCTGGCATTGTCCTAACCGCGAGACCGCGGCGGTGGCTTGGTATGATGTGCTTATAGTACGGTCTGCCACCGGATGGTTTGTCGTCTGTAGTATGGAGCCTTGAGACGTTGATGATCTCACTCTCTGGTTCTCTACCAGAAACGTATTTGATCCCGAAGTAGGCACCTTTACGCTTGTTTCGTTACACTTCGCTTCCATCTGACCGGCCTTTTCTGTGTTGTGAGTGTCCTCATCCTGGCTCGTGTCCCTAGTATCTTCCTCTGCCCCTTCTTTCATGTTTACGGATCCAGCAATGCTTTCTCCTATATCAGACTCATCTTCCTGAACGACTCCTCGTTCTGGAATATTCAGACTGGCTGCATCTTGCGCATGATCATCTGCCTCGGAAACCATCGCCTCGTCTTCTTCTGACCATGATATAAGACTTGCTGTCTTCTCTTTCTCTCTTGAACCGCTCGTCTCAGAAAACGGTTTCTTTTCCATGTTTGTGAGGCCGCTGCAGATAATAGAGGCGCCTCTCGATTCTGTGATGGCAGACTGATCCGGTGGGTCTGGTTGAGTTATCTTGACTTCTCCTCCTTCTTCCTTTTGCACTTCGTCCAGGGCTGATATTTCATCTCCGCTGGACTCGTCCCTGGCAACCTGGTCCCCAGAATCTGCTTCTGACTTATTTGACAATTCTTTTTCTTCTGGCTCTGACGACTCGGTACTGGTGCTAGCACTACCGCGAGTGATACGATGTGCTCCACCGCGGGCACGGGTTTTCTGGTCCGCATGGTTTGCCGCAGTGGCTGGAAGGGTGGAAGGTTCGCGGCTGGCGGATGAGAGTCTGGTTCGCTTCGTTGGCCGGGTGAAACGTCCGATATGGTCACTGTGATTGGTATTTCCATCCACAGGGTGGTCGCTGTCGTCTTCAACAGTGCTGTCTGTGGACGGCACAACCATACCAAAGATATCGAGCTTCAAACCGAATTGGCGGATCGGAGTTCCGTTGATGCGTCGTGCTGACTGCTTAACTTCCCGGCGAGCAGCGGCAGAGGTGGCCTTTGTCTGCGCCCATTCCAGAGCAGCGAGTATGTCAGACCGTTCGACGGGCGAGTGCGGAGCCTGCACCTTGGACGCGGGCGAGTGCTCACCGACCCGGAGGGCCTTGTTCCTCCCACGCAACACGCGGAGCTCGTGGCGTGCCAGCATCTTGGAGTTAAGCAGTTCAACAACGTCTTCCCAGCGAGGCATAAGCACGGCCAGGTCGTGAAGCTGGCGAAGAAGTGGTAACGGCAGAGCATGCCAGTCGTAATACTCGAAACATTCGAGCCCCCAAGCGGCAATGATGCCCGATTGGTGCTGCAGATGCTGGCTCTCGCGGTCGCGCATCTTCTTGCCGCGCTGGGCCAGACGGTCAAAATCGCCCCAGCGCTCATGGTTGCCATTATCGGGGCTGCGAACAGTGCGGAGGAAAGGCAGGAAAGCGGCGGCGACATTGGCCGCAATACCGTCGATTGCGAGGATCTTGTCACGGTAGACCTCGTAAAGCTGCTGTCGCTCCAACGTGCCACGGCATGCCTGGGCATCCCGGTGAAAGCTGGCGGCGAAGTTCAGAGCAGCCCCCGTGGCTGACAGCAACGACCTATGTGCCGAGGAGATGTCGATGTCGATAGGCGATGAGCTCGAGCTGGGGCGCTCTTGTAAAGCCATGTCTGCTGAGGTCCTCGTTAGAGATGATCCAGCCTGCATCTGCTGGAGTAGCCCAAGCAATCAATGCTTGCTGGCTTCTTCTCGTTCGTGTCTTTCGCCGGCTATTTTCTAGTTTGAGAGGGCGAATGAAAGAGGGGCAAACGCGTTCCAGAAGCTGCGCTGCGCTCACAACCTCGAGTGGACAAGCCCGTGTAAGAGCCTTTCGTATAACATGGCCGAAGCCGATATTGAGGCCGACGGGGCTTTCGTGAGACCGGGATATGGTGGTTTTGTATTCGTCACGAGAGCTTAGTACTGTGCCTGTTTGTCGTCTCTTTTGGCAACATGTCCCGTAGCATCGCGTAAGCCGCGCCACACTCCAACCAAGGCAACAGGTTGTTTGGCTACCTCTGACCCGCTTTTTGTCCTGCCACTGGAGCTCCATGCTTGTTGATGGTAAGTTGTACTGTGCAATCATGCAACGGCGCATCTAGACACCGAGCCGCTCTTCTGATGTCTAGCTAAGCGTGTCCAAAGGCGTGCGGTGAGTATAGAGCTACCTAGAGTACCGACCGTGCCGGCTTTAAGTGGAGAAAAGCTGACCATGCGCCAGTCCCTACCAACTAATTAGCGCCTGTAATCCCGCCATTCGCTACCTTCATCATGTCCCCCGTCCAGGGCGACAAAATCGCTCATCACAACATCTGCCATCACCGTGCGGTTCTGGAATTAACCATTACGCCAAGCAACATGTTGACTGGAATCTTTCAGCCTACCAGAATCAGCCTCAGCCATCGTAAGAGCTACGTACTCAATGCCAGCTTTGGGCCAGGCACTTCACCAAGTCAGTTACTGGCCAATCAGCAATCAGGTTAACGACCCATGAAGCCCTACCGCTGAGATCCTTGTGGCGCAAGACTCTTCCGCCCGCCCTTTCGAGATAATTAGCCCCGCCGTTTTCTCCTTGGCTTAGAATAACCTCAGTTGAGGCTCCATACCAGTCAATCCGTGCTAGAGCACAGCCCCCAACAGGCAACAACGCTCATCAATTACTCGTGTCTGACACATTGCGTCAACGCCGTCTCAGGCTCACCCTAACTAATTTCCCCTTTACCCTTGTCCGTGCTCCCTGCATTCCGTTTTCCGCATTTGGCCCGACCTGCCAATATCACCGCTTCAATTGGGCAACGCTCGGTCTAGAAAAAATGCTACTAGACTGTCGCCCTACGTTACCGTTGCGGGGAAAGGGGTCGGGGGGTGGGGGTTGTGAGATATAATCACTACATGTAATTATTACGGACGAGATGAAGATGAGATGACTGTGAGTTGATTACGTCAACTCCATGTGGCGTAGGACACATGACGGAAAATCTCAATTTCCTAATCTGATGCCTTTACTGAGCTGCGTGCCTCTCTCGTCCCACTGTCTCATTTCGGGGCAAGGACATGTCTCCTCCAAGGGTGTTCTTCTTTGAATCCCAACATCCTTTGGATCTTCGAATTCGATATGGGAGCTTCGTGCTCTCCCATCTCTCGGCTGAAGGGTGTTGAGGGACTCACCCGCCCCAGGAACTCTGTCGTCTTCTCATTGTTTGTCATCTCGTTGTTGGTGGCATTGTAGACTTGCCAGCCCAGGCCGTCGAACGAGAGGCATAAGTGGCACATCTGGCCAAGGTCCCTGAGATCGGTGTATGACCAGCCGTGGACGTCCCAGGACTCTGGATGCTCAAGATAGCTCCCGAAGCTCTTGGGATACTGATCCGGCTCGATGATGGCACCGATGCGAAGGCAGTAGATGTCGACGCCAAACCGACTGGCGTAGCTCTTGGCTACGGTTTCACCAATAAGTTTCGATAGGGCGTACGGATCAGTTGGGTTGCATTCAGTGGTTTCGTCTATAGGGAACGAAGTGAACGCACGACGTCCCTCGGCAAATGTGACGCCGTAGACGCAGATGCTGCTTGCCAGGATGATCTTCTTGATGCCAAGCTTGCATGCTGCCTCGACAACGTTGTGGATGCTGACAACGTTGGTCTTGAAAACCTCGTTGTCGGGTGCCAGCAGTGGTCGGGCGTAGCCGGCGAAATGAATGATCGCGTCAGGAACCGACGCCTTCTCCAGAGGCTGAGTCAGATGAAGCTGCGTATGAAGAGCGCTGTAGACCTGTCCAGAGTCGGTCACGTCGCATTTCATCGTATGGACGAAGGGGTTGTCGAGCGGGACGATGTCAAGATTGATCACATCGTGGCCGTACCGCAGGAGCTCCTGAATGACGTGGGGGCCAATGACACCTGAACCTCCAGTGAAAATGACGCGCTTGCCCATGCTGACTGCTTTCTTTGGCCCGATTCCGGAAAAAGTCTTTGCTATGGCGACTTTTCTTGGTACGGGGTGTGACTCGGATGGATGGCGTGTTTTTAAGTGGTTGACGGGTATTATGGCGGTCGAGTTGGTTACTAGTTCATACAACGGTCCTCAAGGTTGAGCTAGCAGAACCAGGCCACAGGATAAAAACGAATATACTCCACAAGCGTCAATGCTAAGCTGCAGGTAGACTGAAGCGCCCCTGTCAGCAAAGTCGGAGGTAGTTATGAGATAATAAGTATGCGGAAGTCTGCTCTCTCCATTGCCTGACTGATGAGGCGAACCTTCTATATAGTAGGTCTTTCCCACCCATACTCATCGTATATCTGGCGGGCTTGAAGCCAATCCTTCTTGACAGGAGTGAGACACTGCGTGCCTTTTGCGATAGGGTGACGTGACAATAACACACCAAGTGACAGTTCAAGATAAAGCGTTGTGAGGTATAGGAATGAAGTAGGGGTCGTCCTGCACGGACCATCGATCCGGGCATGGTCCAAGCTTTTCCGCCCGGAAACCGATCACTGCACTCACTAATGGGTGGGTAATCTGTTAGTCATTTGATTGGCCAGAAGCATCTAAGCTATCAAGACGCGGCTGTAGTCCCTTGCAGACGTTATTCTCCCTGCCCGTGCAACACTCTAACCTAGCCCATACAGCTCTAATATTATGCCGTGTAGTTCTTAACCAAAGTTATGAGCAGCACGAATCTCCTATTGGATTTGATGTTGCATTGCTGGCCCTTATCTGGTGATGCGATGCCATTTTGGTAGCAACGCTAATTGTGACACAAGTATCACCTCGTCTCCCGACGGTTTTGCAATCAGCCAGGAGACACCAGGGCTCGGGAACTTCGCTTCCTCTCGTATTCTTTTCTTGGTTTTCAAACTACACCGCTATTTATTTACAGTGAAAGAAGAAAGAAGTCTAAAAATGCTGAAAAGTTACATTATAGGCATCTGTTGCCTGGGTTGTGGCCATGCATACACCATCATGACATGTCCTGCATTCGGTAATCTCCATGGTTCTTGCTTCTCTTCTTCATGTGCTTGGACTCTTTCAAGAAAGGGAAGTAAATGTAAGGATGGAAGATGGTGACGGTACCGATAGCAACGAGCATCATCGTGCTATCGAGGCCCAGAAACAAAGGTTCATTACGCAAGACTTCCAAGGTAATAGCAGGAATGTTCTCCGCGATTCTTGTAGCACGGAGATGTCAGTGAACATCATTCTCAAGTGGGCAGTTTCGAACTTACCGATAACCACAACGAATCACGATTGCAATGTATGCCACGGCAAGGGCATACACAAATGCGCGCACACGTCTGGCCTCTCCATCAGATGCTGCGGCTCGGGACATGGGTTGAGCGTCGCGTTCCATCAAATAAGTCTCGTCACGTGGGCGTGCGCCGGCTGAGAGCGCCGACTTTCGTCTCGCGACGTAAACCAACATGAGACACCCGCAGCAGACCATGTTGGCGACTTGGAAAGCCACGCCTCCAATGACGAGTTTCTCGCCAATCTTCGACATCGTCTCGTCGCTTGATCCGGAAGCCTTGGCTGCTGTGATGGCGCCACCAGCAACCTGGATAATGATTGAGAGGAAATCTGTTCCCACGAAAACCCAAGGATAGAGCGATGGGCGGAGTACCGACCACTGTTCACCATACCAGATGACGATGTGTTTGAAGGTGACAGAAATAGCAGCCGCGATCAGAGTGGGAGCGAGGAGAAGTGTAAGGTACTGTTGGGCGAAGGCATTCAAGTCCCAAGGGTTGTCGGCGAGTTTCGTTCGCGCCCAGTATCCGAGCACCTCGAAGATGGTGCCGATGCCGAGCCAGATTATGAAAGACCACGTTCGGGACCGCATTCCAAAGTACAGCTGAAACACTAGGCAAGCTCCGAATGCGATACCGAAAAACGTTGCAGCAGGCTTTGACAGATAGGTCCCATAGACTGTAAACTCGATAGGACACTGATCAGTGACCTCATCACAAGTGTCGTAAGTCGGGACGAAGCTATCGTTGGTTGCCATGGTTGTGTGCGTGCTGAGCGGCTTGAGAATTTCGGAGATAGCAGTGTACCTGATGTGACGTATATCAGGCGAATATCTGGGTACGGAAGAGGGGATGAGATGTGAACGGCACAAGGGTTAGCTACGGTGGTAGTAAATGAATTGGTGTGCTGACGGAACCGGTTGTATTTAAGAACTGAGCAAAAACCAACCTCGTATCAAAGACAACAAGCCAAGTACATAAAAGTGAGGTTGGGTGCCGATATAGGACATCTCAGACAAATAATCTTTGACTCCTCCTGCGTCTTCAACATTATAGGTTCCAAATGTTCCAGGATGTGACGTCTGTCAATAGCTCGACGGGGCAACGCGAGGTTGAATGGTGAGGCGTCGTCCATGGCTCCTCGACAAAGATGACGCGGTCAGAACAGCGAAGCCACGCTTGGCAAGGGATTTTGGGCAAATAATATTTCCCGCGTGCAGTTTAGCGCCGTCTGGGTCACGAATCTCAGCTGTACTAGGGACCGCAAAATGCAGGATTGAGAAGCCGCAGCAGATGATCCAACAGATGATCGGCGTTGGCCAAAGACGAGACGCGGTAGTGTAGAGGCTTTTAGTATCAGATCGACCGACTCTTCATAGCACACCCTCATGAAACAAATGTATCAGAAGAACTGCACAGCCAAACTCCATCGCCGCGATTCAAGTAAACACTTGACCGTTCGCTGGACTCCTGAATAGAGGATTTCCCTAGGCGACAGGCCTGGAAAAGGGGGCGGCAATGCTGTAAAGAGGGGGTATATCACGGTGGCTTACCACGCCAACCAATCACGTCAGGTGCGTGTTTCATCAAGCCCAGACACAGGCTGCTCAGATCAGTTGTCAGTTTGCAACGCTCGAGGCACGCCTCTCCCTTACATGAGCTACCCCAGCTGCCTGCTGTTCATAGGAATCGTGCTTCATTAAACTACTCTTGGCAAAAACTTTCGGACTCTTAAAAATTTCCGGCCCCGGCTTAGCACACTTTGGGCTGCGACTCCCATTCGACGTCGCTAGACTCCAACATCTTAGATACAAACGGCTAGAGCGTTGACGAATAGAGAGAGTTTGAGAAGACACAATCCCACATTAGGATGCATCCATTATCGTGCCGTGCCGCTCTTGGCAAGGGAAGATGACACCCGAACACGGCTAGGCACCAATCAGGCCCACAAAATACGCCTCAGCCTTTAGAATCTCCATATCCCGTCACGATCTCACAGCCCCCCCTTCACCTTGCCAACAGCCTCCGGAATACGGCAGGCTCATCGTTGCCCGTCCCCGACTCGTCGCCCGCAACTTTCGTCCTTTCCTTCCACTTTGGCTTCATCGCGAATGCTGAGTATGGAAACCCCGCAAGCTCAAGACTCGGTTTCAGCCGTCAGCCAGGCCGTAGACGCCATGCCGAGCGAAAGGAATCTAGCGCGCAGGCCCGCGTGTGTCGAGTGCCGGCGGCGGAAAATAAAGTGTGACCGAAAGTACCCTTGCTTGTCCTGCATAACGGTGTGTTTACCCGTTCGAGGAGTCCCGCGTGCTTCCCGCCGCTAACGCTTCTTCTAGCTTGAGCATGAATGCCTGCAGCCCCCTCCTGGGCCACATCGAAGGCCAAGGCGGCGCAATCACCACGAGCTCTACGACAAGATTGCTCGTGTTGAGTCGCTCCTGCGGCAGTACGTTGTTCCTCCCCAGCAAGGCAACGACCAAGATCTACCCTCTAGCCTTAAATACCAGACGGAGTTTTCTGGTGGGCTTGAAGATATTCAACAGTCTATTGCGACCGCGCGGCCTCAGATACAACGACCTAAAGGCACGCTTGTTCAAACTTGGAATGGCGGTCTTGAATTCCGCGACAGCAAAGCGATGGCTGTTGTATTTGATGACGTAAGTCACTCTCACTAGCACCACGATACTCATGACGATAAGCATCATCTTGAAGAGCTTAAAGACGCTTACGACTCTTACAAAAGCACAGTTACAGACAATACGTGCCCTGATAGATGTTGAGTTCGATCAGGCAGCATGGCTGCCGGCTGTGGAGGTCCCCGACAAGGGACGACAAAGCTCTGATGCCGGTATACCTTTCACGGCTCAGTTGTTAGCCTGTGTTCCGCCAATACCCGCGATTGAAGTTCTCTGGAGAGTGTTTCTCGAACGCGTGGATCCCGTCACAAAAGTCATCCACGTGCCGACGTTTCGGATGCGCATCGTTGATGCTATGAACGATTTCACCAATGTTCCGTTGGATACAGTGGCTCTTCTCTTCTCTATATTTCTGACAGCTTCCGGGTCTTTATCGCGACAAGAATACTGGGATATGTTGGGTCAAAGCAAGAGTGATGCTATTGATGACTTCACCCTCGGATTCAAGTTGGCTCTTACTGAAAAGAACTACCTGAAAAACCTCAACTTGGAAGTACTCAGGAGCCTGACGTTGTACTCGGTAAGTCCCTCACAAGCCAGTTCCGTCAAACTACAAGGATACTCAAGTGCTAAATCCAATCAGTTATTCCAGCAGACTCGATATGGCTCGTGCGACCCATGGGTTCTGAATGGCGTTGTGGTTAATATCGCCTATCGACTTGGCCTACACCTGGACGGATCGCATGCTGGCCTTTCGGTGTTCGAGTGTGAGATGCGGCGGCGTCTTTGGTGGCAAATTGTTATTCTGGAAACAAGATCGGGCGGGGCTTTTGGGACCGGCTCACATTTGCTGCCAACTCGTCAGAATACTCGCATTCCCCTCAATGTCAACGACGCAGACCTGAGCCCTAACATGGCTATGGAACCTCAACCTAACAACGGCCCAACTGACATGTCATTTTGCATAGTGACTTACGAAGCTAAGAAGCAAGTGTTGGCGAAGCCTCAGCTATTATCGATTGACGATTTGTTGTGGGATCAAATGCCGTCGCCATCTCATCCATACGGCAGTACCTCGACGGAGTGCTCGGGGACGATCAATGTGCTTCAAACATTTTCGGAAGATGTCAATAGGGTTCTTTGTCCACTGGAAAGAAGACTCTGCCCCGACCCTCTTGCTAACCCGTTACATGCCATGGCACAATGCGGTCGAGAGGCGCTGTCGAGGATGATCGAACTCGTTGTTACACCGATGGAGGAGGCATCCGAGTGGGGAACCGAAGTACTCGGTCCAGACGACAACTTCTTCCGCATAAGCCTTGCGGCGAACGAGGAGGCGCTCCGTGCAAGGAAAGCGGCTGGCCACCGCTTTGCCTGGTACGCAGACATCGATTTCAAGATGCAGGCGTTCTACTATCTGGGCGCTCAGCTGCAGAATCGCATCTCCGGGTCTATGGCTGACAGGGTCTGGTCGGTAATAGAGGAGACGTATGCTCTCCACGAGGAGCTTTGGGAATTGAAAGACAAGGAGAACATGACTCTAGGTAACTTGCTTCTTGCCGCGTGGGAAAAGCGCATTATGCACTTCTCGCTGAGCCAGGTAGTGCTGCCAGAACCGCCTTTTCTGAGCAGACTGCGGGATGAGGTTATGGTAATCAAGGCTGAAGCGTTGGGTATCTTCTAGTCCAAGAAAAAAAAACATGGTTGTTTGTGGCCAACATTGGATATGTATTCACCGTGGTGTACACAAGTATTCGCTATAAACACGTTTGATATCACTCGTAGTGGACGTACTTGACCAGTGTCACGCTGCATTATACATGACACTAGCAAGAGATCGTGTTATGGTCTCGTGCCAAAGTAGAGCAGAAAACCATGTCTGTGGCACAGGTAAACCGTCTGAAGCATAAAGAGTCACAACTGGGTTACATGACAGAGAAATGTTTCGATATGCTGGTGGCAGCGTGCCTTAAGGGAAATAGAAACGAGATCAGTAGCTTGGAGGCACCTCCACAGACTGTTGTCAATATCGGAATGATCCTAAGTGGCTTGGGATGTTCCACATTTACTGTGTGATTGGGAAGTTGAGAGATAATGAATAACCCACGAACGTAGACCTATTGGTCCCTCAAAGCGGCCGCAAAGCACTTGATCTCCCGGAAGCCACGAAATACGACATAACAGGAATGACAGTCGTGCTCCTGAAGCGTACACTGTTCTATCATTTCCGATATGCAGAAGGTAATCGTACTTATCAGGTTCCCCCCATCGCCATAGCTTTCTCCATCATGCCCCAGAGTCCCTGAACCCTGTTGCCTGACAGCCAGTAGTTACCCTTTGCATCTTTACCCACAATAGTAATTCCATCAGTGAAGTTGTACGGCCCCTGAAAACTTTGCACAAAGGACGGCACCAAAGGAGTATTATCTCTCGGCTGTATGGCAGCAGCCGATAAATCGAATCCAAATACGTTCGCTTTTGTCCAATTAGAGAACGCAATCAATTGCATAGAGCTCGCACCGAAAAACGGCGGTGCCCTGTTTTTTGGGTCCTGTCGCACGAGCGAGGCGTAGGCTTCAACCTGCTCACGAGAGCCTTGCTCTTTGATCGACCGACGAACTTGAGACGCTAAGTGGCTTAGTGGTTTCTGGAGGACATCTTTTGCGGGCATGAGGGTGACTAAGAAGCCAACACAGTTGCTGAGGAACGGTCTGTTGGGTGGTATCACATCCTTCAACACAGGTCGCCATTCGTAGGCCTGCTGAACAGCAACCTTACGAAAGAGGTCTGTTAACTAACGCACGTGTTACTTAGGGTGTGTCACTCACCAGTCTCTCAGTGTCTTTTGGAAGGTTTGACATCGCCAAGCGTGTAGCCCACGCAACGAGAACGTCACCGTCACTCAAAAATGGGGTTTCGTTTGTTGCCTCCTCAGTTACGATCTCAAGTTCAGCTAAAGCCTTATCTTTAAGCCTTTTTAGATATGCCGCAGGCATGCAGACCGTACGATTTTCTTTGCTACAGACCGCGAGGCCGTAAACATTTTGAGCAAGCCAAGAGATAATACCAGGCATAGACAGGCGCTGATTGGCAAGAACATGGGGCTCAGTCGGGCTTTTGCCAGCGTTCTCCAAGGCGTAATCATCGGGGGCAAGAGGCTTCAGGATCTCTTCGTCTTTGCCCTGCAAAGCAAATGTCCAGGCCTCTAAGAGAGATTTCTTAGCGACGGCGTCAAAAGTCAGGTGCATCCAGTGTAGCACGATAACTGTTGAGTTTTTGAATGATATAACTCGGAGGCCAAGTTCTGGTCGGTCTTCGTTAAGATAATCGTTTAGCTTAGTTGGGATGCCAGGGCCATAGACAAGGTCGAGTAAGTCGTTAGGGTTTCCCACAACTGCAGGTCTGCCGTCAGACGGTGGATGAGGGATTTTTGAACCAGATGGATGGTCCTCCACCGCCAAGTCACTGAAGTTGACGTGGTCGAATCCGATAGCTGGACGTTCTGGAGAGAACGCTTCCGGAATGTGGTGTTCGAGTTCCCCACGATCCTGTTCAGACCGTAATTAAAGGACAAGTCCTGAAGATTGCGTGCAAGTGTTTCTTACGTTCCGTCTAAGCCTGGCTCCTAGTTTGGTCCAACCAGGGCGGCTGACTACGCTTTCAAGAGAGTTGCGAAGCCTCTGCGCATCCAGGACATCGTCAAATACGAGCAACGTGTACAAAACGAACGTTCTGAAGATTATGGTGTCGTCAAAAAAACCAACGGGAACAACGCGGTCGGTCGGGACGTGTTTTGGCACTTTCGATTGGCCTGAAAATAGCCCAAACATTCTCAGCTTTGCGGCACAATACTTGAGAAGCGTTGTGTGTAATGATGGATAGAACGAGATTGAAGAAGGAGAAATCAAAGATCCCCGAAATAGAACACTGCATCCATAAAGTAAGTTCTGGCGAAATGGGGCCCAATGCACTAGAACGTGGCCATGGAGCAAGCCCCAATGCAGCCTTTGATAGATAGCAGACTGTTGGACGTTTTGAGACCCCGGCTCTGCCAGCTGCATGTTCATGAAGAATGCTCCATTCCTTACAGGGTTCTCTATCCATATTGAGTGAAACGTCAACTGTGTGCAGGGGTAAATTGATGTAGATACTAACTGTCCCTGGATCGTTGTGAATAACCTTCCTGACGGCAAAGTAATAAAAAGGTGTGGAAGTCATTATACCGAGTCGACGGAAAAGGTCCTTCTTGATTCTGGCAAGATGATCGCCTTGCAAATCCATGAATGGAAACAGCAGAACTCAATTGCCTGCCGTCGCCTGTTGGTTATCACTGCAAAAGGGAGCGGAGATCTTTGTTGGCCTTTCATTGACCTCTCAGTAGATATTTTGGCTCAATACGACGGTGGCAAGGGGTCTCTAGAGTTCTCCACTGAGGTAGGTGGATATGACTGGCCAGCCAAAACTCAGGGCCGAGGACTGTGGACTCTCAAATCAAACGCGAACCAACAGTTCCTCTTATAAGCAGCGTTCCACTCCACCCTGCCGAAGGCTCTTCAAGATGGAGTGTGGCTCCTTTTGATTTATGGTTTCGTTGGTTCGCCTTCCTGTAAGAAATGCTTGGACGAGTCCAGGTGACATAATGAGTCCTTAGTATGCCAGGTAATTGTAGTAAGCTGATGTGTTGCTCTCGTACAATACTTAAGTTTTCTACTCCCCAAAAGTTCTCAGGCCATTTTTGAAGAGTTTCACGTGCATCACTTTGCCTCACATCCCTCGTTGATAAGCGGTTTCCAGTGTTCCTGCCCCCCTGTCCTACGCAAACGGTTCACGCGTTCCGGTATGGAGTCTTAAGCTGTTAGAAGCACAGACTGTGAGCGCATCTGGGAAATTGCTCATGGCCTTCCACAAGTTTCATTCGGGAAATCTTCAAGAGCTATCCAGGTCATAGCATACATTTTGTCTGCCCTGTCAATCATCGTGATTGCCATTCGCATCTACGTAAGGCTCAAGCTGTCCGGATCGGAACGAGCTTGGAGATGGGACGACACGTTCGCTTTCGCTGGATGGGTATACCGATTTATTGCCAGTCTTAAATTGCAGCCTGACGATTTTATTAACTTCTACAGGTTCCTCTTTGGCCTTCGGTGGCATTTCTCACTCTCGGAACATACTGGAGACCTGGTGCTCATGATGCTCAGTTTCCTGAGGGAACGGTCATCTACTATCAAGTTAGAAACAAAGGGATGTATTCTATTTCGAAGTTATTTATTTCGCCACCTCGGTTTTGACGAAGCTTGCCATGGTTATCATGATTCGTCGACTGAGCTCAACCGGACTTCACTCCTAAATTATCTGGGAAACACGGCAGTACTTGGAATTAACGCGTCTATCTGCATGGTCATCATGTTTGTCAGCTGTTTCTCCAATACCCGCTCTCTGGAACGAGAATCTGTGAGTTTTTTCTTCAAAACCCGACTTCCGTTCCAACTGACGATTGTCAAAGAGGTTACTGCCGCATGCCACAGGGGCGGATGATTGTAAGTTATGCCGGCTCTGTCATTCTGGCCACGGTGGACTGGATGTGTGCAACCACGCCTTTTTTTATGATCCAAGGGCTGCCAATGCCAAAGCAACGTAAAGTGTCACTTCAATCCTTCTCGGCCTGTGTATATTTGGCAGTGCCGCCGGTCTAGTGCGAATGGGATATCATCATGCTTATGATACCAAAACATATCCAAACGCTAGGAATCCTAGAATCAAGCCAGGCAATGGCTTTCACGTACAATGCTGAGGGTGAACAGGAGAATAGACGCGTAACAAATGCCTGGTGTTGGTGGTAAATTACTTGAAAACAAAACGAATAACGATATTAGTTCGAAACATTAGCTATGAAAATACTTTTGCTGATTTTCCCAAGCCATCTTTCAGTCTCTGCCACATCATGCATGCAGAAGACATGCCAAGTCCTGGGCCAAGGTCCATAATAACAGCTAGATTTTGTCGTGAGCTTTAAGTGACAGAAACACCATAGTGAGAACTCGAAAGACCATACCTTTCGTCTGTGCCAGGGTTTGTGCAATTTTGCAGAGAGTAACGGGATGCCTCGAGTACCCAAGATTCTCATTCCTAAAGGTACGATAGTGACGTTACGAAATGAAGCTCAGCACCCCACCGCGCAGCCGATCCCTCAATACAACCTTCAAAGATCGGCACACAGGGGCTGAGATGGTATGTGCGTTGCTTTCTACAATTACCGGTGACATCTGACGGGTAACTTGCAAAGTACACCTACCCTTGTGGTGGAAATGCAACCGGAGAAACCGGAATGCGTGGCTTGTGATTTACTGTGCTATGGCATGATGGGTAAGTCTTTAACACACAACAGGTAGTTCTTGGCTTTGACCCCACAGCCAGCGAGGAATCACAACCCAACTAGCTAAACAGTCACCTAACTGTGAGAAGTACCAGTGCTTAGATCTGCCTGCTTGCAAGCTACAAGATACCTGACAGGGGTAAAAAAAACTTTGGCATGGTATCATAGTACAACTTGCTCTTAACCCATCCGACTTTAGCCTTGTTCGCGATTTGTTGATCCCCAAATTGATGGTCCGCTGTTCTCGTATGAGTCCAGATGGTGGCAGCAATTTTGTAGGGGACTGTACGAGGAGCAGATCACTACAAGAACATAGCAGCAGTCCATGAACGATGGTGAAAGATTGGCTACCAGCCCGTCTGTATAATGTATTATATCTTAAGTAAGGCATACGAGCATCTGCATTTGTCATCACCAGGCAGCTGTTGTCTTTAGGACAGACAATTTCCAGGCCTGCATTATTTTCACATCAATCACATAGTGCAGTATCGTCGCAACCGCAACCACTGCCCGAGTTTCTCATGCTTCTGTACCAACCTCAAGTGTCTTATCCTGGAAACACGAAACAATTGGTGTGAGGGACGAGAAGTCTCGGCCACTTCAAGGCAACGCTAATGCTCAAATGTGGGAGCGGGTTACTCGTTCTCAGGTGCGCGAACGATCACCCCCCTCTAGGATGTGAAAGTGGGTATTCTTGACGTTGCCCATTTAGGACCGTCTTGGCCTACCTCGTGATTACATGGATGATGTTGTTTTCGTCACGAAAAAGAATGACCGGTTATATGAATTCCAGACGTAATTATGGACACAGGTATCCTCTTGTGCCGTAGTCGCCCACGATCATCGTTTGATGCCGAGAAGATCCTCTGCCCAGCCTCACCAGCCTACACTGGTTAAAAATTTGAAGGGTGTGAGCCGCGGAATGTCTTAAGACTTAGATAAGTCTCCTTGCATTTCACATCGCTGGAACTCGGGGTTTAGAAACCTTTTGATGATGATCTGATGATTGTATCCTAGTTGAGAGGCAGCTGTAACGTTACTTGGTTGGGGAAACCCCGAGCATGTGACGTGATTCATTCGAAAACGGGAATTTCTAAGCGGTTTCGATGCAAAACTTGAATTGAAGGACATTAACATACGCACGGTTTCTTGTCCATACTCTTGGTGATTTTAGTGTAAGTCAAGACGGACTTGTCTTTGGGGGAAAATTAGTACAAAATCACATTTTGGGTTTGTTGAGGTCGAACGCTGTAATTATTTATCGGCAGGCGGTGTTTGCCCACGACACGTCCGAAATCAACTTGAGACTTGATTTTCTCCATGTTTTCGTAGGCATGACATAGGAAACTGATCCCTGCATCTCACACGTAGCAGACTGGTCTCTTTCTTGTCTTGGCCTTGCATATTACAGCTTGATAAAATACAGCCTAAACTGCATATACTCATCATTAGAGTCAGCAACGCTTCCGAGGCTAAAAAGCGATCACCAGCTCGGAACTAGTGGCTTTAAGTATCTGGTATCAGAATTATATCCTGAGGTTACGTTAAAGAGATGAATTTATGTAAAATTTCTTGACACCAGAACCGAATTGTTACTCTCCTGATAGCTCAACTTCCCCACGTTGAGGGCATTGTTTTAGTATTTGGTTAGAAAGACATCAACGTTGGTGGCTTGCTTAACGCCATATTGCACAATTTTGGGTGTCTTGGTCGCTGTTGACTCGCCCTTGGTAAGCTAGTTGAACGTCATTTGAGTATTGTGAAGCGAATAGGCCAATGAGATAGGTGTGGTTGGCTGTGCTAAGCCGAAAGCAGACGTTGTCAGCCGAAAACATGTCTCAGGGGCAAATAAGTGGTAATGAATACCCAGCAGTACGGATGTGGAAGGTGTTTCGTCTTTCAACCGTGGTGATTCTCTCCCAAAATTTGGTAGACAACCTATCATTGTCTTTGAGAGAAAGATCGTCACAGCTAGGCATGGAGCTCGAATTGAGGAAGGATACTTCAAAAGCGATCTTTACGACATCTACTGTGACATCATGTATATATGCGCTACAAGTTGTAAGAATTTGCTTCTCGAGGTAAGTGCAAAGCACCAATAATGACAGTGTTCAGAGCTTACATATTATCGCAAGTGATTTGAAGTTTTGTATAGGAAGACGCGGACCTGCTGCAAAACATTTCCAGACACACAATCACCGTGAATACAGGCCCAACAGATTCAAAATTTCTTGGGATCGGCCCGCATAGTTTTGAATAGAGAATTGGAATGTAGTTTTCGGTCGAGGATGAGTCATCTCGTCCACCCTTCCAGCACAGCACTGACACGGGGGTTTCCCCAGCGTCATACGGCCGCAAACGTTGTCTCGGAGAGTGCCATTGACGGAATTTACCTACCCTAAAGGGCTGGGCCTCCGCTTACCCTCTATTGAACAAGCTCTATCTGATGATCGAAGCCGGCTGGACCGCCCCGCCGTAGATGAATGCGGCCCGCTGAAAGCTACCGCTGACATATTTTCCGGAAGACTAGCCCGCACGCCAAGGCGAGACCAGCCTCGGCCAAGCATCTGTCACAATTGCCTAATTCTTGGATACCATAACGTCTGAGCTGGCCCGAGCTTGGAAAGGGTCATTCCCGTTGACTGTGGGGCCGGAAGGCCAACCTGTACCATCTTCATTCGCGGGACAGCTAAATAGTCTTAGACACCGGCTCGGGAAACTCCTGGAGACCCTGAGACATCTTAGCCCGAAAACCCACCGCCAATACCCTATGCGGTAATAAGATGAGAGAGATACTGGCAAACTGTCCGCTCCCAGCTTTGCATTCATAGTTCCAGACCTTTTGAGAGAGGGTCTAGGGCGGCAATCCCAAGGAATGAGAATCGAGAGGACGCCTCACCCGCTCAGCATCATTGTGAACCAGGTGAACCGAGACTGCGTTGTCTTACAAGTCCCAAGTTCCTTTGAACCTACTCAGCTGAAGCGGAGGCGGGATTGTTTTGCAGCCCGCGATGTTTTAAACGGAGATGTATAAGCTGGGAATAGTGACGGGAGATCCCCGCTATGTCGTCAATTCATTCCTCATGGGATGTACGTGACACAGCTTCCATGTTTAGTCTATGACAGCTACAAACAACACCAGCTTCTAGCCGTGCCATATGTGGTTCAGGACCTAATGTTGACAGCCACAGAAGATGATTGTCATCATGAGGAAAATGTGATGGACGCCTCCGATGTCACAGGAAGGTTTGGCAGGCACTTCGGCTCGATGCTGGAAGGCGATTCTCTCGCGGAGGACCAAGATGCATCGACGTGTTGGGAGATTCACTGGACGATTTGTTCAGGTAGGTACAAACATCAAACCTAAGCACCCGTAGTGCCAGCGGCACGATTTCCCTTGCAATTGATGCATGGTGAGGACGGAGAGGGTCTGCAGAGGAACATGGGCCAGTCTAGATAGACACAAATCTCCGACCTCAACGTTGGAAAACCCCTCTAGAGTGTCTCCAGTTCTTCCACCTCTCTAAACCGTACGACTACGCCTTTTGGATCGTCATCTGCCTAGAGGCAAAAACAACGAGGGTGTAAAGATGAATTGGGGAGGTGTGAGAAATAATCTATTAGGTATGTGTGTGCATCCTTAGAGCACTAGACTCTCGGATAGAGATCTTAGCTCGCGGATGAAGCCTCTCCTAGCAAGCCACTCCGCGCTTACCTTTCCGCCTTGAGAAGACACCTTCTTGTTTTCAGACGCATGGCTACATTTTTAACGTTGATTAGGTGGGTATTCTGGGTTGGAGGACTGCTTCTTGTTCTTCTATAAGAGGCGTCGACGCCTCCCGTCTTGTCAGTTACTTCCTCTTACTTCTTCATCAGCTCACCCACCATCTCGGCTCATCACAGAACTTGTTTCTTCTTGGCAATTGTGTCTCCACACGAACCTCCTCGAAATACCATCTCGCCATCTGTTCCTCTTCTCATTCTTTGAACCAATCCATCAACATCACGTTCAAAATGCAGTCAAAGATCTTCGCAGTCGCCGTTGCCGCCCTCTCACTGTCTTCAGTTCAAGGCGCATCTGTGCCTAGACAGATTACTATCAGCGCTGGCACCATCGTTCTTCCTTCACTCACCTTCGACCCGAAACAGTTCCTACCCCAGCAAAATGCTTTCCAAACTCTTGACCTCCTCCGCGATGACATCGCCAAGACTGCTGCTCTTGTCAGCCTCCTTACGAACTCCACTACCACTAACGTGCTCACGGTGAGCGGCTCCGATCCGGTATCATGGCATCGAATGCATAACTAAGTATATACAGACCGCTGCTCAAGCCAATCAAGTACTTGGTCAGGTCGGTACCAACGTGGCGAACATCGTGACGAAGGTTACTGGGCTTGCAGACATCATCCAGGGCGCCATTCCTTCTGTTCCGTCTGCCACCCCTTCAGCCCCTGCGACCAACACACCGGACATCGGCGGTGCGGCCGAAGACGTAAGTTATTTCCTTACATATCAACACTAGCGAACGGTATAGCTAACATACAACCGTAGGTTGTTCGCCAGGCCCAGGTGCTCGCCCGGGCGATTACCGCTCAGCTTGACATCCTGAAGAAACAGGCCTCTACTCTCAATGGCCTTCTTTTGATCCCTACCCTTGCCACTGCTCAGGCTTCTCTCGCAACCGTCCTTCTTACTATTGGCACCATCAGCACCCTCGCCCTTAACACTGCTGCCAGTGCCACTGCCAACATCCTGGCTATCGTTGACCGCGTCCGTAACGCCCAGGTCAAGCTGAACCCTGTCCTCATCATCGGCCTCCAGCCCGATATCATCTTTTAAAAGAAACGAGTACCTTTCAACACACTCTCCTAGTCTGACTCTGGGAATCTTGAGACACCTACTTTCCGCGCCGAGTCGCTTGAGATAAACACAAATTTCAGTTCTAACGATGGAGAAGAGCCAATGTAATGCCGACGCAAATGTAACGGAATTAGAAGGAATGCCTAATTACGGACCGTATTAGGAAAGTTATGATGAGGAATGCAGAGGGACTACGCTCTTTTATGGATGTTCTTTGGATGACTATTCAACAACATTCAGCAACAAGATTATTTTCAATAGCATAACTAATAATGAGATGGTACAACACTTCCAACACCTGTCTGCAATTCAGTTTTGCTACTGATAAGCATTAGCTTGATCAAAAGTTGAATGCGTCTCATCACCAATAATGTATGACTGTTCGGGTCTTGAGGATTGCTAGTAATTAGTGTTACGCGAACACATTGCGATCGTGGATGTTGCACATGTATTCCAAGCATATCCGTGAAATTTTTAGTCAACATTTGTGGTGTTAATGTCATCGGACATGCTTGTATACTAGAATTGTTTTGCACAATGAGTTGCCAGCAATTGTTCCATATTTAGGCTAAGTTTGGTCGTGGATAAAATCATATGCTTGAAATGCAAACATGGCGCGTTTCGGATAGATAAATTGCACAAACTACACCCTGCGTGTCATGCCCAAGAGCAAAAGGAAGAAGGGAAAACCCACCGCAACGGGTTAAATGTGGATATCCCGAGGCACCAGAAATTCAGGGGCAGAGCGGGGACACCGTTTAGGCTGCATTTCCTCAGATGACACAACGTGACATGCATACGCCAGGTGTTTGCCGTCTTATTTCTCTCAGTGGTGAGTGGAAAGCGGTTCTGTGGCCTTCAGGTGAGGCCCATGTGGATCTCCCTCTACACTACACGTGCACACCTGCGCGCGCCGTGCGCCAGCACCATCCTTGCAAGCCGGCGGGATCCCCATAGCAGAACGGGAGATCCTCTGGTTTCCTGGCCCCTTTCATGGCTTCGACCGAAGAAGCCAGGCACTACAGCCAATTCTATGCCCCCCCCCCGCTACAGGGGCGGTAGGCTACCGGGTAGTCTACCGGATCGTCGGCCTCTCTAAGCCAAGCTTTGAATCTTGAGTAGATTGAGGTGGAACGGAAGCGAAAGAGGGTGGGAACTTGGGAGGAACGAAAGGAACGGAAGTTCGTTCAGGGGAAAACGTTGATAAACGACCACCAACCCCCACCAGTGTTCCCAGTGTCTAGCCTCTGATCTTTCCAACATCGTCGTTCGCCATATACCTCCATTCGTTTCCTGTTACCTTGACGTAACATTCTACGTTCATTTTTTCACATCTCTCTTTCGACCAGTCACTCCTTTCTACTCAACCGTCAAGATGCGTTTCTCCGCCCTCACCGCAGCTGGCCTGCTCGCCCTTCCCGGCGTCAGCGCCAACCTGAATGAGCTGGCCATCGCGGCCGGTAAGAAGTACTTTGGTGCAGCGACCGACAACTCAGAACTCACCGACACTGCCTACGTCGCTATCCTCAAGGACAACAAGATGTTCGGCCAGATCACCCCCGGCAACGGCCAGAAGTGGCAGTTTACAGAGCCTAGCCAAGGCTCCTTCTCCTACACCAAGGGCGATGAGATTACCAAGTTCGCCCAGGGCAACAGCCAGCTCATCCGCTGCCACACCCTAGTTTGGTACTCCCAGCTTCCTAGCTGGGTCTCTTCTGGCACATGGACCAAGGACCAGTTGACCTCCATAATCGAGACGCACATTTCCAACGTCGCCGGCCACTACAAGGGCCAGTGCTACGCGTGGGACGTCGTTAACGAGGCCCTCAACGAGGACGGTACCTACCGCGACAGCGTCTTCCACAAGGTCCTCGGCACCGACTACATCCCTATCGCCTTCAAGGCCGCCGCCGCCGCCGACGCCGACGCCAAGCTCTACTACAATGACTACAACATTGAGCTCGCCGGTGGCAAGCAGAAGGAGGTACTCAATATTATCAAGAACATCAAAGCCTCCGGTGCCCGCATCGACGGTGTCGGTCTCCAGGCCCACCTTATCGTCGGCAGCGCCGGCTCTCGCTCTGCTCTGAGCGCCGTCCTCCAGTCTTTCGTCGACGCCGGTGTCACCGAGGTCGCTTACACCGAGCTCGACATTCGCCACTCGTCCATCCCCGCCGACGCTGCTGCCCAGGAGAAGCAGGCCAACGACTACGTCAGCGTTGTTGGTGCCTGCTTGGACATCAAAGAGTGTGTTGGTGTCACCATCTGGGACTACACTGACAAGTACTCTTGGATCCCTTCCGTCTTCCCTGGCTCCGGTGAGGCCCTTCCTTGGGATAAGGACCTCAAGCCCAAGCCGGCATTCACTAGTATCTCGAGCCTTCTCGCTGCCGCCGGTACTGGTGGCGCTGCTCCTGCTACATCCGCTCCGGTCGCTGCCGCCACGACATCCGCTGCCGCCGTCAAGCCTACACCCTCAAGCTCTGCTCCCGTTGCGCCTGAGACGACTCCTGAGGCTTCAGTCCCTGCTGCTGCTCCAGCCCCTGCCTCAACTCTGGTTACCAGTGTGAAGAGCAAGTGCACCGGTGGTGAAAAGGCTGAGACTGCGGCCAGCGCTCCCGCTGCCGCTGCAACCGGCGGTGCCGCTCGCTGGGCTCAATGTGGTGGCATTGGATTCACCGGGGCTACTACCTGCCAGACTGGCCTTACCTGCGAGAAGCAAAATGACTACTACAGCCAGTGTATTTGAGTCTTAGGCGAGGTGGCATTCGAGAGGAGAACGTCGAGATGCTAGCGGGACTGCTCCGGATAGCGTCCCGATGAGATAAAGAAGAATTTTATGTACATACTTTCAGCCGATAAGAACATATTGTAAATTCCCATACCAGCGATCTCTCTCTTGCCTGTAATGCCACTGTGATGCAGGCTTCAAGATCAACCCCGAGCAATTGGTGGATAAGGCATCGCAGACCCCCGAAGCCGCCTCCATAATCAAAACCCTGGGGATTGAGATGGGTAGATTCAACGTGTGACTATATTGACATTTCGCATCTTCTAGGAAGGTGATGTCAAAACCTGAGCTCGTAGCTGTCGAAAGCCTCCAGTTATCGGCAGTTGGCGTTTCCTTGACGCCAAAACAGGGTCCATCCGAAAACCCAATTACTTGCCTTTTATTGCTTCTGAATTGAACAGTAGCGACACGTCGACAAGTGATTTTTCAAGTTTCTACATCACGTAGCATTTTACCATCACGAGAGAGCATTGCATCATCCACAGAATGATGAGGAGCGCATGGTTCGTGGTTTTCTATTCTACCAACAGTCTAGTTGGCGCTCTTCGTGCCAACCTACAACGCGCCCATGACCAGTTCGATTCCTCCAATCCAATACCGCCAATATCTAGTTTGTGTCTTCATGATTGCGGCAAGTTTGGCGATTGCATCGGGCTACTATAGCTTTCATGGCCGTGGCCATGACCAGGCGCTGGTGAATCGCGGCCCTGCTGCTGTTGGTCATACGGAGACGGGGAACCCATCTCGCTCCTTGCTACAGCGACCGACGCATCTAATTCCGAGTATCTGTGAATGTTTCCTTGATGGTATTCCGAGTTTGGCGACATGGGTGGTGGCGGGGAAGTGCCGTAATGTGGTTTGTAGGTCTGCGGCGGCGAGGTTCCGGCGTACGAGCTCGTGGCCCCAGTGAACTGCGGCTCCATCGGCTGACTTGCCATTTCTGCCTTCTCGGCCAGTTCCTTTTTGAGCTTTTTGTTCTGATTCCAGAGCCATATTGTCGATAGAAGTCCTGCCAGAAGTGTAACACCGGTGACGACGGCGAGGCCAATGGTGGCCCCCTTGAACGGGGAAGATGCTTCAGCCGCGGTATTATCGGAGCTTGTTGAATTCGCTGTGCATACGGATTCTTGTGTCGAGATGGAAAACGCAGCATCCGTTCCACAACAGGTAGTGTTCGATTTTCCGCAACAATACTTTGCTGTGCCGTCGTTGCAGGCGGTCATGAAGCTGATGTTGCTAGGATTGCCGCCAGTCTACCGTTTTCACTGATTAGCCTGCATCGCCGACGAGATTATTGTGATGGTGGTGCGACAGTACCTCGATATCTGTGCAGACGTGGTTGCAAGCCTTGCTTTTCCATGTCTTATCCGTGCAGAAACCTCGTTGCGGCTGGCCCTGGCGGTTGATACACAAGCCGGAAGATGAGCAGATGTCTCGTTGCTCGGGCGGGCCGTCCAGAGCGCAACAACTCGAGAAGACACCGGCCTGGTTGATCCCGAGCTTGTTGCATGGGACATACGTTTCATTGTTGGCAAGTTCGCCATTCGGCGCGTAACACGAAGCTTCTTGCGCAAGAACGCGGGCGGTGAGGCCCACGCCCACTGCCAGGAGCGACACCAACATTGTGTCAACAAAATCTGGTGGGATTGGATCACTCGAACCAAGCTTGCGCTCTACGTCCAGCGATTGGGATAGACGATAGATCCAGATGGAGACCGCAAGAGGAAAAGAAAATGGAAGAAGAAAAGAAAATACTCAGGCAGACAGGATGGGGATTTACTTCTCTCTATGAAAAACCTACAGCAAACAAGCCTTACCCGCGTGCAACGTAGCCAATGCACTCTCTGTGTCCCCTCTGTCTCCTCATTTCAAGCCCTCGATCCTCTTACTGCGGCGTGGTGGAGGGGCTCAGTCTTACGTGCATGGAAAAAATGCCTGCACTGTGATAGTCAGTTCCAACATGCAGCCAGCGCAGCCCCCAAAATAGCTGAAATAGGAAGGCCAGTTGCAGTTGTCTTGTAATTGACCCTCGTAGTGGTCAGACCAACCGTTGGATGCAGAACGCAGATCCTGGTCACATTGGATGGCCCACACCAAAGTACAGAAGCTGACCATCCAGAGACCGCACCAACAGGCAATCGATATGCAGAATCGATACCGAGCATTGGAACGGCTGTGTCCGAGATGGAGGCGAGAAGCTGACACTTATGGTGCGGGTGATGGGCGGGATGGCACTCTGGTCCGCCTGATTCCTCGTGTGTAGGTCAACCCGGTCTGCGGTCCATGGGGATTTTTTCATTTCTTTGCACAAGATCAGATTGCCACGATCTCAATTACGATCTTGAAATGCTTCATTTCTCCAGATGTATGACCAAAAATATCGGAAAAGGGCCCATTGAACCGCATGTATCCGTGAGTCAGCAACAACTTACCAACCGAGAGGATCCGGTGTCATTTTCGGCAACCGGGACAATGTCGCACTTGATTGGTATTAGTGTCTAGTGCTGATCAATGAAAAGATCAAAGTAAGGAAAAGGAGCCACATTACTTAACTTGGCAGTCCACTCGAGCCTACTTGACTTACTTTTGACCCGTTTTTTCGCGACCTAAAGGTTGTACCTTTTGTCAGCTTACACATCTGACGCCACGCTGATCCAGTCTTCCAAGGGATAAGCTGCTCCTGCGCTCCTCCCTGGCACTTTTGGTCTGTACCACATGAGCCAAATCTTGGGTTGGGGTTTCTAAGGCGAGATAGATTAAATCTCTCGAGTCTTGGTAAATGTGTTTATCCATGAAATCTGCAGATTCTTACTCTTCTCTCATGATTAAAACGCATTATGAGGACGACGACGAACACTGCTGGTCGACCACATGAAATTATTTCTTTGTTGTACCTGCAAGATTAGAGACTCTGCACTGTCTCACCAATGAATTGTTCTTGAGACATTCTTCAAAGCGATACCAGCGCGGCACAGGATACTTGAACGACAGAATATCTTCTTGGAATTCGAATTCATAATTCTCGCCTTGCGAAGCGGAGTCTGGATCCTGGGGCCGATGCCGCGTTGCCATATCCGGCGAGGTGGGCTTCGGGGCCACCGCTGGCGGCTCCCGAGGCGCCGACTAGCTAACAATAGGAGCCGCGTGTCAATCATTGTAAGCAGGAACAATAGGTAATCACAAAAGCTATGGCCATATAACCGAACGCGCTGCAAGTCCTGCATCGGGTAACCATCTCGATGCAGTCGCTCAAGTAGTATGTACCCCGCATCCTGGCCGTCTGATCTGTGGCATTACCGTGAACCGATCGGCTGTATGATGACGGTACAACCAAAATGAACAGCGACTCTGCATTTTCGAGAGCGAAAGCTCAATAAAACATGCGGACAGTTGCTGGTCCTCGCTGCTATACTAACTTAGAGAACCAATGCGGACGAACATCTAGACATAGGTTACAAACTTGTGGTGTTTGGCCATGGCACAGAACTGTGAAATCCCCCACCAAGCCTCGGAATCTGTTGATGACGGGGGAGCAAATCGTTCTCCAGGTGGCGAGGTCGGTGTGACGCTGAGGTTTTGCGACTTCATAGTCCAGACACAATTTGAAAGCATACCGCCTCAAGCTCTCGAAAAGCTCTTAGATCTCATTATCGACCACATTGGTGTTGGTGCCAGTGGAGGTGCTCAGTCGGAGTCGAGCAGGTACATCATCACGGGCGTCGAGGCTTTCACTGGAGGTGCCACAGGAGAAAGCATTGTGTACGGCAAGGAAAAACGGTACCCGGTCCCTACCGCTGCATTGCTAAATGGAGCATTCGCGCACTCATTCGACTTTGACGATACGCTTGCTGTCGGCGTTGTTCATCCTGGCGCAAGTATTATTCCTGCAGCCCTGGCTCAAGCCCTAGAGTCCGATGCTTCTGGGAAGCTTCTTCTTACAGCCATCTCAGTTGGATACGAGGTAGCCTGCCGTCTCGGGCGGGCCTTGTCGACCGGCGGTTATCCCAGAGGCTTCCACAACACAAGCACGGCGGGGATCTTCGGGGCGGTGGCCGCCATCAGCAAGATCAAGGGTCTTTCGCCAGAGCAGATCTACAACGCCTTTGGATTGGCTGGTTCGAAAGCCGCGGGCTCGATGCAATTCCTTGACAACGGATCTTGGAATAAAAGGCTACACCCTGGCTTCGCAGCTCACGATGCCTTTCTGTGCGTGGCATTGGCGGAGGCTGGCGTCACAGGGGCGTCACACATAATCGAGGGAAAATGGGGGTTCCTACAGGCACATTCTGCAGAAGTCAATACTGTCGGTCTCACGGACGACCTTGGCACGGAGTGGCTTTACCCCGCGACGGCTTTGAAGCCGTTCCCTGCCTGTCGCTTCACTCACACCGCCATCGAAGTGACCGCAAACGTTGCGGCGAAGGCCATGACACAGAGATTGCCAGAGAAGATCACCGTCCGGTTGACTCGCGCTGGCTACGGCATTGTCGGCGAACCCAGCCCAAACAAGCGACACCCCAAGACGATCGTCGATGCCCAGTTCAGCATTTACTATCAGATAGCGATTGCTTGGCTTTTCGGCATGGAAACCGGTTGGAGTGCATACGATGTCGAAAAGATGCAGAGCAAGCAAGTGGCCGATCTTTGCGACAGGATTGAGGTCATCATTGACGTGATGATTGGAAAAGAATTTGAGGCGAAGATGTCGTTTGTCGGCGTCGATGGTTTAGGTGATGTCGAGGATGCCATGGTATATCCTCTTGGAGAAAACGAACATCCACTCTCGAGTGAGAGGGTTCAAAAGAAATTCTTGGGTCTGGTTGCTTCTGTATATGGCACCCGCCGTGCTGGAGAAATCCTGGAGGCTGTGCGCAAGCTTCCCGCCGGTTCGTCGAGTGATTTGATCGCACTGCTCTGACAAACCCGCTCTGTCTGGATGTCTTTGATCCAGGCGACCTGTAGGCGGTGGGATTGATGGCATGGCATCGTCAAAGTTTTGCCGCCGTTTTCTTCAGTAAAGAGAAGAAATGAGAAAATGGATGTGTCCCATTTAGCCCTAAAGGGAGTCCGGAAGCGATCTTCCGGGCTGCGGTTGATTTTGGAACCCGAATCGATGGATTGAATCTAGATCAATATTACACCGCATTAAGTGTGATTCTCCTTAAGGATACCCGGGTCAACTTGCCTCTTGGGGTGATGGCGGGGACCGGATTGAAAATAGGTAATACCAGCGGGCCGTGCTTCGGTGGCGTGTGTTGCGACGCATGATAATGACCTAGTCTCGGCGGGACTGAATTTGGCTTAATTAAGTGGTTGCTTTAGTCATGTTCCGGTTTTTGGACATCCCTCGACTACCTGAAAGCCGCCAATGCCGTGCAGTCACGTGGTGTATGAAGAATGCGCTTGGAATCACTCATAATACCAGATTCAACGAAAGGATGACAGCTGTGAGCTCAGTCACGGACAGCGAGCCCTGCCTTAAAACACCGACAGAGCCAAGAAGACCTACTGTAGTGAAGAACCCATCTCCATTATTTGAGCTATCAGAACTCGGTCTGACGTCTTAGTGCATCTTAACCGGAAGCCCTATGATTGATTTATATTGGATGAAACCACAATAACCATGATTCGTCGTTCCAGACTTTGGAAGCATGAGGGTTCCGCACACCAACCTGGTCTAGATTGGGACACTGCGCCGAGACAACTCCACATCGGTGTAGTGTCATCGGCGCAACATCCAAGACGTCCACAGAGGGTTATTTTCCGAGAAGACTTCGCCTTGTGTCCCGAGCTCAGTGGGTTAGTTGCCGTTTGCCAGGCTGGACCAAACTTGGACGGCATCTATTCGTACAGAGACATCACCGTACATGTTTGAATTCCTGGGTAACGCGAACCATGGATGAGCCCTCGACTGCGACTCAAGCATTTGTCCAAAACAATTTGACGACGAGATGAATCCCATGTCCTTCCTCTGAAAGTTTTCGTAGGAACACCCTCCTCCCATCTCTGGACCTCGCCACCATGGATTTATCAACTCGTATGCTATTTGTTGCAACAGCAGTCGTAAAGCGGGAGGCCCCGATCCGTCCCCGCACGCTTTGACCTCTCGGCCGGGCGGATTGCGGGGGGTGACATCCTCCAGTGCTACTTCATCTCGCTTCATGCTCTGACACTCAGGGAGACCCCTTCTTCCCCAGCCGTGACTACGAATGGGACCACGAACGATGTTATGCTGCATCCCCCGACGGGATCGCCGCCCGCGAACCGTGGCATCTGTCGGGGTAGCGTTTTGTCAACCGTCTGAACTCCTCTCTTGGGTGGGTGCGCGGAGAGCAGGGGGCGGGATGGGCCACTTGATTGCTTCTTATAGCCAGGCCTCGCCGTCTTGTGGAAGCGGTCCCTGTCAGCGGATCCCTCGATCTTTGGAACATTTTATGTCACCTTGTCCCTTGGCAGCTGGGACAACATCAAGGCATCTTCTGTGCGTTATAATAGACTTCGCAAAGACATCCAGTGACCCAGCCCGTCAACATGAACGATGTCCCTTGGGAAGAACTTCCCCACGACGACTATGGTCCTGCGTTGCTTGCCACTATATGGGCACTTGTAGCCGTTGCCGGTAGCTTCATTGGCCTGCGGATATACTGCAAGTTCTCACGGGGGCGAGGACTCTGGTTGGACGACCATGTCCTGATCGCATCTTGGGTATGTCATTGTTGACGATCTTGCGTCTAAAAAAATGTGCTGTTCTAACACATACAAGTGCGCTTTGTTGGCTTTGGGTACGTTCGTCACCATCGATGTATCGTACGATTTTGGCAAACACAACTGGGACATAACGCCAGGCAACTGGTCGTGGCTCCTTCTTCATGCCAACCTGGCTGGCTCATTTTCCATCATCGCAGCTGCATGGAGCAAAACCTCATTCGCTCTGACCCTCCTACGCATTACACGAGAGTCATCAGACCGTTGGATGAAGTGGCTAGTCTGGTTCATCATCGTGTCGATCAACATCGCTCTTGGGTTCAACGTGCTGTTTACTTGGATTCAATGTTGGCCAGTCGAGAAGACATGGCGAACAGCTTCAACACCTGGCACATGTTGGCCCAAGAGCATCATGATGAAGTACAATGTCTTTACTGCATCTTACTCAGGTGCGATGGACATTTTCCTCGCGATATTACCATGGAAGATCATATGGGGTCTTACCATGACCAAAAGAGAAAAGCTTGGTGTTCTGATTGCGATGAGCATGGGTGTCTTGTGAGTGGAAATGACAAAGTGTTTGATGGAATGCGTGACTAACGAAGTGTATCGATCAGTGCCGGTGCTGTGTCATTCATCAAAATACGAACGATTGCTGCAATTGGAGCTTTCGATATCATCGATACCGTCGAATTGGTGATTTGGGGTGCAGCAGAGAGTGTCGTTACCATTATCGCAGCAACGATACCCATTTTGAGAGCGCTGTTTCGTGACACCAGGCCACCGCCTCCACGCTTCCCAAGCGACGAAGAGTCAATGGCTCAGCGGCTAGCTGCAGCTTCGTTAGTAACGGAAACGGTGGCAACACCGAGAATGAGGACGTCAAGATCAGACCATGAATTGATGGAGTGGAAGGATTCTTCACCGCGGGGCTATGGACATGAATGCAGTCTGGAATCACGACCGTGGAAAATAAGAGGCTTCAAGATCGACTCAAGAAAAGAGTGTCCAAAGGTACCACCTAACACGTTCGTACAAGAGCACGATGATGAGAAATATAGCGGGTCTATAGAGTTATCTCGAAGATTAGGTTAGCACAACTAGTATGAAATACTCTACGATCTGCTCAACTGTAATGAACAAATGTTGAAGTCATGTTATAGAATCTCTCAAAACCTTTGGTTATCCGAACTCAGCGTAAGTTTGTATCACTTCTCGTAACATTAAGGCATTCCTGGCTGACTCGAGTTAGAATCTCATTGACACTACTAGTGTTCTTCATCCCTTTCGTCAGGCGAATACTGGCTAGATACTTCTCGATCTAACAGCCTATAGCTGATCCCCATCTCTTCATTTTTCCGGACATTCATGCTACGAACAAAAGCTACAATCAATGGACAGATTCTAGGCCTTATTAATGGTGCTTCGCACTGAGCTACTCCAAGATGATTGGATACTAACACTGGAAGCCGAGGCTCGATGAAAGTACTGAAGTTGTCAATCACGCTGTGAAGTACGCCACGAGAGATGACAACGCCGATATGGCCTATATTCCGTTCAAGGCGGCTGAGACACTCTTGACCCGTTTCTCTCCCCCCCCTCTCTCTCTCTTTCTTTTCTTTTCCTTTTGTTTCTTTTTTTCTTTTTTTCTTTCAAAGGCTTTTGGGAGGGTTGCAAGTAGCGCTTGATATTTCCCTTTGGTCGCACCTGGATCAGCCGTAGATTTGGTAGGCGAGGCAATTTTAAACGGTGAAATGCCAGCTGAACGTTTGTTCCTCCCATGAAACTGTACACTTCACCGTTTTCAACGGTCAAAAATAGATTTCAAAGAATTTAGGTAATAATCAAATGTATTGGCGCAGCTATCAACGTCTGATTACCCCAGTAGTACTTTGCTTGCTTGGATTGGACTCGAACACGAGCAACTGACCCACACCTACAGCACAGGGTGTTATAAACACCATCAACTACACAAGGTCTCCCCGACGCTACAAATGTCCAACCAACAGTCGCATCTCCCATTGACGGCTAAATGAGTCAACAAATGCAGGGCATTAATGTAGTCCTTCTCCATCTTATCGGCTAATCTGGCGAAGCTGACACTGTTGACATTGGTTGGTACCCGGTAAAACCTGGTTCGACTGGTGACTATTTAAACAGACCACAGATTGGAGATGCTACCAACTTGTTCAGCCGTATTTGATCCGACAAGAGCACATGTTGTCCAATGGGTAACTGGCTAGAAGACCCATGAACAGAGGGAGGTGTCTGCGGCTCCATGGTATAGACAGACCTTTCCGAGTTGAATGGCTGGGGGTAGCAAGCTTTGTATCCGAGGCAACTCACGAGGGATCATTCGCGCTCTAGATAAGAGTCAGCTTACCTATCCTGTGTATTCACCATCATTGTAAGTGACTGTTACTAGACACGATGCATGAAAGGGTCCCTGCCTACATCCTGAGTTTCGGTAACCTTTAACAAACGAAACCCCTGTTCCCAAAGCATGATTTCATGTACCCATGTCAGAATCTGTCTTTCTCTACCTCCTATGTAGTTATATATACATTTTGATTTAATTGGGAGGAGTGAGCTATATGTAGGACTAGGGTTACTTCAGTGATTCGGTTTCCGTTGTCCTAGAAATTGCATCGTGTTTAGGCAATGAAATTTCCGCGATAAGAGTATAAGACGTTGATGACATTTAGTACGGGTGCTAAGATCCTCCAGGAGAGGTTGTATCACCCCCATGGTCCTGTTACAGGCGATAATCATGGATTCTTTAAAGTGCGACTTCCCATTATGAATCCGGGTCGAAGAAATTTTCTAATTTATTTCCGCAATTTGAACCACGAACCCCTCCTGACCAACTGCTTAGCCTATGACTGCTGTCTTTCCTAAATACCGACCATGATAAGCATCGGCAGCTTCTCAGATGGAACATGGTTTAAAGAAAGCACACCCCATAACTGTAAGGAGGGATCTTTGATGTTCATGCGCGACGAAAAATACTACTTCATATTGTCTGAGAGAGGGTGGACTGGACCGAACTACTCAGTCTCATACGCCGTTTCGGACTCGCCAATTGGCCTCTTCAATCGCAAAACAAAGATATTACAGCAAGATGCCGCCGTCGCGACTGGCTCAGAACACAATGGAGTCATGAACGTTCCTGGAATAGACATATGGCACATTTTCTATCACCGCCCACCATTACAAGACAGTGATGGCGATCACCCCCAGCTCGCATACGACCGTATGTACTTTAACAAGGATGGCACGATTAAGCAGAACACCGTGCTTGTGAAGGACAACTTTGATGACGGAAACCTGATTGGATGGTGTGCCTCGTAGGAAGGATCTTTTTCGGTCAAAGACGGCCAGCTCAACGCGCACGAGTCGACGAGTGGCAAGATTTCACAAAACACCAACTTTAATTAAGTCGTCGTCGATATCGATGTCACTCTTGTCAACCCGGGTGTGGGCCCGAATGCTCACGACGCAGGCGATGCGGGTGTCTTATTTGGCGTCACTAGCGCTTCTGCCGGTATCGATAACGTGTCTGGATTTTACGCGGCCATTGATGCGGCAGGAGAGGTCCTGTTGGGTGAGATGAATCAGAGTTGGACCCAATTAACGTCCACAAAGATGGATACCAAAGCGGGGACATATATCGCTTGCGGATGATGGTGATAAACAAGGAAGTCAAAGTGTATGTCGACGACATGGCCTACTCCAAGATCACGCACAGAGTATCGAGAAGCACCCAAGGAACAAACAGGTGCCAGTGTGTTTCGCACTGAGTTCCGCACTAGTGCACTGTACGACAGCCTTTCCGCAGCGCATCCGCAGTGATTCAGTGCACCCACTGGGTGATGAGGTCATCGGACATGGATGTGATGGTAATTGTGACAACTGTTGCTCGTTCTCAGACGTTCCTACGATACCCTGCAATGGAGGGCAAACATCCAGATAACTCAAACGAGATTCTCTTTACTTGGTCAAATCACAAGCGACATAATGGAGAAGCTATAGGTGCTGCAATCGGCAATCCTGCTCATCAAAAACTATAATAAGTTCTATATTTAATTATGGATGTGACCATATCTAGGGAAGATCTAAATGGTGATATTCGGCATTCAGTCAACGGAGCGAGCGCTGCACTTGATCAAAACTCTGGTTGCAGAAAAGCCTCTTGTGTCATCCTTTCGAAATGGCATCACTGCACGTTAGTTGTAATAATCTCAAGCGTTAGTTATTACATCACAACCTGAAATTGCCATTTGAATTCCTGACAGATACTCATCTTGGTCATTCGTTCCAGTCGCCAATCACCGACTCAGTCCTCGCCAAGAATTTGACCAACGGTATATTAAAAAGATGGCTTACACCCTGTTCATACAGGAATGGACGTCGCCACGCTATTGGGAGTCATGGCTACAAACATGTACGTACACCCGATTCCACAACGATATAATTTGCCTTGAACTAATTGGTCACGCTGAAGGATTTAGGTCGGCAAGAGGATTCAGAGGGTTGGCCTCGAAATTTGTCTCATGATCCAGGGAATTGTACCTAGGTTGATGAGGTGCGTGAAGGCAACGTCCAGTAACCGGACGTTCAATTGACGATGTTCAAAGGATAGGGTGAAGAAGAGCTGTTGATTGTGAGGTGGGGCCCTCCTCCATAGACTTTCCTTGACTGCGTATCCGCGCGATGCCGAGGCTGCGCTGGTTAGTACGCAATGAGACGGAGCACGGAGCTCCCAAGTTGTCTCCACATGACACACCATCCAGGGCCTCCATTCGCACCGGAGTTCACGGAGGTGGAAACCCAAAAAAGACGGACTGATATCTTCACAAATTGGTAAGCAGTCTCCGCTGGGGAGTCGGATCCATTGTTACGTCAGTGAGGGGACGGTCGTCGAGGTATTTATCCCCTTCCGACCCGAGCGGCCTACATCATGCATCACCATCATCACCACCAACCTAAAGTCAAAAGGCCAACGGACAATCAACCTCATCCTCGAAACGCTCAAAATAACACACATATTCAGATCCACCTAAACCGCCAAAATGCCTTTCACCGTTACTGTTCTCTACCCCAACGAGGCCGATGCCAAGTATGACTTCGACTACTACGTCAACCGCCACATGCCCTTGGCTGCCGCCCAGTGGAAGTCTTCCGGCTGCACGAGTTGGACTGCCACCAAGTACCAGGCTACCCCCGACGGAAAGCAGCCTCAGTACTCTTTTGCTGGTATCCTTGAGTTCGAGAGCATTGAGTCCATTCACAAGGCGCTTGCTTCTCCTGAGACCGCCGCTGTCATGCAAGATGTTCCCAACTACAGCAACAAGGAGCCGGTTTTTCTGATCGGGGAGGACGCCAAGACTACTGCCGCTTAGAAAGAGACTTCACACAAGGTGTGATTTACAAAAAGGAACGGCCTTTATGAATGAATGATGAAAGAACATCATGCCAGACATATATGACAGGAGTCAAAACTCGGGTGCAAAGTACGAACTGGAATGATTGCTTGTCCGAGCAATGAATGAAACTGCAACACATAGGCAGAAATTCGTATCTTGATAATTAAGAGAACACGGTGTACTATCAATGTTCGAATGGCTATTAGCTTGAGCCTCAGATGGCCCCCACCGACTTGTCAGCAGCTCAGAGGTAGCTGATGATGCTGCCCGTTGCATGACATTCTGAATCCATCTCCATTGGCTATACGTCTTGCTTCACGAGCAAAAATAACTCAAAGACCAGCACCACCATCAACACTCCAAGCTGCCCCGTTGACAAAAGTGCTCTTTTCACTAAGTAAGAATACCGTCACGTCTGCAACTTCCTGTGCGTTTCCAACTGTGGTCGGAGCTGGAAAGTCTTTCGGAACTCTAGAAAGATTAGCTTGGTGCATTGGTGTATCAATGGCACCACTGGAGAGTCAGTAAATTTACAGACAACCAAGGACAAGATGCAACTCACGGCAATACGCAGTTCACCCTGGCCCTGTCTCCAACTTCTTTGGCTGCGCTTCGGATCATGCCCAATGAGGCGTGCTTTGAAGCAGCAAAGACCGCGCCCTTGTAGAAGCCTTGGAGCGCGTACATGCTTCCAATGTGCACAAAGCTTCCACCATCGGAAAGAAAACCAGGCTTTAGGGCTTCAGCAAGAACGTGAAAGGCTCCTCGAATGTTGAGACTGGTGATGAAGTCGAATTCCTCGTTGCTCGTTTCCCATACCGATTGGGTACCCAGTTCGTGGCCACCGCACCCTGCAAAGTTGGCGACACCGTCGATTTTTCCAAAATGGGACTTTGTTTCTTCGAGAAAGTCGCGGACGGATTGACGGTTGACGATGTTCGAGGCTTTGAAATAGACTCGAGCTTGCTGTTCTGTGCTCAGTTCTTTGACAACTTTGTCAAGGGCTGTACCGTTTATGTCTGAGATTCCAACTTTGGCACCTTCGGCGAGGAGGGCCTTTGCAGTGGCTAAGCCCATGCCAGACGCCGAACCAATTACGATGATGACTCTGTCGTTAAAACTTGAAGACATGATGAACAGTTGATATGAAGTAAGTTGCAAGGTAAAGGACCAATTTTTGGATATAGGTCGAATGTCGAAGAAATTAGATTTGTTTTTCGATGTCTAAACGAGGGTTTAAATAGCATGAGAATAACTCTGTGCTATCATATTGGACTTCTGGGAATGGGCACTTTGTCGTCAGAAGTGAGGGCACTTTGAATCGTGATTGGTCCACGATCAACCCTCATCATCCAGCACGCACACTAATGCAGCCTGCTGACAACCAGTGTATGGTGATGTATCCGCATTCGGGTTGAGATGAAATGGTTCGCTATTAGTTGGAAGGAAGTATCACAGTTTTCTGGAACTTCCTACGGGTTTTGGGCTGAACCATAGCTCCTTCTCCAGCGAGTGGGGGATTTCTGGACAGCCCACCGCGTCAGGTTCACGATTGAAATTAAATACGTAGACCACTTCAAGCTTATTCAGTCCAACTTTTTACTGACCAAAGCTTTATCCATACTGTGATATACTTGATTAAAATACACCAGAAGATACAGGAAACTTGAAGGTCTTGAAACTTTGCTCTCACAGCCAAGTCTCAAAAAATCGCACAGCTTGCAGGAATGCGTCTTCCTTCGCAGCCTTCTGCACGGGATTGTTAAGATCAGGGTGTGTGGCGAACCCGTGTGGTGTCCCTCCATAGAGAGTCATTGTGAATGGCTGACCTGTAGTGCCCATAGCCGCCTCAATGTCAGTTCTTCTGTTGGCCATCATGCTGGCATCACCCTCTGGAGGACACCTGTTAGCAACAGAAATCGCTAGTCGCCACGGAAATCCGAATGAGAAGACAAATTTGCAATCAACGACAAACTTAGACGTACCAGCAACGGCTAAACTAGCCGGTCCCTTGATGGCTTTGATTTCCTCGTCTCCGAGCAGGGATGGATGAGCGGCGAAGCCTACTAGGACACCCTTGTTTTGGGGGATCCCAAGAGCGCGGAATGCATACCGGCCACCAAAGCAGTATCCTGTAGATGCAATCTTTTGGATGCCCATTTTTTCGCGCAGGTAACTGATCGCTTTCTCTACTTTCTGATCGGTGACTTCCGGGCCGTGGGCTCCAAAGAACTCGGTTACGTTGAAGCTCGCCTTTGGATCCTGAGGCTTTGGCTTGCCATCAAACAGATCTGGGGCCACTGCTACGTAGCCCGCGCGAGCGAAGCTGTCGACAAGACTTGGGTCAGGTCAGTTATTGTGCCACATTTCAAGTGATAGAAGCTGTTCAGACGAACAGTTTGTTTTCTGTCGACTGGATTCCAAAGACATCAGTCAACAACAAGACGCCGAACTGGTTTGTTACCAGTGTGCTGGGAGCTTTGCCGCTTTGATTGCCTGGCATCGATATATACAGATCGACTATGTTTGTCAGCTGGGAGACGACTAAGCGCCATGAACATGTATCAACTACTTACGACCATTGAAAGGGACTACTTTGCCAGTTGGCGTGCCGGCAAAGGCTAATATGGACAGGTCGGCAACAAAACCCCTCGTAATCCCGATAAAGGACATAAGCCCTATCACAATGCAGAGGGAACCTTTGGCCGGCATCGTGGCTTGACAGCCCTTTTCCAACTTCTGATACTAATCAGAAGGATGAGGTAGTCCGAAGCTGTAGCAGATTCGTCAAGACAACGAAGGGGGCTGTCGCAATCAAGAAGATAAGTACTTCAGCGGCCTGTGACATACTTCGAGCCACCTCCCGAGGCACTGTACCTGTGCCGGAACAGCTTCACGTAGCAACCTTAATTCCACTTAGGCTCGAGCTACAGGTGTCACCAGCGTCGAATCAAGATTTAAGCTTTCAAAGTTGCAGCTACAAGCTCGGTTACAGTAAGCTAACATTGAAATAGGAGAAGGAGCTACTTTGAAAAGCCTGGATCCGGCTAGTATTTCTTTTTTTTGGCTGATCATAAACGGGGCGAAGAGAGAGCGAGGATGGCCGAGCGAATCGACGTCGCGAAGTGCTTTAGTAGGCATCCAATCGGCATTCGCTGCACGCTGTGATTCGTTTCGTTCTTGTCTCAACCAAAGCTTAGTGTACAAAACGAAACGAACCCCTCATGAACATGCACCTCTTGCATCCATTTGGGTGAAAAGAAACAGCGCCGCTTTCCTCTACCTTTACCATACACATCCCAGCGCTGCTGTTCATCACCCGAGTGGCATTCTACCTAATAACAGCAATCGTTTTCAAGGGCATTTATTTCCCAAGAACCCCTTCTGATGTCGACAGCTAAGGTATACATAATTCACAAACACTTTGTTTCGCCATACTTGCAGCAGAGTTTCTGTATTTGGTACTCGTTCTCGCCAAAGCCGGTAGCAAACAGCGTCAACTTCGATATTCACTAAGATACATATCCCCATGCCATAGGCTTGTTTGTTTGTTGAAAGATTTAGATGAACTGAGTACTTAAGGGCCTCCCGTAAATTACCATTAGAATCTAGCTTTAAATCTCAATTCATACCTTTCACGCAACTCTATCGAGATTGTCGCATTTGCATAGTTCGAACGCCGCGGGTTTGTGAGCTAGTATCCCGCAGCATGAGAAACAGGATTTGCAGTCAAGACGGCCGTGCTTGGCGAATTGGGACTCGAAGGTAAAGGCTAGATTTCCTACCTGTGCAAGATCGCTAGCTGTAGCGAGCACGAATCGCCATTGGCTATCAATTCTCTCTCCCATATTTAGGATTATTACTCTACCATCCCTTAAATCTGACACCAGTCTCACTGGTACCCTAGCTACAAGTGCATAAAGCGATCCCACAGTTTTCTGAATAATGTCTTATCTCTTCCATTGAAGTTGATCAATACTTTAACTCGTTTCATTCTTTCCAAGCAAGCTAGAATGGAAAGATGCATGTACGCCTTCCTCAAAATCAATGTAACGATGTGGGTGTGGCGCCCAGTCCCTGATTTTGACACGGCTTAGCAATGACATGGAGGATGAAGGATAATAGGCTTGGCTTTTTGAATCATATCCCGTCATCACGCTCAAAATAACATAGCAGGACATCAAGCTAGCTTGGCCTTCAATCCGACCTGCAGTGGCAAGATTCTTTCTACAGAGCTGGTTCATCTGAATTATGAGAAATCGGTCGTTGTGGTTAACTGAAACCGTAGAAATCGCGGATATGCCGTTCACCATGGAGATGGGCGCGGAGTATTTGCTGCCATGACCCATCAAGCTGTCCATCACGGCTATAAACATACCCATAGACACCATCCAGGCTCTATGCAAGTACTTTGTTGGGTATCCGACTTCTGATATCTAATCAGATGCACAGCGAGGATTCGGATCTTTAGGCTTGAAATGAAGATCCACATTCATGTTCGATGTTTCTGTCTTAGATTATTACTCTCAATGCCGGGGGTTACGGTATTCATGTCTTCAAAGTAATTCGTTCTACACTCCAGAGACTTTCAAAAGTGTTAAATCAACATAGCACAGATGGGTGAGAAGATATGAAGAGGAATGTTTGGTGTACCAGGTAAGCTAACTACTGATCAAGATAAAGACAGAAGGTAAAGATAATGTAGTTCCTCAGGTAAGCAAGCTCCTAGTAAAGAATGTAGAAGAAAAAGAAATACGTGTATGTGTCGGGTAGTCCAACTGACTGATCAAGCAGTTCTCATATCTGGACCCAAAGACCAGTCCAAGCTCTCCACGCACCAACTGTCCATAAAAGGTCAATAAGTGAAGTATATCTAGTTGCTTGAATACCCCAAAGCTTCGTGTGGTTACCGTACAACCTAATGGGCGACAGTCTGTTTAGCAGACCCAGCACCATTCCAGGTCTCGACGGCGACGACCTGGATGTTCATCGTTCCAAGCTTCATCCCCGCCTTCGCCCAAGCATTAAAATGGTTGGCCAAGGTAACAGTGCCACTGCTTCGGCCACCGTTGCGGAATGAAATATACTGGTTGAAAGTCTTGGTACCCTGAATCGATGGCGCATTTACGCGCTGGGCTTCCCAAATGGTGTAGGTACCGCCGTCACTGCTGACCGTACCCTTCTTTGTGCCAGTCTGAGAGAAACCGACAGCGTCCTCGATCACGTAGTACTCTACAAGCGGATTGGTTGTCCAGCCGTAAATTGAAAGCGTGCCCAGGCCGCTAGTAACAGCGAACGAACCCTCGTGAGTGATTGGCCTGTAGGATAATACTGATCAGTCATCTGAGCGGAACAACCGTAGTGAGAGGTCTTCATACGCAGTGCTGCCCGTCTTCCAGCCTACACCGACTACAAAATCCTCCTTGGTGTTGAAGTTAAGCGAGAAACCGTTTTTGGAGGGCGTGAAGTTGACTGTGCCTCCGGTCTTATAGTTCTGGACATAGTCGGTGCCTGTCTCGTTCTCAGACCTTTTTCGGCGGGCGATCATGAGTGGGTGATCAGGTCCCAAGAAGAAGTCATGCGGGCCGCGTCTCTCGACATGGGGAGGGAGAGGATCGGACTCATGCCGAGGAGCTGGGGCGCCGAGGGAAGCGGCAACAGCTGCAAGGCCAAGGACAAAGTTGGAGAAAGTAACCATATTAAAGGTCTACAAGATATTCAAAGAACGAGCGTGAGGAAGGATTGACTCGGATGCAGACCAAATTTGAATCTTGGCATTGTAGCTTGGCAAAGCTCTTTATATTCTTGCAGCATTCTGTCTACCCATGTTCTCTCCTGTCTCTGACCTTTGTGTTCACTATTGTTTCAATCAACTGCGAACAGATGATCAATATGCCCGACTGGATGCTAGCGCATCATCGAATCATTCAGTGCTGGCAACTCCCAGCTGATTGTTTATACTTTCGACATCAACTTAGAACAACCTCTGATTGGCGTAGATGGATTTAGTAGATTACCCGCTATTAATTAGCAGTTAATCGGCAAGAAAATGCCATGTTACCCGATAATCCGAACCTATCGCGGAACTATCCGACAACCCGAACCTGTCGCGTCTCGGTAACAACGCCGGACTTCATATATGCTAGACTTCCGTTGAGCTCTGTGGCTCATAGAGACGTCTCTGGTTCCAGACACTAGTTACTAGTTAGTCCCTTAAAATGGAGCGTGGTGCCTGACACTTTATACTTCTTACTATTAACAGGCATTCGGCTCATGCAATCTACGTTGGAAAACTTCTCCGGATACATTTTCCCACACTACTTGCGGTGAGAATTTTGGCATCAGCCATGAGTCAATGAAGACTTCGATCTCGCATCGATTCACCCATTTTTTCCTGTTGCACCTCTCATCAAAGAATCGACATGATAGCCGCTCACAAATTGGGACTGTGTATGGCGTCACATTTAAAGTTTTCCAAGGTTACCAGCAAACGCGCTCGCACTTGCAAGAGGAAGTTGTTCCACGGCATATTGAAAAATAGCATGTGAACGCTTGATTTTTAAGTCTATCTGTTCACCACTTTGAACATCCACTGCTTGCTTTATAGACCTATGGCTTCTGAGTACATACCTAGCTTATGAATCGTTTTCGGTGCCAGTTGACCTTCCTCCAGGTAGTTGCATTTTGAGGTCTGTATTCTCTCTTTCACGAAAGTAGCGCGGTGGTCAGCTACAAATTATATCAGATCTGGAAGAGTTTCTCAGACTTTGCCAGCATCCATCAGCGAGAGCCAAACTGGAATGACACATACAGGTCAATGTTGCAGTGACTACATGTAACTTTCAGGTCTAGCCGATATCTTACTGTAGAAATTAATGACTAACAAAGCTTACTCTAACTGGAGCATTGCCCTCGCTGGGCTGTCTTTGTGATATGGACGAGGCATACCCATATCTATCAAACGCTACGTCAATTTGTAATTACCCTACCCGAAGGTTTACCAAGTGATTGCATGACAGAACATTCATCGAAAATAAAATGATGACATCGACGTAAAGGTAAAAAGAAAATTAAAAATTAAAAATTATAGAGGATAAGCTGAACGGGCTCGAACAGCAATCAGTGCTCTGCTTCAGCTATCTCAAGATTCAGAGCCAAATCGATACCTGTCAAAAAACCGACTATCTCTTATTAACCTTAGCTCATCAACATAAGAGTCCCAATAATGACTATAGAGTACATGAGCCACCTTTCCGATAACGGCCCGTCGTTACAGCCGCTGCCCACACGCGCAACAAGTTTGTTCCCCAAATCCGTTATGCTGCTTGCGAAGTCCTCATAGGTTGATGCATTCCAAGCAGCGCCACTTGCCCCAGGAACTGCATCATCTCCTGTGAAGGCAATGTACAGAACATCATTGTCATCGTGTCCCGTGTTGCCATTGATACTGCTACCGTAGCATGCGGTGGCAAGAGAAATAGACGCCTCGCCGATCATAGCTTCAGGTCCGTCGTCACCATTTGTGTCTCCCCAAACCCCGTAAATCTAGGGATCGCATTATTAGATAAGCTCATACCAAAGAAATCAATAAAAGCACATACTAATTGATTATTGCATACAACCGCCATTACACTAAGAGGCTTGACACCGTGCTTTGTTGGGTCGAAAGTAGGCCATCCGCTCTTAGTGCCTTGATTGCCGAAAACGACGTAAGAATGCACCGAGGCGTTGAGGTCTTGTTTGCCTGTATCATACCCTCTCAACGTGTCGCGGAATGTCGTCTCAGATTGTGTATCAGTGGAGCTACCGCAGCGTCCGTCGCCGCCGCCCTGCAACCCATCGCAGTCTACGTCCATGTTGGCAAGCCGGCCTCTCTTGCCTTGAAGGTAAATAATGTTGTATTTGTCGAGGTAGTCTCCGCAGTAGACGAATTCTGAGGCTCGCTATGTCAATATCTTACCAATGATGCAGCGAGGTTGGTGAAGCACGTACCGCCGCTGTCGCTCTCAATGCTGTGAAACCCGGTTGAAAGGGCATGTTTGCACTTGATTTGACTTCGGAGGAAGCTGTAGAAATCTTGCACGTTGCTCGGTATCTCAAGGGCTAATCCTGATGTAACTATCAGAGTCAAATAGACGAGAAGACTGATCAAAGATAACATCTTGAATGAAGACAGGCGCTGAATTGAGAAAAGATAGAAAATGATGTGAGACGGGACTTTCGGAGACAGGGGAGTATGTGTCAAGTCGCGCTTTGGTAACCACGTGATCCACGGCCTTACTCGGCACCATCTGAGCACCAAATGGTGCACAGCCCTCAAATTTGACACCTTGAGATGAACACGAAAACGCCGAAAGTCTTGGCCAAGACTCATGCGATGTGGCGACCAGAGTTGGAAAAGCAATGCTGAGACGGTGCGCTGTTGTAGTAATTGAGCAGTAACAATACAGCGCCGTACTCTCTTAATCTAGTACCCTGGTCTAAAACAGGGTCTGAGTCTGTGTCGGAGTACCTTACAGCCACTTTTTGAATTAAGGTGGCATCGAGCCTTGATCTAAGTACCTTTCGGGCCGTCGCAAATGATTATCGATCTTCATCCGCTTTGATTACTACGGAGAAGGTGGGGTACGGCAACACTCGCTCGAGCCTTTCTCAATTGAACCTACAACGCCAGCTTGAATTAATATTCGGGCGACTCGGTGGATGTTGATATTGATAACCAATTTTACTGAGTATGTTCTCGTGACTGAAATTAGTGTTCTGTGTCTATTAATCGATTTGGCTATCCGCTTCACATGAGGTTTGTTTCGAGTTTCAGTTAGGGCTGGGCTTCCTTCCCCAAACGATCTTGAAGGACGGGTATTGGACGTCCTGGCTCCTAGGTTTTTTAGATATGCTTTTCTACTACGAAGATGAGTCTTCACGAAACATATCAAAAGTACTAAACTGTTGATACGCAGATCAATAATCATGATAAAGTTGCTCCATTGAATTACTAAGAACTGAAGCATGGCGTGCGGACATCACGTTATAGATACTTGCATCCATACACGTGGGTAAATATTTAGTTTGATGTCCAGCTATTGCTTCCCAACCTTGATCAAACCCCCTGCGCTACAACCAATTTATCTTACTGCTGCTTCCTCGTACTAAATTTCGCTGGACAAACACTATTCCCCAGAAGACATGAACATTTTCCAGGATATGATTATACTGACATGAACAAAACATTTAAATAGACAAAATAAACAAGAAGGTGGGCTATTTAACTTGCAGCTGCCGCAGCCCCGGCTGCGGCAGAAGCAGATGAAGAATTGGCGATGGCTCTGGTGACTGAAAGATGCCACAGCCAAAACCCAGAGATTACAGCAGCTGTCTCCCATTCCTCGCCTAAAGTTCCCGTCAGGCCGGTGCCCAAGAAGCCAAAGTTGTATCCCTTGGTCACGCTCCATGACATGTTGTGAGCCAGGACGGCAACAACCTCCTGGCCATCGCTCGTGTAACCAAAAGACTGCTGACCACGCTGCGGGTTTGCCATGCGTACCAACTTCCATCCATAAGAGTGTCCGGCGAGTTCCTTGATCTCGTCTCCATGTGAAGTCCTCCATTGAAATTCTTCCACTACTCCTTTACGCAATTCGATGCGAAAAGCACGCACTTCACTCTTTGTCCAACTCGCGTCCTCTGGCCTCTCGAATGAAATTTCTTGTTCATCTCCATTCTCCCTATGCAGGGTAACTGTAGCCCGATCATGCCATCCCAGGGCTTTTCTGCTCGCTGTGGCAATGATAGGTGCTTTATTGCTCGGGCCGCTGTGGAGGAAAAGAGATTGCTTTTTGGAGAAGAGCTTATTGTCGAAGGAGATAGTAAACATCTTCTCGTCCGAGGACGGGCCAAGAGAATAAACTTGCTTCCATTTCCACTGAGCATAGCAATTGAATGTTGGAGGAAACCTAGCAGTCGCGGCTACCAGTGTTCTGGTGTTTGTTGTCATGTGATTGAACATGGGAGTCTCAGATGCCGGCACGTCTTGGTGATTATCGAGGTACTCAGGAGGAGCGTAACTAGCAGCTTCGAACGCTTTGCCTTTCTCGTAGTCCATGATGAATAAACAGTGCGCAAGTTGAGGTGTGTTTGTGAGGATTTTGAATAATATGTGACGTATTTAACAGATGGATGGTTGCACCAGCTAAAATGTGCGAAGGACCAAGACAATGCATGGAGACTTTATAAGATTATTTAGCGAAGCAGGATACCATTCTGAAATAGAGGTGCGTTGTTAATCGTGGCTGTATGACATCAATCGGAAAGCCCGGTCAGTGTATCGAACACCTGTAAGGCGCAAACAATCGTCAGCTGGACCGACCTACCAATTAGCAGTAGACGACTAAGCCTCGCTGTTTAGCACTGATACCTCTAATGGCATTAGGGTGGTCTGTTTTCTTGGCAAGCTGACAAGAACTCGGCGACTTCCCGTAACAGGAAATTGTAAGTACTTGCTTCCATTTCGTCAGTAACCCCACTGATGCCTCTATTGGCCGCTGCATTTCTGACATAAGCGTCGAAATCACTTGCCATTCTTTTTCTTCTTACATCACCCCCAAGAGCTGGAAGAATATCAAACCTGTAGGTACCCCCTCGCACTACAATAGCCGGGTTTGGAAATGACTGGTGGAGGGGGGAATGCGTCTTCATAACACCCACGACAGACAAACTAGACCTGTCTAAAAAAATGAGTTGCGATACAAGTGAGGCTGCGGGAAGGAATTAAGTCTCGACTGACAGTTGCATAATCATCATTGTTGAAGCCGAGGACTGGATCTGTAAGAGTTTTTGGCCACAGAAGCAAAATTTCACAAGGTTAAGACTGTACTCCGAGGGATCACTTATTTACAGATGATCTTACTGCGTGACCAGGTCGCGACAAGCTTCGACAACACTTCTTCGCAGCTCTTGTATCCCATTCATTGTACCTCCGATACTCGTCGTCCAACAACAAGCTGCTGCATAGGCCGCACACCTTCCTGGACTTGATGAAATTGTGCACACTGGTGATACTGGGTTGAAAGTCCAGGAGACTGTTCATAGGAGAAGGGGATGTCTAGTCGATCTTACGGGATGAATCTTAGATTACCAAGGATGATTTTAACGCCTGCACTCGAAAACCCAACACTCAGCAGTTAAGCTTTGCCTGATGACTCCATCGTTTGGCTGGCAATGGGCTTTTTGCACATTACACAAAGTCTGTTCTGGTTTAACTCTCAGTACCCTGTATGATGACACATCTTTGTGGAGTGAGTAGATGTTCCTAAGGGTGAGGTTTCGCATGAAATTCCGAGTGAACTCTCACAATCAAGCAAAGGGATTTCACATGGGTGGCGTGCTTTGCCAAATCAGGACGTTGCACTTGGGCGTCGTGATACGACGTCGAGGCCCTTTTTGGAACTTGCTGAGGATGCCGGCCGGAATCAGGAGGCTTTCGGATACTGCTGATCACAAGTATAGACATCTGCCAAGTGAACTTAAACACGTCAGTTCTGTCATCGTATGTTAGGACAAAGTTGGCCGAAGTCAAGCAAAATGGCTGAGAGGTCTGTGTGAACATTAACTTTAAATAATCTGACTATACATAGCCAGGTTGGTGGAGATTAAGGTTTTGAAACAAGTGATGCGACATCCCACTTTCTGTCATTACTCCCAATCATTATCATCAATAACACCATTCCGGCGGTGCCGCCTACATCCCGTTACTAATCGATTCCAGCATGATGATGTGGCCTGACATGCGATGCTAAGAAGCTCTAGCCAAGGGACATTCAGGCAATTCAGATTGAATTTCGACCATGCCGCATGGGCTGACATTCGTGTTCTCAGACTCCTCGTCGGCTTAAAGACGGCGTGCAAGGTCACCGGAAACCCAAAATCTATGGTCAAAATTGGATCCTTCAGCTAGAGTCTCCCATCCCGCTTGTTCCGCCAAATGGCCACTTTCGCAATTATGATGTGATCGGCACAGGGAGGGCAGAAGCTTTCCTAAGCCTCTTTAACTAAGAGCGAGTCGTCCAATAGTAATGGGTTGGTTTATAAGGCGTAGGAAGCAGGAAAGCTTCTAGTCGGGCTAGAAACATGATTATGGATTCATCAGTTTGACTGCGAATGTGGATGAAGGTGGAATTATTGGCGCTGACTGTATCATGAATCATGGTGCTTCCCAAGACAGCAACCAAAACAGAACCCATCGGCTGCTCAGCGTTACTCATGAAGCAAGGGTGTTGTTCTTTTCTAAATACTCAAACAGCCGCTACTTCATCGAGCGCTGTCAGAGAGACTGTCAAAGGCACTGTTGTGGATCCAATGGCTCCTCTATCTTTATTTCCGGCGTCTGAATGACATGTGTCATCACGGATGTCTCAAGCCACAATCAACCTTTGGCTCCAAAAAGAATATGGACAACCTATCTCCGTGTCCTTGATATGAATGTGGTATTGGGAAGAGATCAGACCATTGAAAATCAGACCGGCTTCTGAGCCATAAGATCTCTTTCTTGGTACATTGCGAAACTTTTGCTTGCGTCGTTTAAGCTTTGTAGATCATGTTTCGATGATTAATCAGCCCAACAGCCGGTGCAGCATTCGGTGAGTACAGCTAATAAACATCGCCTCAATTTGCATTGACTAACGTAATAAACCATAATTATGACCAGAGGGCTTGGAATCCATGCATTTCTCAAAGGGCTAGCTGACCTCTGTACACCTGATTGTTTAAGCAAAGATAAATAAAAGATATATCCGGCGGTTACAAGTTCTTGATATTTGGGAAACCATCTATAAGTACCCGGCTGATATCTTGCTGTTTCGTCGGTTTCTTTTCTTTATCGCATCCAAACTGACTTGAATTGATTTGACTATCGCTTCAACTTACATTATTATCAAATTCTCCATTTTCATTCATATTTCTTCTTACAATCTGCAGCCATGCATATTCTATCGCTCCGTCAAGCTGCCACGATGGGCATGGCTTTTTATGTCATTTCCGCTGTCGCTGTTCCTGTGGCTCAGCCGGTTGATCCTGTTGCTGATGCAACTAACGTTATGAAGGTATGGGCCTTCCTTGTGTGTTATAATATTGAGCTTGCGAATTAACCCAAGAACAGCGCGCTCCTGAAGCATTTGTAAGTATAACTGGGAACTACAAATTTTTGAGCTTCCTTCCACTCAATAGTTGAGCGACCTTCAAATCAACTACTGACGGTTTCATGCCCCCAATAGCCTGATGTAGACAAGGTACCGGTATGCGGAGCTTCTTTCGTGAAATCTTCCTCTTTGGAGACAATTACTAACACGGCATTGCTAGTCCTTGAGCGACGCCATATTCAAACGCGATGAACCACATGATGAACATAGTAATAGCGTTCAGTTGGAGACGCGCGACAAGAAAAATGAGAACGATCAGGACCGGAAACGCAAGTGCAGGCGCGACAGAGGGGGTGGCAGGAGGGGCTGCGATTACGACGATGATGACGACGACTACTCCGGAGGCAAGGGCGGACGCCATGGCGGAGGTCATAGTGGAGGTGGCGGACGCAGGGGAGGTGACTACGGCGACGGTTATGGCGATGGCTACGGAGGCGGTCGCGGCGGAAGAAGGGGTGATCTCGGCCTTCAACAAGAGCAACCGAACAAGGGCGACCAGAAAGATAAAGATCTCCACAAACGCAGCGGCGGCGGTGACTTGGACGACCACGGCAAGGGCGACTGGGCCGACATCTTTAGTAAACGCGGATACGGAGGCGGATACGGCGACAAGGGAGACGGTTATGGCCATGGCGGCGACTACTATCATGGCGGCTATGGTAATTGTAGGGGAGGAGGAAACAAGTGTGGAGGAGACTGGGGGTATCATAGGGAGGGCGAGAAGAATGGCTCTTTGCGCCCTGACCAGAACGCTGGGAACGACAACGTCGCCGACGGCCACTAGTGGGACAACTGGGACTGAGTGGTCTCGTCGACTTCTAAGAATGCAACACGGAGATGGATGTCGAGGCGTCATTGATTTGTTTTATCTTCATATCTTTTATCTGCACTCCAGGAAAGCACTTTGGCTAGGCTTGGAGGAAATTTGGCAACGAGAAAAGCTCTTTTCAGGTTACGTTCGATGTACATATTTGGTTATAACTTGTCTTCATTTTGTAAGGCCCTTACAGCCCTTCTTTGCAGCCCGATATGCACCCAATAGTGAGTTTTTGTAAACATCACAGTAAAGGTATTAACACCCAATTAAGCTCGCAAGGTTTCGCGGAGCAATAGGTCTCAAAATCTATGAATAGATGGAAACTCAGGTTCTGGGTCGGGAAAACGCAAGGCTGAAGAAGCCGTGCTCTGAGGCCACGGGCGCAGTCAAGCTCATTGAACTTTTCGACTGGAGTCACGCGTAGCAACAAGGGCCGTCTGATGTCAAGTCCCTGATTAAAGGGCTCGCTGTCTAGGTCCAGTATCTATGGGTCCAGCTGGCAATCGAGATCGGTCCATCTCAAGAGAGCGGTCTCTGACCCACAGCAACATCAATTGGAGGCGATCGTCGAAGATGGGTACAACATCAGCATGATATCATCGCTCGCGATTATATTACAAAAGCAACACCGCATACCTAACTGTATCAGATTAAAATCCGAACTATAGACACAAACCGAGTGTAAACCGACTCAACGTTAACGAAACCCCATAAGTCTTCATCTCCAGCCTCCCACTTTACATCAAGCAACACGGCCACAATGGAACCTCAGCTCCCCAACAAGGACGAGATCTGTCAGCAGGCCGCCGAAGGCGAGCCCATCACCCAAACCAAAGCCTCAACTTTCGCATCCGTCGAGAACGATGTCACCGGCTTCGGTCCGATCAAAGGCGGCACGGCAGCCACGGCACAGAGTGTGCATGACAAACAGCAGAACTTCATATCGAAGGCCGGGGACGTCGCGCGAAAGCCTGCGCAAGAAATTACCAAGGAAGACGCAGCGGCAATCCAGAGCGCTGAGGTAGAGTTTGGTTCGAATCTAGGGTTGAATGACGTCTGCTAACCATACGAATAGTCTCGGATCTTGGGTGGCCGTCCACCAAAAGGATCCGCGTCAGCGACCGCGCAAGCACTTGCTACTGAGAATGAAAAGCAGAAACAGACATAGAGCAAGTGATATTTAAATCATGGACTGTGTATGGATTTGTGTAATGGACGTTCCTTTTGATATTCATGACACCAGCGTTGTCTTTCCGCCAAAACTTGACCTCATTCTAAGAACACGTGAGCCTAAAGTCAATCGTGCCATGTGGGTTGATATACACAACAAAAGATGTAGTCAACACATGCGCCGAATCAATACGTTCTAGCCTCAGAGAATGTTATTAATAAGAAGTTGCAAGCTGAGGAACAAGCAACGTCTTTGACTAAGGAGTTGTAGAGCAAGAGCAACGTCACGATATTGCGTTCGAAGTAGGAATCAGCTAAACTGTGAGTTAGGATCAACTACAGAGTTTACAATGCTCACAAATTAAAGGTTTCAAAGATAGTTTCACAGCTAAGACTGTCACTTGCAGCTTATTAGGGAAGGAGAATACGCAGTATCTGGGCCAGGCTTGAACTTTTGATGATTCTAATGTGCTGATGCAGGCACGTTGTACAATAATCCCCTTTTGATTGACAGAGGTTCACATGTACCCTACTTTGACTCATTCAACTAACATCTCCTGCAACTCTAATGGGGCATTGTCCCATGCTGATTTGAGGATTCTGCCCACCCCGGCTCTTTGAACAACGGGGAGACTGCCAAGGTCACTCACGCTTGTCGCCGTTCTGAAGATCAGCATAACGTCAACAACATCCCAGGGCTTCTGAGAAGCATGCCTCGAGAGCTCCTCGCCCGAGAACCCATATGAGTCAGAAAGGACAACAAACTCATACGTCTCTTGCAGCCGCTTCAGTTGTCGGTGCTCTTTAGGCATCAGAATAGTGCCAAGCCACTCCTCTTCGCCCCCGTTAAGTGGTGCGTCAACGTGCGTAACACCGAATCTCACAGGGTAAGGCCCCTTGACGTCTGGTAACGAGGGCGCTTTCAGAGCGCCGCTTCTATCGTGTAGAGTCAACCTGAACTTTCCCACCCTTGTTCGCAGTCGCAAGTGGTAGTTGTCTTCTGGCTGGTTACCAGTTTTGTTAAGCTCAACAGTGACACCCCATTCTGCCGGTCGAACCCTATCGAATGGGCTCTTCAAAGGTGGCAAGCCGTTCCAGTCGTAGAGATCGTCGAATTTGACCGCTCCCGTCCATCCTGCCCACGACCATGTTGGGTAGATCGGAAGCGGCGGGTCGGACTTGTATTTGTAAACTCTGGAAAGTTCCTGTCGTGGCTGCCATAGAAGCGAGTATGCAAGCAGTTCCTTTGCCCATGTACCCCATACGAACACGTCCTTGTAAGCGGTGGCTTTCTCAATGACGTTGAGAATACCCTTGAACCCGTTCACCCTGTCGTCGGCGTGGCTCATCTCTCGAGAAGTATATTCCGTCACCATGCGATAGTAGTATCCAGGCGATATGCCTAGGCGATACTGACTCCGCCGTGATAGCGTTGGCGGTGCCTCTCCGCGGGAGAGTGTGATGGTCTGTTGGGAAGCACTCTGAGTCACGTCGGCACGAAGCATGTTGAAATCCTCGCTGCAGGTCATCTGGCCGCATTGGAAATAGACTGTGTCGTCCGTGAACGTGATGAGTCTACGAGACAGCAGGCGTTCCTGGTATGTCCAGCCACGCGAGTTCCAGAAAATTTTCTCGACGCCATCCTCAAAGTCGGGTACCAGAGACAGCAGGGTAAGCTCTTCCGAATACTCGGCGGTGTGCTGGTCCTTTCTCCTATCAATGCCACAAACTCCAGAGAGCCTGGCGTTGGCATCTTCTCCGTTGGCTGATACGATGGTAAACGAGGCTCTCCGGTAGATGGCGTCCATCAGATTGAGCTGCACTCCTTTGTCCTCCGAATTGCCTTCTTGAATGATGCATAGGGAATCGATCCACAGATATCTGTGTCCAACAGCTTTGGTCAGTTCGATGGCATCTTGAATTGTCTTCGGCATCTTTGGTATGTTTTCGAGAAGTCCTCCAGGTCTCATTAGTTCGTCCATGTTATTCGTTGTGAGTGTAAAGTTCACAACGCCGCGTTTGCCCCAAACATAGCTCAGCGCGACAAAGTCGGGAATGTCGGCTTTTTCAACAAGACAGTTTTCTCCGAGGTCGAGAAGTCGTATGAATGGGTTGATCGGTCGGGCCTTCTGTTCGGGAGGATTATCAGTAGACCTCTTCTCGCGCCAGCAGACGACCTGGTGCTGGTCCTCGCAGGTCTGTAGCCATGTTTTTAAAAGTCCAATATCGATCGATTTTGCATCGAAGCGTCGGCCTTGGAACATATTGTCGCCATCTTTGGCCAAAGGCACAATATCAAACGGGGCGAAGGCGTCCTCCCAACCCACCATCTCTGGCGCAACACGCAGTCGCATCGTGTTCATGGTGGCTTTTGCATCAGTCTTGGCATCGACTTCCTCGTATGTTACGTCCGGGACCCAGCAACCTAGAACTTCAACCTCGCGCTTGTACGCATCCGTGGAGACCGAGGAGGCAATCATCTTACAGAAAACACAATGTTCGCTGCGCTGGATGACGTCCCAGAGCGTACCAAAGTGCCAATCGGGCGGCAGCACTTGCCCTTGAGGTCTTGCCGCGAAATCGGAGCGCCTCAGGTTCATAACGCGATGTCTAGAGCAGAGGTGCAGGCTCGTATCCTCAGATGGGAGGTCGACGGCGCGATCCCAGGCTCGAGAGGACGAGGTGGGTCCATCTACGAAGCCATTGCTCTCTACAGTCCCCAAGTCGAAACCCATGCCTGATGGACTTTGTCTGAATCCGGAATTTGCCGATCAGACTGATTTTTTAGCGATGCCCTTTTTTGATAGTATGAGGAAGAGAAAGAGGATAAGGAGGAGGACGACGGGGAGGAAGAGGAGTAGTAGATATATGATGATACCGACCGCTTATAGGCTTATCTGCATGCTTGGCAAATCCTGAGACCTGCTGATTTAGCGTTGCGACTGCATCGCGGGGTAAGGAGTTTGCGAAACTGAAAGCAGCTGTCGTGAATCTGGAAATACGGCACACGAGGCGCAGGATGTCTTATAAGTCTCGGTTCTAATTCGTGATGGTAGCTCCGGCCGTAAACTTCAAGCTGGCTACTTCTTCCGGTTGGCAACCCCCTCCGCCAACGCCGCGGCGAGGTCGCTGACCGTTGCCCCGCGTTTCCTGCCCTCAACCTTCTCTGCACCCAGAACGGGGTCCTCGGTCATGATGCGATACAACTCCGCCATGGCGCGAAAGACGTCGTTCTCAGTCTCAAACCCGCCTTCGGCACGGTGCGTGTCGGAGATCTCTTCCATCTCCCGCACCCATCGGTAAGACTTGGGCGGGACCAGCGGGATGTACTTTTCAGCAAAGTCAAGCAAGCCAGGCGCGGCCTCCTGCATCTCCTTTCTCAGCTCGTCGACGACACCAAACTTGGAAGCGGTGGTGAAGGCCTTGATGCCCAGGCCCATGAAGCCCTTGGTCACGGTCGCGAAGCACATCTTCAGCCCGCTAGCTGCGCCGATCTCGGGGGAAATGTGTCGCATATTCAGCGTCTCGGCGAGCTCGGGGCATGCTTCGCCCAGTGGATATGGTCCGGAGGCCGGCATACTGGGGACGTACCATAACCCCGCTACCCCGCTACCGACGCTGAACTTCGGTGGACCGCCGATGATGCAACCGTCGACGAAGCGCACTGGGCTTCTGGCCTCGTCGAGCATGCCGGCCATTCGCTTGCCCGTGGCCGGTGATACAGCATTGAGATCAGTGAAGTACAGCGGCTTCTTGAGTCTTGCCGCTTTGGTGGCGTGGACGATGCGTTGCGCGATGCTAAGGGCGTCTCTGGGCGGTGCGACGGACAAGATGAAGGGACGTGACTGAACCAGATGGATGTCCGAGTTTAGAATCTCGACATTGGCGTTGCGCGCTCTTGTGAGGGTTGCTTGGCTGTCTTTCGGTCAGCCACATTCGCGTGTGAATCCCCAATTTCACAAGATCAGACCTTCTACCCTCCCCGTTCGTGGCGACCGAGAAGCCTTTTGAGACGAGCAACTTGGCGATGCCCATGCCCATGTCTCCGATGGAGAGGATCCCGATCTTCGGCAGTGAGAGTGCCATGGTGAGCGGTCCGCCAACTTTCTACCCCAATGCAATCCAACTAAGCCAACAACCACTTCAAAGCTACTTCCTTATCAGAGTGAGGTGGTATTAAGGCATGCGATGCCAGAGTCATGTAGGTGTGATGCGTTGAGAGTGTCATGAACTGCGGCAATCCTAGAACGATCGACAGACGGCAGTACGGCAGTGGTGTCGAGACGAGCCAACAACGTAATCAGCAAAGGATGTCTGATAAGATCAGCACTGATAACCTTTTCGTATTAGATGTCTATTAGAAGGCATTCTGACATGTCAATTATAGCGAACGAAGCGCAGCAAAATTGGCGATAGTGCAACTGTCGATAGGTTCAATTGCAGCAACACATTTGCGTCTCTACGCTCGAGATACATGAGCGCAAAGTTCATCCATTCCCTTGCCAAACCCAGGTCACTCTAAGAAACCAGAGGGCTCTCCTCCTTCCCTCATGGCTTCGGCTCAAACTTCAACCTCAGGAGCTCCTTGACATTTTTCCACGCAATTCCCTCCCACTCTGCCTCGCTGATAAGTCCACTGCCCCTCAACCGTTCCATAAACTCCCTTCCCAGCCCGTTGTCGCACAACGGATAGTCGACGCTGAAGATGATCCTCTCGACTTTCGTCTCCTGCAGCAAGCAAGCCATTGGCGCCAGCGAAAACATGCCGCTCGTCGTAATCCACACGTTCTCGTCCCACACCTCCCTCAGCCCGCGTTTGGGCTCGGAGGCGGGCCATGTGGCAGAAGCCTTGACGGTGCGGTCAAGCATGAAGGGGAGCATCTCGCCCATGTGGCCGAGGATGATCTTGAGCTTCGGGAACCTGTTGAACACCCCGGCGGCAAACAGGCGGAGGAAGTGCAGGCCGGTCCGGGAGTGCCAGCCCCATCCCCACGCGCCAAGCACTGCGGCTACTCCTGGGCCGTATGGCCCTTCAAAGTTGACTTTGGACTCGTCCTGGGACGGGAACGCTGGGTGCAGGTAAATCGGGACGTCCAGCTCCTCTGCCGCTGTCCAGAGGGGATCGAACTGGGGCGTGTCAAAGAAGCTGCCGTCTTCGAGGTGGTTTCCTATGAGAGCGCCGACAAAGCCGAGCTGCCGCACGCTGCGCCGCAACTCCTCGGCGGCCGCGGCAGGGTCATGCATTGGCAAGGCAGCGAAGGCGGCGTACTGGTCTGGGTGGTGGGTGATCTTGGAATGCAGGTCATCGTTGACTGCCTTGCAGAGTTCCGGCTCGATACGGGCGGGAAGATGAGAGAGAACCGTCATCGCCACAGAGTCCTTGGCCATGTCCTGCAGCCTGGCTGGACCGATGTCGACCATCTTGCCCAGCACAGCGGGCCCAAAGGCCTTGTTGAGGAAGAAACTCTGCTTGCCCTGCCCGTCTTCGACCAGGGGTGAGAGGTAATGTTCTTCGATGGCGATGAGAGGCGCCATTTCGATCAACGGTCGACGCTCGTGATGGTGTCTTGGGAAACTGCACGTTGCTTGGGGTACGAGTTGGGTTGTGGTGAACGCTTCACTCCTGCTCGTTAGACGGAAACGACCTACATGTACGAGCCGTGTCAATGTCTGCCAATGCGGAGTGACGGATGATTCGGCGCTTTACCCCGCCGAGAGAACCTTATGACGGTTTCAGTGAGGGGCGTGTTACCCAAGATTCGACTCTAAGCTCCCTTCGACTGCTCTTCATCCCAACATTCGAGCACGGTGACTGTCGCACGCACGCAGGATGGCGCACATGCGTGAGCCAAGGACGACTTGATCGGCGGGGTCTAACTCCATGAGAGAGTTATAAAACGGAACTCCTTTTGCCTCTTCTAGTAATACCAGCGTTCGATTCCGGGTGGTGCATCCCCGGATGCTGAGACCGGTATCAAACCCGGCGCGTGTCCGTTCAAGGTCATAACACTGCGAACTCCAGAGCCTCAAAGGCCATGACATGCCGTCTTAGTGCACTGCTGACTTTGAGACATGAGTGCAGGCACATATGTCAAAATTCAATGACATCGCTGTGCAGTCAACACTGACTGGTTCTTGGTGCTACGCAGCAAACATCGCCCGCACTGCATTTAGCTCCCCAAGACATCACAATTATGATTTCTTGGCCATCACTGCATCTCCAGAATATCCATGCAAAAGATATATCACTGAGCATGAAAACACATGTGTACCGTGTAGCCGGTGCTTTTGACTTCTTATTTTGACGCCTGGTTGGGTTTCGACTTCGGTGCCACTCCAAGCCATTGAAATATGCAACCTGAAGCTGTCGTGATTTACGTTTGTTAGAACAATGAAAACTACCTTCACTTTGTTAGACCAGACCAATGAAAACTAACTTCCCTGCATTTTTAGCCACACCAGAGGTACCGCCAGGCCGCGTAGCCTTGCTTGTCCATCGTGTACACTAGATGCGGCAGCTGGGGCCTCAACATGCCTTGCAGTCATGAAAAGGGGAATACGAATTGACGATTTCGATCCTTGAGCGATACTGCATTCTTGCTCCGTTTGTTCAGACAACTCGGTTCCAAGTTCACGCAGCTTATAGCTGTGGTCTATGGTGTATCATGCTCTTCTGGAGCTTGAAATGCGTTGCCAGCATCCTCTCCAAGCAACTGGACATGCCAAAATCCGTCGCTTACGACAGACTGCATATCTCTTAGAGAGACGAATGGAAGGAGCTCCAATGACAATGATAGCATTCCCGACCGGGATCTAGAACCTGAGCAACTGGACCGCTTCGAGATGGATGCGGCTCTTTCTTTCACAGCAAATTTAACCCCCCGGAGACAAGGAACTGGCAGAGGCCTGACGAATCTCATTAAAGTAAGACGCTCGGCAGGGCCTCTAAGGATTTTTCACTGCAAATTTAACCCCCCCAAAGGCAAAGAACCAGCGAAAGCCCGACGCACCTCAATAAGCCAGGATACTCACCCATTCAATGAGTCACTGCCATCACCGCACCCATCATCTCCAGCCACCTCAAACACTCGAGATTAGTCCGCACTGCATTCAGCTCCCCAAGACATAAATAAGGCAGCTAAGCTAAGATTTCACTGCAATTTAAGCCTACGCAGCGGGATCGTTCCTCAATGCCTACAGCACTCTTGAGCATGAACGCGTGCGTGCGATGGACGATTTCACAGACTGGCCTGATCGCTAGAATACTCAACGCTGTTGGGAAGCCCGGCCCGATCGAGTGTACCAATAGTCAGGACCGACCGATGTTAATTTGGTATAGTGAACGTGCCAATCACAGCTGTAAAAGTGTCGCGTAGCCATGCCTCAATTATATTGGGGGGGGGGGGAAGCAAAAAAACCCCAGCAGATAGACAATCTCACTCTTCGTTCGTGGTGTGGTCGCAAATCACTCCAGAACCCCGTCAAGACGGCCGCCGCGGCCCCGGAGCGGCCATCACAACTCTGACTCACCGGCACGCTCACTCGAGAACCGGGGGCCCCGGGTCATGTATGTCATGAGCGGCGCCGACTGCCGCCAGAATGACTCGATGCGGCACAGAGCGCGAACAAGATGCGGAATACGCGACAGCGAAAGGTAAAAATGCACACCAAAACGAAGAAGAACTTCGCCTGCCGACGCGGACCCGGGGCTGGCGATAATTTCGTCCGGGAGCATCGAGACAGGGGGGCACCGGCACCGCTACCCGGCTGGCTGTACGGGGGCTCCGCGGGCGCGTGGGCGCGGGCGGGAACGCCCCCAATCATCGTGAGGCGACGACATGCCCATCGCGGAGCAAAGAAAGCTGGGGGGAGGGGGCTCGTCCAAAAAATGCGCCGACAGAGAAGCCTATCCGAAGGGGATTGCTCAACGAGTTGACACACAGGAAAGACATACTGCGCAGTATACCTCGAGTCCTCCACGGCCCGCCCCGATCGCGAGAGAGAGAGAATGAGAGACGAGAGAAAAATTCTGCAACCGTTTCCACAAAAAGACGTAATGGAAACCAGGGAGAAATTTTTCATGCTGGTCGGGATGGAGGGGGAGCTTGGGGCAAACCATCTCGCTAGACTCCGCGTTCATCACCAGACTTGGAAAAGGGCGGTCCCGGGCCACTACGAGAGACCATGCAGGACGAGGGAATTTTTTTCCTTTTGCCCAGGTCCAAGAGTCGCCGCCGTTCGGTTCAGCGCGGTCCGGATGGTGGTGTGTCGTCCAGGGCGAGCTTGGGGCGCGTCGTAGGGCTGACTTGACAGCGACAGACATTTGATTTTCTCGATGACGGAGGCGAGGGACCGCTGTAACGTACCACCGGCCGGGGTCTACTCGGCCCAGCGTGGAGTTGTCCGAGTTGGAGAGTGAGAGAGAGAGAGAGTCGAGGGCCCGATTTGGCAATAGGACGACACGCTCACCAAGTTTTGGTTGGAAGAAAGCTTGAGCTGCATACGCTAGACGGCGCTGGACAGCCTTCGAGAAAAATTCCACCCGTCCAGGGCCTGCGTGCGTGCCATGCTTTTTCCAAGCAGTCGAAGCGTCGTGATTGGGCTGGCGGAGGGGGAAAATCGAAAAAATCGGAGGGGGGGCAGCTGAAAGAAATTCAGAGGCTCGGGCCAAGCTCGGTGGGAACCGGGTGGCGCGACGGCGGCGTCACGGCGTGGGAGAGGCGGCTCTTTTTCCCTCGTCAATCTCTGCCATTCCAACCCAGCCCAGTCGCCCATATTGGCCATTGCATGCCGTTACGCCGTTATGCCGGTCTATCGGACGAACCGCAAGGTCGCACGCGTGGGCGAGGGGACCGCGCCGTGCAGCGAAATGGCATGTCATTGATTGCTTGCCATGCTCGCCATACACACATAGTCCTTGCTGAACCCGCCGGTGCCCACGCTCCATTTCCCATTTCCCAGTGGTCGACGGTCAGCTCGATGCATCCCCCCTGGACAACACCGTTGTTACCCGTGCCCTCCCCGGGCGACCACCGAGCCGCATTACTAGGGGGGCGTGATGGACCGTGAGACCATCGCGTCCCCATCGGCCAACCCTCAAGGGGGGGGTGGAGGGTCTCGAGCGAGGCCTTTGTCCGCGCGTGTGTGTGTGCGTGTGAGTCTTTTGGTGTCCACTGCTCGAGATTTTCCCAACCGGTGGCCACCGTTGCCGGTCGCGATGAGTCGAACGCCGAGTGGAACCGGTTGAGTAAGAGAAGGCCCGTATTGTATTTAATCATGCCATGAGCTTTCGTCTCGTAGCGGAACCTCTCCTGCCACTCCCCAGGTTTTCGTTTGCTCATGCGCCCGGTGGTTTTCTGGAGAAGCGAATCAGACAAGCTTCCCTCTTTGCTCCTCCCCCCTTCGACCCTTTTCGTCGTGTTGTGCTCTTTTTGCATCTGACCGCGGTCGACGATACTTGCCGTTCCAAGTCTGTGTGAACGTCCCCAGCCGAAAGAGACACCCCCCCCAAACCACCGCCATGTTCGGATCCAAGGAGAAGTCGCCCCAGGCGAGCGAGGGCGAGGTCACGCCCACCAACGGTTCCAAGACCGACCTCGAGACTGGCGAGACCGGCGGCCTTCACCGCACTCTTCACAGCCGTCACCTGCAGTTCATTGCCATTGGTATGTCACTGGCGGAATCGCGTCGTATGCCCGGGGTCACAGTTGTTCTGACACGCTCGTCACAGGTGGTACCATTGGTACCGGTCTCTTCCTCGGTAGCGGAAAGGCCATCGCGACCTCCGGGCCCGTCGGCACCCTCATCGCCTTCATCTTCATCGGCAGCATCGTCTACTCCGTCATGACGGCCCTGTGCGAGATGGCCACCTACATCCCCGTCCCCGGCGCCTTCACCTCGTATGCCTCCCGATTCATCGACCCCACCCTCGGCTTCGGCATGGGCTGGATGTACTGGTTCAGCTGGTCCATCACCTTTGCCCTCGAGTTGACCGCCGCCGGCGTCATCATCCAGTACTGGAACGACTCTCTGAGCATCGCCATCTTCATCACCGTCTTCTGGGTCGTCTTCACCGCCCTCAACTTCATGCCTATCCGCATGTTTGGTGAGATCGAGATGTGGTTCGCTAGCATCAAGGTCGTCACCATTGTCGGCTTCATCATCTTCGCCATCTGCATCAACGCCGGCGTCGGCCAGCAGGGCTACCTCGGCTTCAAGTACTGGGTCGACCCGGGCCCGTTCAACGCCTCCATTGTCGAGGGCTCCGTCGGCAAGTTCATTGGCTTCTGGTCCGTCCTGATCACGGCCGGCTTCAGTTTCCAGGGATCCGAGCTGGTCGGTATTGGTGCCGGCGAGACCAAGGACCCCGAGAAGAGCGTGCCCAGTGCCGTCCGCTGGACCTTCTGGGGCATCTTCAGCTTGTTCGTGTCCACCATCTTCTTCGTCGGCCTCCTCGTTCCCTCCAACGACCCGTCGCTGCTGCTCGACTCCCAGGATGCTTCGGCGTCTCCCTTGGTTATCGCCGCCAACCTGGCCGGTGTCAAGGTCCTTCCTGACATCATCAACGCGGTGCTCTTGACTGCCGTTCTTTCCGCTGCCAACTCCAACGTGTACTCGGGCTCTCGTATCCTCGTCTCGCTCGCCAACGAGAGGTGTGCGCCGCAGTTCATGACCTGGACAAACAAGTACGGAACCCCTTACATGGCGGTTGCCACCACGTCGGCTGTCGGTCTGCTCGCGTACATGAACCTGTCCCAGGACGGTGGCGTTGTGTTCGACTGGCTCCTGAACGTTACGGCTGTTGCCGGCTTCATCAGCTGGTCGTGCATCAACATCTGCCATCTCCGTTTCATGGCCGCTCTCAAGGCCCAGAACATTCCGCGAAGCTCCCTGCCGTACACGGCCCCCCTGCAGCCGTACTTGTCTTGGTACGGTCTGTTCTTCAACGTTCTCATCATCCTGACAAACGGCTTCGCCGTCTTCATTGAATGGAGCACCAGCGACTTCTTCACTGCCTATGTCAGTGTCATCTTGTTCGTCGTCCTGCTGGCCGGCCACAAGATTTTCAACCGCACCATGCCTCTCAAGGCGATCGAGGCTGATGTGACCACGGGTACCCTGCGAGCGAGGTCATGATGAGAGTACGATCAAGCAAAAGAGCGATGAGTCAAGGACGAAAAAGTAATCTGATGTAACATTAGTAGAATAGTTGTAATGATGATACCCATGAGTTCAAACAGTCTTGCAGCAGAGAATTCTGTGCTGTGAAATCCAAGATGGTGCTGCCTCGTAGCAAGTTTCCCAATATCCTAGCGACCACGCAGGCGAGGCTGAGGCCTCGCAAATGTCAATCCAAAAGACACGGCAAGATCAGAGGCCAACGGTGTACAGTCCGACAGCACCACCGATACCGATGGCAAGACCCCTCCCAAGATTGTATAGCCCCCATTGGTCAACCAGGGACTTGGCGCCCTCCTCTTCCTCCTGGCTCAGACCGACGGCCATGATACCCATATCCTTTGTTTCCTCGACCTTCTTGAACAGCTTCTTGTTGATGCTAGTCATGAAGAATCCGGTCCATGGTACGATGGTGAAGCAACACGCGCCGGCAGCAGCCAACAGCCTCGACTTGCTGGGTAGATGGCGGACGGCGTAGGCCATGTACCAGTAGCTCAAGGCGCAGAAGAGGGTCGGAAGTGGGACGAAGGGGCCGGCGCCCTTGAGCATGTGGGAGAATTGCCGCAACATGAGCGGGGTCGGCGACTCGAGCAAGCGGGGTATCACGAACAAAGAGAGGCTCAGGTTCAGACCGGCGAGTGCCGTGTTGGCGAAGACGGTCGGCGCCAGGATGTTGCGGAGGGGATTGGGCTGTGAAGACATGGTTGCTGTTTACCGTACGAGTCTCGGAAATATACTGGTGTCGGTCGCAGCTGGTGACTGAGGTTTGGTTTTGTTCAAGATCAGAGCAGTCGTAGTGAAGAGGATTGGGAGGGCAAAGTTGTAAGTGGGATGTCGAGGTGACGAAGGCGGGCGGCAGGCATGGAAGCTCGAACTCGAGTTCGGGAGCTTGCAATGTCCGGGCGGGAAAGCTGCGGGGTGTCTTATTCAGTGGGGCGACGGGCGGCTGCAGCGTGGGGGTGTCCGATGCTTCCGCCTAGAGAAGGAGGTACGTACCTTGACTGTTTGGGCAGCAGTGTACCGACGGAGTGCGGCCCAGAATGGATACAGGTACTTACTTACCTTACTCACATAGAATAATTTGTATCGCTCTTCTCATCTCATAGTAAGTAAGCGGGAACTTCTGGAAAGCGATGGTCAGCGTTGGGCAAGTTGTGAGTTTCGAGTTTTGGAGTTCTCGGCGACGACAACGTCTTGAACCACAGACAAATGTAAACACCTTGAGCCATTAGGTTAGCTGCTAACCTGGACGCTGGTAGATCTGCGGACTAGACATGATGACCATTCGTATGTTCCGTACACAAGACTGATACATACGGGCAACTAGAGTTTTGCTCATAATCAAACTACCTGTGGAGAGGCACTATACCCTGTACTGACGCCGAGTTGTTTGCCTCTGCCATCTTTTCATGCTGAACAATCACCATCACGAGCACGAACATGTCTCAAGGACTCTCAGAAGAGAAACGATCATGATACCATCATCTCTGGTTTTCTTATTGGTGTAACTACCTCCGTCGGGCACCCGCCCAAGTCCATCCCTGCCGGTATCGTGGGCCCCAAGACCCAAGCTCAACCCCTCGTCGTTTCCCTGCTCGCCATCGGAGGGGATCCTCTTACCGCTCAACGTCCCTTACACTTCCACTTTAATCCGGTATCCCGAACCACCTCCGCGAGATGCCGCATTGCCTGCGCAGGAACTTCACATGGGCCGCCCATTGCCAACCTCGATTCCAACACCAATACATTTTACTACATTTGATAAAGGCACAAAGAGCCGCCCCCCGACGGCAAGAGTCTGCGAGTTGATTGCAAGCCTCAGGCCGAATTGGGGGTGTTTGAAGTAGAAAAAAGCCCAACAGCCACGACCGTGTCAAGAGAGACCGACAATTAGGTTGCCTCGATGAGTGCGACGGGATGATGGAGGAAGGTCAAAAGGCGCATCAGAGACATGTTCTCGGCCGTTCAGAACCGAACGAGGCTGACAAGCCAACTCTGAGCAATCAGGCCGTAGCGAGAGCCTGTCGCCTTCCGGAAGAGGTGAAAAAAATAACGCCATCCTCATCCAACCCATCCAAGGTAAATCAAAAACTCCCCTTTCTTGAGGACAGTGACCACTCAAGAAGAAAGCTTTCCAGATGCAATTGACCTAGGCCAAAAGCGTACAGAAAAAACTTGCCTCCGGCAGTCAATCCCATTTTCGTAAAAATTCAGGCCTCCTGAAAGTTGCCAGCATCCAGGCGTATTGATGATGATGTACACTGTAAAAGTCGCCGCCAGTCGTCTGGTTTGTTATCCCAGTTGCTCGGCAGCGACAACGTAAATAATGGCGGCGTCGTACTGGTGCCGTACTTCGAAAAATGTTTCCTCGCTGGAACATGTCGTAACGTCATTTTGAAAAACTTTTGGCATTTTTCCCTGAAGGATGTCGGGAGGGTATTTCGCTTGCCGCTTTCATTTATCGTGGACTTCTCTTATTGTTTCCTCGGCATCCTGTCTGCCAACTTTTTTGCATCTCCTTTTCCTTTTCTTTTCCTGTTCACTGACGTACCCCCCGCAAGTTGGGGTGATCGCCACCGTCTTCCAGTTTGGAATCGCATTGCGGGAGGCGCAGAGCTGCCAAAGACCGTGTCATGTCTGGTGGCCAACCATAATGCTCATTGTCATCCAGCCTACTCGGAGGTAATCACGGATTTCTCTGCGCGGGCGCGCATGTGCGTAGCATGTGTTTCGAGGCATCGGGCCATCAGGTGAGTGACTGCAGGAGGTTAGCAGGGCACTAAGTCTTGAGAATGGGAGTACTGACCTGGCCACACAGCGGCTTTGTCAAGCATATAAGCCGTGACGCGGAGGATCTTAGCCGCATAACCCGCATGGTCGTCCATATGCATCCTAGTGTCGACACCTGCAATGTTGCCCTGAACGAGCTCGAAGTTCATCTTCATCTCCGCAGAAGCCAGCACCTCTTGTACCTTTCCGAGCAGTTTCACATCTTCCTCTTCCAGCATCATGATTGCTGGGACTTGAGAGAGGTCCACATCATCTTGGCCAAGGATACCTAGGTACCGACCCACTCGGTCCTGCAGCGTTGCAACCCACTCGGCCAGAACTTGGGCACAGTCAAAAGCGCACATCGCTGACTGCAAAGGCAGCTCCCGGCTGGAAAAATCGGCAAATGTGACGCCCAGCTTGTCGGACATGGCGAGCGAGTCTGCGGCGTAGAAGGCAGCTTTGCGAAGATGCTTCTCTCTGCGAGAGGTGGATTGGCTCGGTGCGGGCTGGGTCTGAGAGGGTACTTTGGCAGAGGAGAACTCTGGAGAAGAAGACTGAGTCGCCGGAGACTCGGCGAACACCGAGCTGGAGACAGAGTTGTCAGAATTCTCGGTACCGGTCGATTCTGTATTGGAAGCGGGCGAGTGTTCTGCGTGTTGTACAATCTCGCTGCCACGAGAGAGCTCCTCCGCCATGGCGTCCCAGTCGCGCTGCCAGAACTTCTCCTTCGAGCGGGCAAGGTTTACAAAGAGTCGCACGTATGCCAAGTCGAGTAGTGGGATGGCATCTGCAGACAGAGGCCCCAGGCCGAAGGGGTTTGGCCGCTCCAGGCTGTGGTTTGGGTTGCTTGCCCAAGCGGCCTGCCAGGCCTTCAGAGCTGGTTCGATGTGGCGGTGCATCTTCTCCGTCTCCTCATTGGTCCAGACCTTGTTGTGATGTCGTTGGCGTGTCTCCCAAATGTAGTTGTGCAGCGCATTGATCAGGATTAAGCAACCGAACGTTGACGGTTTCAGATCACTCTTTGGGAGCTCGTTCATGCTACCGCCCTGTCCAAACGCCTGCTGCCCATTGCCGAAAGCAAGCTGCTTCTGCTGTTTCTCATTCGACCTGAGCAGGTCGCCCAGCGCCTCATGAAAAGTCATCCTGTTGTGGTTTGCGGCGCGGACACCACCCTTGGCAGCAAAGGCCGTGCTACTCTCAGCGGCGAAGAAATCCTCGTCACAAGGCAGGTCGAGCAGGATCTCAGAATTGGTCAGAGCCGGTGTGTGATTGTAAGCGGCAACCAAAAGGCTGGAGAGAATGAAAACGACATAAAGCGTGCGTTTGCGCTCCTCCATTGTCTTCCACCGAAGCCACTCCGCCTGCTCCTCAGAGTCCGACTTAAGGCCGCTCCACGTGGCATCGTCATGCATGTGAGTATCATGAACGTCGCTGGGTTCCACGCGAATGGGACGGAGGAGGTCGGCAGCTTGCGCCAGGCTGACAAGAGCAGCACAATGAGTCGAAGCGATGTCGCTTGCCGTCTTGTCGCCGCAATTGTGGCCGTAGACGACGTTTAGAAGCATGGCCTGCACCAGCCAAACCGGGGTGTGGACAGCGGATTCCTGGGTGTGAGAAGTCGACTCAGATGCTGGGGTTCTGCGTAAGTCTGCCTTTCTCACATCGGCTTTCCGCCGTTCCTCAAGGTACAGTTGAATCATTTTCTTGGCCATCTCAAACAGTTCCCGGGATTGGACGTGGTCCATTTCGTACAAGGCTCCAATGGCAGACATGGAAAGGATGAGACACCCGCTCCCACCGACGGTGTTGAATCGGTTGGCAGCGGAGGGCGGCATCTCAAAAGTCAAAGTGGGAATGTGCAAGAACGGCAGATGAGGGTGGAAGTAACGAAGGTAAGCGCCAACATATCGTTGTAAGTCTTGAGTGCTAGGTAAATTCTTTACATGGTCTGGAACACTGTTGGCTGTGTTCTGAAAGCCCGGCGACAGCGGCGAGCTCGGGGTCGCGAATGAGTATCTCCGTCCTCCAAATGGAGAGCACTGCGAGAGGGCTCCGACGATGGCGCCTCGGGTCGATTCCGTGATGGTGGAGACGGGCGAGACACCGTGGTTTCCGCCATTCATGGACGAGGGCGTCTCTGGTCCTGTATTGAAGTTGAGCGCGGCGTGGTTGAGGTTTTGCGTATTGAGTCCGGAAACCATCGACGGACTGAGGGAGCTAAGAGAGGGAGGCGGCGTCGAGAAATAGGCATCGTTCATTTTCTGCGCAGCAGGTTGTGGTGAGACGGGTGCTCCGTTTAAGAGATCTGGGAAGACCGAACCATTTAGATCCATGGCAAACGGGTTCGGGACCTGGGGAGGACCCATAACGGCCGGTTGCCACATTGAACTGGTGCCTGCGGGGGCAGGATGATTGGAGCCGTCCACCATGACATCGCTAATGCCACTCTGGCTCGTCGTGCTAATCGCCGAGGGACTTGACCCGTCTACGGCGTTGTCAGCGCCCTGAAAGGACATTTGGTGTTCGAAGCCCGTCAGCCAGTCGAAGCTGTCGTCCAACTGTGTCGTCGAAAGGTCGCCCGTGAGCCCATGTGGGAACGGCGACGGCTGGTCCATGGCCATGGACTGCGGCGAGTCGTTGTAGTGGAGAGCGTTAGGGTTGATGGTGGAGCCCGGGCCGAACAGCAGCCCCTCGAAGTCGAAGTCGGGGTTGAAGACGGCCATGGGAGGAGCGGTCCGCAAGCCGCTAAAGTCCATGTTGTTGATGCCATGCGTCTCAAGCTTGGGCAGCCCGTGGGACATGCCCCGGTGGCCCATGGCGGCTGACATGCCGCCAAAGTCCATGTTGTGCACGGGCAGCCCCGCGAGGCTGGGGTGACGGCTGTGTGTGCCAGGTGGCATGCCCCGCGCTACCTGGGCGTTGGCTGCCGC